CGTCGTACAAATGTGTACTCATTTGACTAGACACGAATTTTAATAAAATAATATTTTATTTTATAGTAAAAAACAGTACAAAAATATAATGATTTTTCACTTAAAAAAGAAATGAGAATATTTTTCGATGACAACTCAAAAAAGAAAATGAACATAGATTTGAACGACGGAGGAAGTATCAATTTCAAATATAAAATTATATAAGATATATTTTTTTGTAAGGTTTTATCTAAAATTCTATTACTTATAAAAAAAAAAAAAACTTCTTCTTACAAACATCCAATTACACAACTATTTTTTAATTTTATATATTGTAGTAGTATTAAAAATTAATTTATTATTTCCATACAATAATTGGATGTTTGTAAGAGAATTTTTTTGGGTAAATAGTAAAATTTTAGACAAAATCTTCTAAAAGAACATATAAATGTTTATATTTGAACTAAAATTGATACATTTTAATTATATTATGATTATTATTGATTTTTTTTTTTTCATTTTAACTATATCAACTATTCTAAATTCAAAAAATAATTAAAAAACTATATAACAAAAAAATAAAATTTTTAAACTAAAACAGAAAAATACACGGCCATATAGAATTATACATGGTCGTGTAACAATGTTGTCATGTATAATTATACACTAAATATACATGACCATATTGTTACATGACCGTGTATAATTGTATATGATCGTGTAACAACATGTCCATGTATAATTATACACTGAAATATAAATAACCATGTAACAACATGGCCGTGTATAATTGTACATGACCGTGTAGTTTTCAAGTCAGCCGCCACGTCACTTCCGTTATGTCCACGTCATCAATTTCTGTTAATTTTTTAACGGTAGGACCAAAATTGATTGAAATTATTTATAATGGGACCAAAATTGATTGAAATTGTTTATAATAAAATTAAAATTGATAAATTTTATATATTGAGACCAAATTGATAAATTTTTATTATATTAGAACCAAAATTGATTTTTTCCCTAATAATAATAATTATTATATTGTTTTCTTTGACAAAAATAAGTGTACTATTAATATAAATATATATAATTAAATAGGAACCACAAAAAAGAAAAGTGATATATATCCATTTATTATTCTATAAATAGATATACTATTTATATATTGATTAAAAAATAATATTTTTATATATACTACTCAAAATTAATTACACTTTATTTTTAATTTATAAAAAGAATGTAACTAATTTTTGCTGAGAAGGAATATTTTATAATAATAATATTTTATAGTATTTGATATATACTATATAAGTATACAAGACTAACATATTTTGATTTGTAAGGATCACATCTAATACGTATTATGTATTAAAAATAGAAAATAAAAAATCGACACTTTTATATCAAATAATAAATATTTTATTAGTAGAAGTTTTAATAACAAAAATATTTATTATTATTATTACTCCTTCCGTCCCACTTCTCATGTTCACTTTTCTATTTCAGCTCGTCCCATTTATTTTGTCACTTTTCTTTTTTGGAAAATAATTATAAACTTTAATTTATTTTTAAACTTTTAATTTATAATATATATATTTTTAATTTCAATTATACTAATCAATTATCTTAATCTTAATCTATAATTATTTTTATTATACGATAATTATTTTCGCTAACATATTTTTAATTATTTACTAATTATATTCTCCTAAATTTCCGTGTCTACAGTAATGCGGACAAAATATCCGAAACGGAGGGAGTATTATGCAATATATGGAGAAGTTCACAATCATTGACGGTAGCCACTTGTATATTTTGTAATGTTTTAATCCACATATTTCATTCTAATGGTCCTCTACAATTAATAATTAGAGATTGAGATTTAAATACATATCAATATAGACATTGATACACAAATACTACGTACATACACACATATATAAGATCTAATGGTTGGTTCACTTTAAATTTTAATAAATAAATCACATTTCATAAAAAAAATTTATATTATTCTAATTTTGAAAAGAAAATAATGTATTTTTATTAAAAATTGTGTATAATAAATAATGTTGATTTCAGTTTAAATTATTTTTTTTAAAAAAATACTGATATATTTATGATTTTGAATGATGTTATCCGAAGTTCATAAATCAATGAATAGACAATGACTTTGCTGAAAATCTGAATGAATATTATCTAATTAAATTTACGATCGAATCATAGAGTTATTAGACAAATTTCAACTTAGGACCGTTTTTATAATTAAAATGACAAAATTAAACTTAAATGGAATTATTTTTGAAAGCTACAAGAAGTTACTTTCAACGAAATAGTTGCCCTGAATTAGTTGAAGTTCAAATCTTTATATTGAATCCATTGTGTTCATCCAATTTAGAGATAGAGTGAATTAGAAGTAGATTGTGATATTAATTGTGTAGTTGATAGAAAGATACATCTGGAGAGAGAGAGAGCTTACAAGCTAAATTTTGATTTAGAATTTATGATTCGAGTGTGTTTGTTTGGGGGTTTGGATTTTGAGTTGGGATTTGAATAGTAAAAATTTTGAATTTGAATAGTTGTATGATGTGATATAAATAGGTGTTGATGTGATGTTTTGAATGTAAAATTGATTTTTAGTATAATATAAAAAATAAAAAATAGGTGTTTGATTTAATTTTTTTTTAGCAGAAAAAATTGGATAAATAGTGTAAATCCAATCCAATCCCCCGAACAAACTCACCGGAAAAATATTTTCGTTAAATCAGAAGTCTTCTGCGAGTTAGATAAAAATTGGGTGTATACACAAATTTTGTGATCCGATTGGAGGACAAATCATACAACAGAACAAAATTGCGAAAAAGATTTGAAAACTGGAATTCGAATCGAATTGCATTATATTTTGAAATTCTCTGTCGTGATTCAAAAATCACTGGTGCTAAATGTAGATAAGCATTAAGGCTATTTTCATAATTTAATGCTTGAACATCTCTCCTTTTTTTTTTTTTTAATATAGAAATATTAGCGACAATTTTTTTATTTAATATATCCGATTAAGTAAAAATCAATTTTGGTCCCATTAAAAAAAAATTATTAATTTTGGTCATACTCAAATGAAAATTTATCAATTTTAGTCCAAAGTTGGTTGATTAGGACTAAACACAGCCGTGTTGGATGACTCAGAAGGTGACTGGGTGTCCCAGACAACCAACACGACCATATTGGTCTAAACACGGCCGTGTTGAAACCCTTGCACTTCTGAACAATGGCCGTGTGCCTGCCCGTGTTCTGAACACAGCCATGTTCCTGCCCATGTTCTCAACACAGCCATGTTTCAGGCTATGTTCACGACAATGTTTTCAATATAATCATATTGTAGGTCATATATATATATATATTATTATTTCACTTTTTGGTTAAAATTATTCGATATAGTATATATATATTTATAATTCAACAAAAATATTTTTTACAATTATTTTATAATATAAAAAATAGTCAATTTTTAATATTTTAAAAATATATAAAAATAATAATATATTAATATATATTTTCAATAATCATCGTTATATATATTTTAAAAAATTTATAATAAAAATTTTAAAATATATTTTAAATTAATTATTTCTATAAATTATAAATTAAATTTATTATTAAAAATAATATTTTAAAATAAAACTCTCTCTGGGTTATTGTAGACATAATAATTTATGACCTACAACATGACTGTGTTGAGAACATGGATAGGAACATGACTGTGTTCAGAACACGGGGCATGTACACGGGCAGGAACACGGCCGTGTTCAGAAGCGCAGGGGTCTCAATACGAGCCGTGTTGGCTGCCTGGGACGCCCAGTCACCTTATGAGTCATCCAATACGGCCGTGTTCAAGCCAATACGCCGTGTTCAGTCCCAATCAACCAAGTTGGTACTAAAATTGATTAATTTTCATTTGAGTGAGATCAAAGTTGATAATTTTTGTTTGAATGAAACTAAAATTGATAATTATGATATTGAATGAGACCAAAAATAATTTTTGCTCAATCGGATTTCATTGGCTATTCTCGTCATTAATCAACCAATATTAAAGAAGAAAATAAAATATAAACTTCAAAGGACATAAACGATATTTTATATTCAACTAATATAAGACTGGAAGGGTAAAATCGTCAGTACAGTAATACAAATGGGACAAAGTTAGAATCCCCTCCGCTAAGTTTTCCTCTTATCTCCTCCAAACGCACGAACATCCGGGACCTGAACACCGGATAAATCAAAACCGTCGATTTCTTCATCCAGACAGATCAACGGCAGATATCTACAGGGCGTCGAACTCCAAGAAACAAGGGTCTGTTTTTTACACTAATTTTTTTAAATTTTACTATTGCATTTTGCATTTTTCAAAATAAATATATTTTTTCTTTTTACAAAATATCATGTTAAATATTATTTTAATATCACATTCACATTAAATTTTTTCGAACTCAATAAGAAAATACATCCTTCAAACACCAAGGATCGCAACACCAGATAAGTCTGAACCGTCCATTTTCTCAATCATCCAATCGAACGGCAGATATCTATCAGCGTCAAGCTCCAATAAACACTCGAAAACCACAGGATTCACTTCCCAAGTTTACCTTCCATTCTCTTCAAACTACAAACACCATGGAACGCAACACCGGATAAATCTCAACTATCCATTTACTCAATCGTCCAAATCAACGGCAGATATCTAATCAGGCGCCCAACTCCAAGAAACACTTGAGAACCACCAGATTCACTTCCCAAGTTTTCCTTTCATTCCTTCCAAATTACAAACACCATGGACTGGAACACCAGATAAATCCAAACCGTTCAGTTCCTTAATTGTACAAATCAACGGTGAAATTCAACCCGGCGTTAGACTCCGAAAAATACGCGAGAACCACCAGGGCTTCTCTCTGCCAACATCTTCTCTTTACTACACTGACACTCTTCCCCCCCCCTCTCTCTCTCTCCTCAATTCCCCCCCCCCCCCTCTCTCTCTCTCTCTCTCTACAATTTTTTCCATCTATAAAGAAGACACTATCACTCCATCAATCACTACCTCCAAAATCCAAACCCCAATATGGAGAGAACTCAGTTTCAGTCCATTTTCCGGCCGCCGGAGCCGCCCATAGATCCGATGGAATTCCTCTCACGTTCCTGGAGCATTTCGTCTCTCGAAATCTCCAAAGCCCTCCACGCGCCGCCACCGCTGCCGCGCCACAAGGATCGAAACAACGCCGCCGCCGCCACCACAACCATCCATGAAGGCATATTCGAGGAGGCTCCGCCGGCGCCGGCGCCGGCCACCGTTTCCGGCAACCCTTTCGCCTTTGCTTCTTCCGAGACCTCCCAGCTTGTCTTGGAGCGTATCATGTCACATTCTGTAAGTGTCTTTTTTAAATTTATTTATTTAATTATTATGATTATTATTTTTTTAAAGATATCGAGGATTTGTTCATTGTAATTATTTTATGAATTCCTTCCATATGTTTTCGAATTTCTATATGGGACTGATTTTGGAATTTTGTTTTGCAATAATAAAAATCGAGTCTTTACTGCTTTCTAATTAATGTAGTAACAATTAAGCTACTGTCTGTCAATAATTCCAAGTGTTAGTTGAGCACTTTGTTTTATTTGCTGAATTATTACAATCATTACTCTTACAAACAATTATTCAGAGCTCTAAACTAACTCCATAGCATACAACATCTGCAGCAGGAGGTATCACCCCGGACTTCTGGAAGATTATCCCACAGCAGTGGCCCTCTTACTGACAGCCCACCGCTGTCCCCTTCTGAATTGGATGACCTCAAGGTTCGATCAATCCCATTTTTAACAAAATTTTAATTTTCTTCATGAAATTTCAAGCACGTTTTTGTTCTTCGGAGGAATTTAGGACAGCAAAAATGATTACTTTATGACGTAAAAGTCGTTCCTTCGATGCTTCCCATTCTTTCTTTAGGTGCCAAAATCAATTTTCTTACTAAATTTGCACTAATTTGAACGTCTGTAGTATTGTCGATTGGGCAATCATGCCAGCAGCCAGTATAGGGCAGTCGCCGGCGCCGGCGGCGGGAAGACGGTGGGGCGATGGCTGAAGGACCGCCGGGAGAAGAAGAAAGAGGAGGCGCGTGCACACACCGCGCAGCTCCATGCGGCCGTTTCAGTCGCCGGCGTGGCCTCCGCCGTGGCGGCTATCGCCGCCGCAACCGCCGTGTCGTCGGGGGCGAGGAAGGACGAGCAGACGGCGAAGACTGATATGGCGGTGGCGTCCGCCGCCACATTGGTGGCGGCGCAGTGCGTCGAGGCGGCGGAGGCGATGGGCGCCGAGCGCGACCACTTGGCGGCCGTCGTCAGCTCAGCCGTCAATGTTAGGTCCGCCAGCGACATCACCACCCTCACGGCGGCGGCCGCCACCGGTGCGTGTTTGTGAAAAATAAATTAATAAATTATAAAACTAAAAAATTGCGTAAATGAAGACAGAGGTCTGAAAATAAGCATAATTTGTACTGAATCAAATATAAATATATTAAATTTAAAATTAAATACCTAAAATATCTCGTTGATAATTCACGAATTATCACAGATTTGAATATCTTAGCTCACTTAATCTCCGATAATTTTCTTTCAGCATTGCGCGGCGCAGCGGCGTTGAAGGCGCGAACATTAAAGGACGTGTGGAATATCGCAGCTGTGATCCCATTGGATCGTAACGGCATCGGCAACGGAAGTTCGAACGGGAGTCTCAGCGGCGAGCTTGTCCCCGAGGAGAATTTTCTCGGCATTTGTAGTCGGGAGCTTCTGGGCCGTGGCTGCGAACTTCTAAAGAAAACTCGCAAAGGTATATTTTTAAGATTTTAAATAACTCGCAAAGGTATATTTTTAAGATTTTAAACGATCATCTCACCTAAAAGTTTAAGTTGCTAATAGAAAATATTCACGCAGGCGATCTGCATTGGAAGGTCGTTTCCGTATACATCAATCGAACGGGACAGGTATTTGTTAAAAGAAACGATCGAATCTAAGCTTTTGCTGCTTTTTACGATCTTGTGAATTTGAATTTTCCGAACAGGTGACGTTGAAGATGAAGAGTAGACACGTCGCGGGGACCGTAACGAAAAAGAAAAAGAGTGAGGGCACTATAGTCTTTTCGCTTTATCGCTTTTTCTCGTCGGGATCGGCTAAAGCAATGCTAAAGTAGGGATACCCAATTTTGGATTTTGCAGATACGGTGGTGGAGGTGGTGAAGGAGATTCCCGCGTGGGCAGGGCGGCATTTGCTGGAGGGGGGCGGTGACCGGAGGTATTTTGGGGTGAAGACGGTGGGTCGGGGGGTCGTCGAATTCGAGTGCCGGAACCAACGGGAGTACGACATGTGGACACAAGGGGTATCAAGATTGCTTGCGATGGCTGCTGAGAGGAACAATAAGATCAAGATTTGATGATGGAATAGAGCCTTTTGGGACAACCATGAAGTTGTAGTAAGTGGGTGTGTTGTAATGAAAATTGGAGAAAAGTAGTGTTTGATTTAGAAAGGGCTAAAGCACCATTTCTTGTTGTGTTCACATGGAGAAGAATTGACCTTTTTTTTTTTTTTTTTTTTGTTTGAGGAATTTTAGGGGGGAAATGTGTGTGTGATTTTGGTGTAGTTTTACAAAGTAAAGTGAAAGGAAGAAATCCATGTGAAGAAGGGGGGCTTTTGGGGGTTTGGATTTTGTTGGTGGTCAAAAATGTTGGGAAGGTTGGTAGGGTAGGGTAGAGGTAAGGGGGTTATTACATGCCATTTTGGGTAAGAAGACAAAAGTGATTGTAGTATGATATCTTTGTGTGGGATTTTGCTTTATCACTTGTATTTGGTATTTTATTCAGGTTTATGCATGCAAGAAACTATTCTAGGGACTTGTCCACACTAAAGCTATATATATATATATTCTTTAAAAACTTTAACGCTAGTCATCAATTTTTTTAATCTAAAATATTATATTAATTATTTTTTATTTGATTTTTTTTATTATTTACAAAATTATAAAAAATTTAAAATTATTTTCCAAGCTTTCCTCTCATGAATAAAAGGGATAGACAAAACTTCAGAGAAAGTTACCAATCAATATTACTTTAAAAATGCAAAGGTTATGTTTTTTAATCCAAATTTTCTCAATATTCGGACTCTGTTTTTTCTTTTTTAAAAATAAAATAAAATAATATATATATTTTTATTATAAAATATCTCGTCAAATATTATTTTAATATCGAATCAAAGTTATTTTTTTTTCAAATTTAACCAAAGAATCACCTCCTTAGTAAATAGACCTTTTAACTCATACTTACAAATTTTATTCTCAGCCCAAACTCCACACCATTGTTATTGTTAGCAATTAGTGATAGCTGTTAGTTGATTCAATTTCAATCAGCTGATTTAACTAGCTTATTCAATTAGTTATTTGTATTAAAATATTTGATAAAATAACTGTTTGATATTAGTTGTTTATACGTAAAATGACAATTGATGGCATTCTTATTTTATTTTTTTTAATATATTCAATTGTATTATTTTGAGTTTAAAATGTTTGAAATATTTTGTTATTAGTTATTGAAAATTGTAAAAGTGTTATAACATAGTATTTATTTTTATTATAATTAGATTTAAAAAATATAAATAAATTTTTCGTGTATATATTTATTATGTTAAGTATCGATCAGTTCATTATATTTATAATTTTCAATAAATTTAATTTATTTTTAGTATAAAATTTATATAATATAATGTTATAAAAATAAATTATTAATATTTATATTTTCTATTTTGTGTTGATTTTAATAAATTTATATATTTTATAATTAAAATAATTTATATATAAAAATTAATTATTTTAAATTTATAAAAGTAAAACTATAATATAATAAAATATTCTAATATAATTAATAAATAATCAGAATATATTTATTTGTGTAAAATACATAATAAATTTTTAAAAGCAAATGAGGAATAAAAAAATTTAAACTGAAAAAACTATTTCAAAACACTAGTAAGTTATCTTTTGGTTCCAAAAAGTTATTTAAAAAAACTAATTTATAAACACCTAAATTATTTAACTGGTCAAACAGCTAAAAGAAACTGTTCAATAAAATTAAAAGTTTTTCAAAATTTTTTTTACCAAACACCCTCTTATTCTTAGAGTGAACAGTTCTTTTCTGATTGGGCCTGAAGCCCATGATAACATAGCCTTTTTAATAAATTAAGGCCCATCCTAATTAAGCGATCCGGCCCGCTTATAAGTCTAACGTCTGAACGGAATTCGGGCTTCGTCAGAACTGCTCCGCAGGTGCAGTTGAAGTTTGACGTATGGCCTTCTGCGCGGGAAGATAGCCGCCGATACGCCGTAAGAATAATTGCATTTGTTTTGTTTTATTTGCTCCAATTTTGTTTGTAAACTGTACTAATCTGAGTATCCCGTTGCTGTTAATTATTTCTGCATAATGGTTTAAATTTGTTTGGAAAGGTTCGTTCAATGTGTTATGTGTTTGTTCTGATTTTGGATCGTTTTCGTTATGTTCAATTTATGGGTTTACTGGTTTATGTTCAAGGATTTTAGCTGTATCGCGTGTAGTATTGTTGTTTTTTTTTGTTGTTTTTTTGTTGTTTTTTTTTAACTTGCTTCGACGATTTTTACATATCTGTATGTTATGGCATTATGGAAACTCTGGACTGTTGAATTTGGTGGTCGGAGTACTTGGTGCTTTGTTTATCAGAATTTACAGAGATGATGTTTTTGTTTGGTGGAGTTTTTTTATGGAATTTTGCAGTTCAAAGCACCAAGACAGACTTATAATGTTAAGGCATTTGTAAGCTTGGCAACGAAGATGTGTGTAACAGTGTAAGTTGCAGCTGCATTTTGTTCTGCTTTATCAGATCTTTCAGAATTAGAGAATTTTGTTATTGTTTTTCCATTTATATGCTGACTATTGTTCTTTTTGTTTATTTAATTTGGGATTGCAGCCTAGTGCTTGTGCTTTTACTAATTTCGAAGTGCTTGATCCTAATTTCAGGTTGTGGAATTTTGTAGCAAATCATTTTGTTTATATTCAGGTTCTAATGTTGTGAGTATCTGCGCAGGTTTTTGATTTTTTGGAGTAAGCTGCTGGTTGCAACCAGAAAAAGGGATATAATTGAGTACGTTCATTAGTGTAAAATATTCAATCCAGCAAAGGCTGAGAAATTTTCATGGTAATTCATTATGATACAATATTGTATTCATCTCTCTTTACTTTTGTATTATGTGTACATTACTTGAAATTTTTGGTAGTTCTAGTTTAACTTTTAACAACGATCACTGCAGTTGTGTTATTTATATTTTGTGGAAATTCTATTGTGTAGAAATGTTCAAGTTACAATTGAAGTATCATTTCGCTGGAAGCATTAAAGTTGTAGTTTATTATTTTGGTGTGGAACCCGGATCATGGTCAACCTCACCGCTTGATCTATTAGAATTTGATTTTAAAATGTACTTGGTTATCTCTTATTCTGGTATCGTTTCACAAGTTCCAATTGAACCCTAAAATCACAGCAACAAACCTTCTGGAATGAGACCCAAAATTTTGATTGATCTTAAATGCATCCCTTGATCTTGAATGGAAAAAGTAAAAAATAAAGAAATGAATCCCTACTCCTGAAGTTTAATTTCAGCTTTTTCACTATGTAATTTTAGAATTTTTTATAATAAAATATCACATTCAAATTACTATTCAAATCAATCAAACATTATGTGTTCTTACTATGATAAAACATTATTGGCTTTATGCCTTTCTTGGCATAGATGAATAATTTCAAACTTACTGTTTAGTTGATTATTACTTGATGATAGCAGAATGGTTTTTACCACCCTATTGATCACACAGCATGATTCCAATGAGGAAAATCTACTGAGGCTCAGTAACACAAAAACACAAATTGAAAGCTGTTTCTGAGCCATACATTATGAAATATACAAATTACCAATTAATTTTCTTTGGCAAGTGTTTTTTAACTGCCCATGTTTCCAACCAATCTGCATTGTTCTGAAATGTCAACAAGTATGGCCTTTTTGCATATTTATTGGTAGCATTTACAGTTTGCTAGACAAATGAATTAAATGAAGGGAGTATAGACTATAGTCTACATTGTAGAGTTATTTCATTTTTTTTCACAGTGAAGTCACAGCCTGCATAGATTGTCCTATCAAATATCACTTCAAATTATTTTTTCTTTAATATTTCTTTTCTGCAAAATTCAAAATATCATGAGGTGTCTTGTGAATGGGCAATAACCTGACTTGACATTTGGGCTTTGTTTACAAATATGCATGTCTACTCTGCCCTTGCCATTTTGCTCACCTTTACTGTCTCTGCAATTCCAGAAAATGATACACCTTGCACAATAATTTTCCCACTGTTTTCTCAGTTGGTGTCTGATTTATAGAACCTATGTAAGGATTTCGATTTACAGTGGTAATAAGCCTCTGAATTCATTTGCTTGCTCTTACATTATTGTAGACATATTTGTATAAATGACTGGTGCCTGTTCAAGAATTTATTTTGGTTCAGAAATACAGAATGAAAGATCATCTTGTAATATAAAATAATACACCACACCTTTGCTGCTGTGTGTCATGTTAAGGTAGCTGTGCTTAAATATATATATATATATATTAAAATAGAAAAGAAAAATCTATGCAACTGTTAGCAACATCTTGTCTGCATTAATGCTTTGACTATCATAATTGATTCGTCTACTCACGAGCCATGAACGTCTGGTCACTGTAGCATCAATCATGCATTAGTAAATGTAAATATATATAACTTGATTTATATATATATATAAATTAAAGTCTTGAGATTGCTATATATATGTTTGTGTCTATGTTTTATAAATAGGTTATTTGATAGTAAGAGTTAAGGTAGGAATTTCGTTTCAATGGAAAAAGAATAAGATAGAAAGGGATTTTTGAGTGTGAAATAGTCATGAATTTGACTTCCTATGAATTATGAAATTCTTTTTTCCTATTAAAAGAAATAAATCTGAATTAAATTTATGGTTTTCATTCTGTCCATAACAGATCACCTGCTTGAATGCAGGTCATTAACAATCCCACAATAAATAAACAATTGGTGGCAAGAACATCAATGTTTACATAAAAATCAGAACTTTGAAAGAACAGATAGGTACCCCCCACCCCCCCTAAATTGACATTCCCAATACTCTCTTTTCTCTTCCAAAACTACCTGTGAACTAACATTTTCACTATTTCAGGAACCCAAGTAGAAATCTTGATTAGACAAAGAAAAACCCCATGTTATGATATTTAATTAATGAGTGTCCCCTTGAACAGGTTGTCACCTTACAATGCTACACTAAAAAAACTGTCCTTATACACATACATACATGCCATTCATACATACATAAATACATAGGCACAAACACATATATCTGTCATCAGTAAAGGCTGAGCAGCTGCAGCTAGTATTAAGCCCCCACTGCCAAATAGTACACAGTACACTTACACAGTAAATCTCTCTTTGATATTTTTGGCTAAGGCATGAACAGCTTATTCCCACACTTGCACCTCCATGCCTCTGGATAGTATTCCAATGGCATACTCATTCCCGGCTGGATCGGCACGTGCACCGCCTTACAAGGCGCGCACCACCCGCACTTCGCCCGGCACGACGGCGGCCATGACCCCGGCCCCCCTAGCCGCCGCCGTGCTATCTCCCCCTCCTCCCCTAGAATTCTCCTCACTGTAGTAATTATCAGATTTAGACAGGAACTGTTACTTTTCCTTTACAAAAATGCATTCTTTATAAAGATTATGATGGATTTAGGATCAGGGTTTGTAAATATATACATATATTGAATATATATATATATACACTTACTGAATTGGTGAGCTGTGCTGAAACCCAGTGCAGGAACTGATGCAAGTAGAAGAAAGGCTACCGTTGCAAAAGAGAGGGTTAGCAGTCGCCGCCGGTGGCGGCAGCGCAATACTTCCATGGCGGCAGCAGCACTAGCTTGTACGTATATCTACACCTGCCTGGTTTACATATATGTCGATAATGTACTGCAGTTATTTTTTTACATTCAAGAATTCAAGTGAATGAGGGACAGGTAAGGATGGAGATAGAGGGGGGGAGGAATTACAATTATTATCGGGAAAAGGAGGGGGGTGGGGGAGGGGGGTAGGGGGTGGGGGTGATGATGAGAAAATGAATACCAATGAAAAACAAAACAAAACAGAAAAAAATTTAAGAGGGTAGTAGTTATGTGAAGGTATTATTAATATTATTGTTATTATAGGTGATAGTAGTGTTTGTAATGTGTATATATATCGTATATGGGTGTAGTTGTAGAGTGGGGCTAGGGGCTAGGACCTCAGGCCAGGTGCATCTACACCGTAGGAAGGGGGTGATGGAAGTGGTGGGAGTTGGGGTCCCAGGACCCCGACCGGAATCACTCGTGTGGAGTGAGTCCAAGTCAAAGGGACATGTCATTAACATTAAATAAAAAGTGAGTAGTGTGTCTGTACAGCATGTCTGTGTGGAAATAAGGCGAAATAGAGAAAAGGACTCATATGTGTGTCTGTTTCTGTGTCCGCAAGGGAAAGTTGAAATGCTTCTTGAGTTATATATATTCACCCTCTCTCTCTCTCTCTCTCTCTCTAGACACACATATATATATATGTGTGTATATTTATTGCTGCTGTGTTTTGGAATTGGGTATATGTTTGTGTGGTACGATTGCTGTGTTTTGTTACTAACTTGAATATGTGTGTTTATATAGTGTGTGCGTATATGTTGGTCAACATTGGAGTAGTTGGGGGATATATGAGAGGTGATGATCTGTTTCTTTTTGTTGTTGTGCCCTTCCAGGATATATATATATATGTATGTATGCATGTATGTATGTATATGTGTGTGTGAATATGGTTGCTCTGGTGGGGGGTGGTTGGAATTAGATGGTTCGAGGGGATTAAAGTGGTAATGAACAAAAAACAAAAGGGACCATTTTCATGGTAGACTGCACTGAGTTTTCTGATTTGGTTAGAAAAATGGGAGTTTTGTTATTGGCTGATGTTACAGTGTAGTGCTGACTATAGGTTTGTTTCTTCGGATTTGATTTTGAAAAATTTTGGTTTGAATTTGATTTTAAAATAATATTTGATGGAATATTTTGTAAAATAAAAGTGCCTTTTAGGAATGCACATTATCCGAATATTAAAATTTTAAAATTTTTTTGCTAAAGAAACACACCTTTGCACGGATAACACATACGATATCATAAGGTAGAAGCAAAATTTGAACTAGAAATACGATCATGACAACAATATAATTGTGGTACACCCTAAATCATGTTATTATTATTATTATTATTTTTATCTATTGTGTTTATCTATTATTATTATTATTATTATTATTATTATTTGAGTATTGTGTGTTGATTGAAGATGGAAAAAGAATGGATGGGGGCCCTTGAATTGATTGGTTTTTTTCAGAGGGTATAGGTGAAATAGTACAGTCCTAGTTGATGTACATATACTGTCTTCCCATACCTCATGGTTGCATTGTCATACTATTATATATATATATATATATTATGGCATTCTGCAATACGAGGAAATGATTAGGTTTATTTAGTGGGATTATTTTGAATTTTATTTGAACATTTACATTTAATTGTAGAGTATTATTTGTGAATTATATTGGAGAGAAAAAAAGATGCATGTAAGTATTTGATTTGATTTGATTTGTTGAGTAAATGAATTGATATGAAGGTGTGCTGTAATTGTAATAGTAATAGTAATAATATTGAATGGGGTGGGAGGGAGAGGTATGGGGGGGACTGTCCTGCTTCAGACAACAACAGCTGATCATTATATTCCTCTTTACATCTAATAATCGTAAGTCTTTTTAACTTACATTTCATTTCACAATTATTGTTGTTGATGGATCAACTTAAGGGTGTGTTTGTGTTGGGGGATTTGGATTTTGCGTTGAAATTTGAATATTAAAAATTTTGAATTTGAACAGTTGTATGATGTGATATAAATAGGTGTTTGATTTGATGTTTTGAATGTAAAATTGATTTTTAGTATAATATAAAAAATGAAAAATAAGTGTTTGATTTGATGTTTTTTGGGGAAAAAAATTGGATGAATAGTGTAAATTCAATCCAATCCCCCAAACAAACACATTGCTCGTACTATTTATTTGTTCATTTATTTTGTATATTGGTGTTCTGTTTTAGTTTTAGATTTAGATTTTGATTAATATTCATATATTATAGAAGATCATGAAAATTATATATATATAAAACAATCATAGAGAACATAACTTCAATCCTTTTTTATGTTTTAGGAAACTGGACTTGAATAGTTTGATTTATGCTTTGGACTTTAAAATAGTGACCTAGGAAAAAGGTTGTTTAGAAGTTATGTCTATTTATTTATTTATTTTAAAAATATTTTCGTTATTAGTTCTTGATAATTTTAATAAATATTATTAAAATAATTTTTTTATTATGAAAAATGTATAGTATATTGTAAACTGAGCAAATCTTAAAAGTGTGCTGGAGAAAATGTATAAATTTGTTATATTTTTCAGTGATGCTTCTATTGTTGATTCGTGATGAGTTCAATTTTTAGTACTGAGTGTGTTTACGTGTGCAATTTTGGTTTTGATTTTATTATTTTATTTTTTAAAAAAAATATCAAATCAAACTATTTTTTATTTATTATATTATATTAAAATATAATTTTATATTTAAATTATCGCATAAATACATATTTATATTGCATCAAATAATTATTTCAATTCAAAATTTTACTACTCCCTCCGTCCCGGAATTAAATATCAATTTGCTTGTTTTGAAAATATTTGTATTATATTGGGATATAGTAGGAATATATTGTAAGTTGTAAGGGTATTTATAATGTTAGGTAGACAATACTGTTACTAAAAAAGAAAATGAATACTTTGTTATGAGACGGACTAAAATAGAAAAATGAATACTTTATTATGGGATGGGTAGGAGTATTTAAAATCAAAACCTTATAAATAAAAATATTGTATTTACTCTTTAGAAAAATTGGGTGTGTTTGGTTAGTATTATATTTTTAATTTATTTGAATACCTTTTAATTATATATATATTTCAAAATTTTCAAAATAAAATCTACTTATAAATTTTTTATTTCTATTTTCTTCTTAAATAATAGTATTTGTCCTACAAGAAGGGTGATGTTTTTTTTTCGTAGTTATAATTAATATTAAAAATATTTTTAAATTTATATAATTTAATCCACAAATACTATTATATTTATATTATAAAAAATTAATTGAAGTATTTTTATTTATTCTCTTTATTATGTATTAATAGAATAATTACTATTCAAATATTTACCCACAAAAGCCGAATTTCACCCATAATAATTTGAAACAGACGAATAATATATAAATTATAAACTCTATTTTGTTTTATAAAATTATATATATATAGATTATGTATAAATATATGTGTATTAGTATATATATAATTCCAGACTAATATGCATATTGAGATATTAATATAATATATTTTTATATTTCTTTTTAAGCGTATGTATAATATTTCATTCTAAACGGCAAGATTGAACTTCTAACTCAAACGAATGATCAAGGAACCTTTAATTAATTTATTTATTTTTATTATTTTTATATTTATTTACATAACATTTATGTATATGTATAGTAATGCATATCAATTAAAGTAACAATAACAAGAGATGTGTCATTCAATAAAAAATTTTCAACACACTTTTTCGATTTATATTATAGAAAATCCAATTAAGAAAAGGTCAACATTTGGTTTGAGCTTTTTTTTTTTTTTTTTTTTTTTTTTTGACATGAGTTATAAGGAATTGTATTGATGATATGAAAATATTGAATATCGATTTTTCTATGAGATAATATTATATAGTATATATTATGTATATTGAAAATTGTGACTAAGTAAATAATAATTGGAAAAATAAACTCATTATATTTTTATCTTGTCGACGCATTCTTTTTCAGACCAATCTATAGACAGTTGAATGCTTATATATTCAACATAAAAAGAAATACTTCAAATTAAAAAAACAAAATAATTTTTTGGTGACACCATTTTTTTTTAAAAATATTACTAAAATTATACATATTTTTATACTCTTTATAATTAAATAATTTTTTCTTTTTAAAAAAATAACATTCAACAAAATATAATTATAAAATAAATGCATCTAGTTAAATGTATTCATTCTTTACATAAATTACAATATGTATTATTTATTGTTTTTTAAAATTAAAGTACAGCAAAGTGAGCCAAAAATAAAGGACAAGAGCTTATTCTTTTGACTTTTGACGACATTCTTATATGATACGTTTCCATACAAATTAATTATTTCGATTTTTTTTTAATAAATTAATAAATAATATTTCGTCCGTCCACCGACTAATGTCCTATTTTTTTTATTTGGGACGTCCAACAACTATTTTTCTTTGTAAACAAAAAATTTATTTTTTTGTACCATTCATTCATTTACTGCTTTTAATCTCTATCATACCATTAAGGACAAATTTGTCAATTCATAACAAAAAATCAATCTCCTAAAAAAACGCACAAATATACTTTAGGACATAAAAATTGGACGGAGAGAGTAGTATTAATATTAATTCTATTTTCTAACGTAAGAATTCACAACCGTTATATTTTTAAGTAAGCTCATACTAGATTTTTGACATAATCTAATAGCATTCATACTAAATATGATAAAATAAATTATATTAAGTGAATCATATGTGACATATAAGATCCGGAAGCGTAAGGAGTTTGCACCTATGACTTGTGGAATAAATTATGACAATTTTATACTTTGTAATGTATATATAAATTAATTATATATATTAGCAATTTATTTAAAATTAAAGGAAATTTTGCAACTTAGAAATATGACAGTAGATAAGTCACGTGTAGTAAATAAGAACAATAAAATCGTCAACGAATTTTGCATATAAGAACATGTTATTATTATTATTATTATTATTATTATTATTATTATTATTATTATTATTATTTAAAATTAAAAGTACTATATGTAATATATTTAAATTAAAAACAATAGGAAATATCCAAAAAGAATAAATAATAGAGGAGGAGGAGGAGATACATGCCATGATGATATATGATGATGATGATGTAGTTATGCTATGGATGGCATATTGGCATAGGGGACAAGGCAGGAGCATTGGTCATGATCCATCTGTCAATCCGGGCCTACCATTCGGGTTCGGATCTGGATCTGGATCTCATCTGGCTCGTCCTTCCACGCATATCTCTTTCACTCATATTTCTTCTTCACTGTCAGGATGTGTTGGTACGGTGGATTGGATTTCAAATTCACTATTTATTTTATTTTATTTTTTCAAAAATATCAAATTAAACATTTATTTTTTATTTTTTATATTATACTAAAAATTAAGTTTATATTTAAAACATTACATCAACGTCTATTTATATGACATCATACAACTATTCAAATTCAAAATTTTTATTATTCAAATCCCAATTCAAAATCCAAATCTCTAAACAAACACACCCTAATTTATTCATTTTTTTTGTGTGCATATTTTCAATATATTCATTTTACTTGTTTATAACGTATATCTAAAAATTTTCACACGTTAATAAAATATTTCTACTTTAATTTAAAATTATAATTATGTGAGTTCTATAGAATTGATGCATTATTCGTCATCATCATAGCCACCCCTTCTTTCTTCAAAATTATTAAAATAAATACTATTTTTTTTTATAACGTAGGAATTCGGCGGTTCTTTTCGTCGAGTGCGTTCTGGGTGAATTCCGGCCGGACCTAATAATTAGCAAACTAGATTCGAAAAGACAAATCACATTAAGCGAACCATAAGATAAACACATATTGAATATTTTTCAAATACCATATTGCTACTGTTCTTTTGTAATTTAAAATTCAAATAAATATTATTTATTTCGTACTATTTTTAATAAAAAAATATTAATTTCTTTCATAAAATATTAAATAAAAATATTAATTTCACAGCACAATTTAAACAAAAGCTAAAATAAAACTCCATTTCAAATTAATTTCAAAATATAATTAAAACAATCTCTCCCTAATTAGTGAAGCTGAAGGAAAAATATAATAAAAAGTAATAATAATTTTAGTAAATACATATTAATGAAGGATACTAGCTATATGTTAAAGTGAAATTTTGTCTTTGTTAAAATTGTTAATTAATTAAGTTTAACGGATTAAAAAAATAAAGGAATACATTTGAATAACGGAATATTAAATATTATTTTAATTTAAATTTTTAGTATTTTTTAAAGTTTAAACACAAATTCAAATATTAAAGAACACGAAAGATACTGTTATATTACCAAGGGTGTGTTTGTTTGGGGGTTTGGATTTTTGTGGAATTTGAATAGTAAAATTTTTGAATTTGAATAATTGTATTATGATATATAAATAGGTATTGATGTGATGTTTTGAATTTAAAATTGATTTTTACTATAATATTAAAAAATATAAAGAATAAGTATTTTATTCGATGTTTTGAAAGAAATATAATTAAATAATAGTATATTTAAAATTCAATCCCCATACAAACACACCCTAAGTGAAATTAAAATTTGCCGCAAAATATATATATATATATATGAAATGAAAAATAATACTCCCTCCGTCTCATCTAATATGAGTGTATTACTGTAGACACGAGAATTTAGGTAAAGTATAATTAGTAAGTAATTAAGAAGTGTATTAGTAAAAATAATTATTATTTAGTAAAAATAATTATAGATTAAGATTAAAATAAGTAAATAATTTAATTAAAATTTAAAATTTAAAATACGATTAAAGTGCATAATAATATTTTTTTAAAAAAAAAACGAATTATGTAGAATAGATAAAAATAAAAAAATATGGACAAATTATACGAGACAGAGCAGAAAAGTAAAGAGTTGCAGAATGAATGGAGGTCTCGTGCGTAGCTGAATTGCTGCTGCTGCTTGCAGAGAATCCTTCCTTTTATATATTTATTTATTTATTTTTAAATTTAATTTTTTTGGAAGGTCTCGTGCGTATATGAAATGTCTTGTGCTGACTTATTTTTAAAATATAATTTTGTTTTTATTCCAATAACTCTACTGGTGTGTCTTTTTTTCTTTTTTTTTTTATAAAAAATATATTATATTATATGTATAATTTTCTATATTCTTATTAAACAAAAAAAAAAAATCTTCAAATTAAAGCACAAAACAAGCAAACCCTTTGATTTCAAAATTTACTCATTCCAATCTTAAATGAATATACAGATTACAATATAATGTTAGGTTCCCAAAGTACTTCAAAAAATATTTTTTTTTTAAATGACGTGGGAACTCACGGCTGTTACTCGAAAGTGCGCACCGGTAAACCCCGGCAGAACCTAATACACTGCAAATCAGGCTTGGACAAATTAAAAAAACCCTTTCTGGATCGACGGAGATAAGTTGGCCTGAACAACTTCAAGCAGTCTGAACAATAATCTGAATCACAGACTATTTGGGCCGAATTAATATCCCGGCCCAGATCTATTTGGGCCAGTTATTTTCCACTACAACATACTCCCACTCCAAATAGGTTTTTTTTTAACTTTCATATTAAATAAAAAAATAATAATATTTTATTAATTAGCAGCAATGTATAAGAAATTTTGATATTTTTAATATTTTACTTTTATGTATAAAATAATTGTATGTATAATTGTATATTTATAATTTGGTTAAGGTTATTATCGTATGATTACTTTTATTAAAATGAAAAAAAATTATTTTAAAATGAGACAAACAAAAATAGTAAACATAATATTTTGAATTAGGATTGGAAAAATATATGCTAAATAAAAAGGCTATTCCTCAAGGGATTATAGTATGTATTTTATATTCTATGTTAGTATAAATAAAAACACAATATAAGAATATTATAATAAAAGAAAACATAATCTATAATTTTTATTTATTTATTTATTTATTTATAAGAGAAACACAATATGTACTCCGGTAAATACAAAATTATTATGTTATTTCTATATTTTAAGGGGTGTTTGACAAATAGCTTTTTGAAAAGCTTTTAACTTATTGAATAGCTTTTAGCTCTTTGATCAATCAAAAAGTTAATTTAGGTGTTTGGTAAATTAGCTTTTTGGAATAGCTTTTTGGATCCAAAAAACTAATTTATGATAAACTAACTTACCCAACGTTTTGAAATAGCTTTTTCTGTAAATTTTTTTTTTTATTCCTTATATATCCTTAAAAATTTATTATGCATTTTACACAAATAAATATATTTTGATTATTTATTAATTATATTAGAATATTTTATTATAATATAGTTTTACTTTTATAAATTTAAAATAATTAATTTTTATATAAAAATTATTTTAATTGTAAAATATATAAATTTATTAAAATCAACATAAAATAGAAAATATAAATATAAATAATTTATTTTTATATTAAAATTATATTATATAAATTTTATACTATAAATAAATTAAATTTATTGAAAATTATAAATATAATGAACAAATCGATATCTAACATAATAAATATATACACGAAAAATTTATTATTTTATATTTTACATCATTTTCAATAGAAAAAACTATTTATATATTTTAATAAAATATATTATTTTTTAAAATCTAACTGTAATAAAAATAAATATTTTTGTAACACTTTTACAATTTTCAATAACTAATAACAAAATATTTTAGACATTCTAAACTCAAGATAACATAATTGAATATATTAGAAACAAAAATAAAATAGAAATGTCCTCAATTGTCATTTTACGTATAAACAGCTAATATCAAACAGTTGTTTTACCAAATATTTTAATACAAACAACTAATTGAATTAGCTAGTCAAATCAGCTAACAACTATCAGTTAATTGAATCAGCTAACCGTTATCAGCTAATTGTCAAACACGCCCTAAATGTATTGACCGAAAAAATCAACCATGTTGTTTTTATGCTTTAAATATATTGAACAAAAAAATCAACATTTTTAATGAAAATGATAATATATATTTTATTTATTCATAAAAAATAATAAATTATATTCATCAAATCCATTTAATGAATATAGGTCTTTAATACTTTTTTTCTTTAAAAAATAAATTTATATTAAATTTTATTTCATGTTCAATTTTACTTTGCTACGTATTCATTTTAAAAATTTTGATATTATTAATTTATAAAAAAAAAATTATATCAAATATTTAAATTGGTACTATTTTCAAACTTTTAAAAATTTGTCTGTAAATGGACTCCAAATTTTCAACCTTTCAACTTCTATAGTAATTTTACATATATATATTTTTCATAATTATATATTATATTATAATATTTTTTATATTGGTCTGTATCATATACTTATAATATTTATAAAATAAAAAATAATTAATTATATTTTATTTAATCATATCATTTAATATTTTCAATATATTATCTAATTTCTAATTTATTATACATCTTGCCAATTTAAATTTTGGTAACGAAAATAAATATTTCACCTGACGTATTATTTTAACGGAAGTCAATTCACAATGAATTTTTCATTATACGTAATTTATTAATTATTTTTTTAAAAAAGAGTCATTTTACTAGTATCGTAAATTATAGACCCTACGATTAAACTACCCGAACAAATCAACGGTGATATCTACATTGGGACCTTCGCTCCCGGGAGTGATTAAATGCAACCCTTACGAAGAGGTAGATTTTTCCCGAGCGACGGAAAAGGTTAAATAAAAGAATACCACAGAAATCCAATGGATATAAGTTTGCCACGTGTCACAATCCCAGACCCAAAGTATCGATTTTATATAATCTCGAAACTACCAGTAGCAGTTACAGACGAACAACCCCAATTCACGAGGAAAGCTCAAACCCTATCTGCCATGGCGATCGAGGTGATGATTCTTCTGCAATCTGCTTCGTTTTTGTGTAATTATTCATGTGCGTATATGTTAGTTCATTTCGATACCTTGTTCTGTAGGCGTGGTTCATGCACGAAAGCGACGAAGACCAGAGGCTCCCGCACCACAAAAGTCCGCCGGAATTCGTCTCGCTCGAAAAATTGGCGGAGCTCGGAGTGCTGTACTGGCGTTTGGATCCTGAAAAGCACGAGGATGATCCAGAATTGAACCGGATTAGAGAAGACAGAGGTTACAGTTACATGGTAGGGCTTTGGATTTACTCACCTCTTCAAAGTTTAACCTCTTCTTCATCGAGAAATCTCATTTCCAGCTTCTTCCGATCGATCTCAAATTCTCAATTTTATATCTCGATCGATATAAGCGTAGTTTTCTAGTTTTAGAAATTCAGTTATTGCACTGAAGGTGTTTGTGAAATTGTACGAATAAGGATATGCTGGATTTGTGCCCTGAGAAGGTGGAGAATTACGAGCAGAAGCTTAAGAACTTCTACACAGAGCACATACATGGCGACGAGGAGATACGCTACTGCCTGGAAGGTAGTGGCTACTTTGATGTTAGGGACAAGGAGGACCGTTGGATCCGCATCGCTATCAACGGCGGCGATCTAATCGTGTTGCCTGCCGGAATATACCATCGGTTCACACTTGACACCAATAACTACATCAAGGTATGTATGTGTATGTATATTACAGAGATCAATTCAATTTCAGAGCTAGATATTGGAAATCCGCCATTGATGAATAAGTAATCATGTAGAGCAGTAGAGGTAATTGATTGATTGATTGTAGTTGATGAGGCTGTTCGTGGGAGAGCCGGTGTGGACGGCGTTCAACCGGCCGCAGGAGGAGCATCCGGCGAGGAAGGAGTATGTGAAGAGGAGCTTCAGTGGGGCCCACAGGTTTGGATTTGCAGTAGCAGCTCATTGAATTCCAACTCTCACTTTCTGTAATAACATTATGCAGCATACTTAGAAAATATCATAAAGATTAATACGTTCTGTAGTTCTATATTACATTATCTTACATATATGCTGTAAATCTATATGTAATATTTTTGCGTGTTATTAGCACGATACTGATTATACATGCATACATATATCTATACATATGATATTCGTACATACATAGCCAGGGACGAAGACAGAATTATATATGAATTTAGATAATTTAAAATATAATCTTTTCGTCCGTTTCTAAAGATCACATTTACATTTTGTGTCATTGTATTTAATATTAAAAATATATTTATATTTGTATAATTTTTTCTACAAAGTAAATGAGATCCTTAGAGCCGGAGAAGGTAGTATCAAAATTAATATTTTTAACATTAAAAAAATCATAAAAAATTGAACTTGGTGGTCAATTGTCCTCCCAAGCCCTAGTGTAATACCATCCCTATACATATCTATACTCAATATATATATTTATGTATATGTATTTTTGTAACGTCGGAATTCACAGCCATTTGGCCCATTTCTCAATGAGCGCGCTTTAAATAAATCATCGGCTGAATCTAATAATTTGCAAACTATTTAATATTAAAAATATATTTATATTTGTATAATTTTTTCTACAAAGTAAATGAGATCCTTAGAGCCGGAGAAGGTAGTATCAAAATTAATATTTTTAACATTAAAAAAATCATAAAAAATTGAACTTGGTGGTCAATTGTCCTCCCAAGCCCTAGTGTAATACCATCCCTATACATATCTATACTCAATATATATATTTATGTATATGTATTTTTGTAACGTCGGAATTCACAGCCATTTGGCCCATTTCTCAATGAGCGCGCTTTAAATAAATCATCGGCTGAATCTAATAATTTGCAAACTTGACTCGATGGAGCAAGTTACCGTAGCCGAACTATATATAGCCGAACTATATATAATAAACAAGATCTGAAGGTGTCGGAGAAGAATATCTAAGTAAAATAAGAGAAAAATACATTGAACCGGGATAGAGAAAAATAATAAACAAATACTCTAAGTATGTTTGTTTGAGAGATTAGATTTTAAATCTACTATTCATTCCAATTTTTTTCCCCAAAAATATCAAATCAAATACTTACTTTTTATTTTTTATATTATACTAAAAATCAATTATACATTCAAAATATCACATCAATACCTATTTATATCACAACACATAACTATTCAAATTCAAAATATTTACTATTCAAATCTCACCTTAAAATCCAAATTACCAAAAAAACACAACACAGGAACAGAAAGACTATATATTTACATATATACACAAACGTTGAACTTAACATATATAAGAGGAAAAATACATAATTTCCTTTGTCGTATAGCACTTGATGCCTTTGGTTTGGGCACGGTTTCTAAGAAATATAATTGAGTAAGTTAATAGTCATAATATCTAACGGGAAAAATTAATTTTGTTTTCCATATAATAAAAATTTATCAATTTTGGTACCAATATAAAAAATTTATCAATTTTAATTCTATTATAATAATTTCAATTAATTTTGGTCTCATTATAAATAATTTCAATTAATTTTGGTCTCACCGTTAAAAAATTAACGGAAATTGCTGACGTGAACATAACAGAGTGACGTGACAGCTGACCTGGAAACTACACAGTCATGTATAATTATACAATCATGTTGTTACATGATCATGTATATTTCAGTGTATAATTATACATGATCATGTTGTTACACGGCCATCTACAATTATACACTGCCATGTAACAACATGTCTATGTATATTTCAATGTATAATTATACATGACTATGTTGTTACACGTCCATGTATAATTTTACACGGCCGTGTACATTTCTGTTTTAGTCTAAAAGTTTATTTTTTTGTTATATTTTTTTTAAAAAAAATTATTTTGAATTTAAAATAGTTGATATAGTTAAAATAGACAAAATAAATAGTAATTATAATATAATTAAAATTTATCAATTTTAATTCAAATATAAAAATTTATAAGATATATTCTTTTGAAAGGTTTTTTCTAAAATTCTATTACTCATAAAAAAAATTCCTTCTTAGAAACATCAAATTACACAACTATTTTTTAATTTTGTATATTATAGTAGTATTAAAAATTAATTTATTATTTCAATACAATAATTGGATGTTTGTAAGAGAATTTTTTTTGGTGAATAGTAAAATTTTAGACAATTTTTTAAAAGATTATACTCGATAAATGTTTATATTTGAACTAAAATTGATACATTTTAATTATATTATGATTATTATTGATTTTTTTTTTTCATTTTAACTATATCAACTATTTTAAATTAAAAAATAATTAAAAAAATATAACAAAAAAATAAAATTTTAAACCAAAACAGAAAGGTATATGGCTGTGTAATATGGCCATGTATAATTATACATGACCGTGTATAACTGTATATGACCGTGTAACAACATGACCATGTATAATTATAGTTTCCAAGTCAGCCGCTACGTCACTTACGTCATGTCCACATTAGCAATTTCCGTTAATTTTTTAACGGTGAGACAAAGAAAAGCCCAAATAATGAGTATCCTATTTCTAAATATAAAAGCCCAAGAAAAGAGTACCGTAGTTCTAAATGTAGAAGCCCAAATCATGCTTCTTTGTATATAGTCTATGGATATTTGAGGGCATCATATTATTAATGAGTACGTGCTTCATGCCGCTGCAAATTATTGAAATGTTACGGCTTGTTTCTTTATAATTTTCCCATTTATTTCATTATTATTATTGTTGAGTTTGTTTATTTTGTGTTCTTTTATAAATGTATTCTTTTTATTAAATATTAAAAATTATCTTGATATGTATAAATATAATTAAATTATTAATTTTTATTATATGTATATTATATTGATTTAAAATAATTTTTATGCAAAATTATTACACTTAAGTGAATAAACCATTGTTATATTTACATTGAAAATGTTTCACCGAGAAAATATGTCGTTCCGTGTATGCCTTTTATATTCTAACTTGAAATGACTAAAGACCCATCGTTGACCGTTACTCATTCATTTAACCTGGACACACTCTCAGGGGTAAATTAGACTTTACAGTAATGAGCGCGACATACTTTGCAAACTGCGTGGAAATTTATTCCAACCGTCGGAAGAAATATCAAACTTCTTCAATTCCGAAAACCTTTGCGAAGGTCAGAGATTTACGAGCAATGGGTTCTCTCGCAAAGGTAGGCAATCGCTTCAATTCTGGCGTATACTTTGTCGTCTGATTTTGTAATTCCAGAGTTGCTAATGTAATTTTCATTGATTATCATTTTTTTTTCCGTGTTGCGTTTGATTCCTCATTTGAGATATTGCTCTGTTTGTGTTAGGGTTTGGGTGTGTAATTTCTGTTTAATTTGTTGTTTTTCAGTAGCAAGTTTATCTGATTAGGCATATGATCGAACAACATGTATGCGAAAGAAATCTTATGTTTCATATTTATGGCAATTCGATTAGAAGCTCGTTGTAGGTTATTTGCTAAGTTCGGAGCAGCTAAGTCTAATTTAGCTGCTCTTGTAGTAGTTACTGCAGAGGTTCTTTGAAATTTTATAGAATTTCCAGAAAAAAGATGAAACCGTTGAAGCAATTGTTCATATTGCCTCGTGAATTATTGAAGAAATGTAAGGAATATGTTCGTTCATGACAATGTGCGACCGGTGAATGAATATCACAAAATGTATGAGGAACGTGAGGTTACAGCTCATACTGTTCTGGTAATATAGATATATATATGTGTGTGTGTGTGTGTGTGTATAATTACCACATCCATGCCATTTTTGCATTTGGAGGCCAAAAAGTTGAGATGCGTTTGCTCATTTCCTTTCAATTGGATCGTGAAATTAACAGTTTGTCGATGTGATTATTTGGTCTCGATGTGTTAATTGATGGTATAAACTTTAACCTAATTAATTTTGCTGTGTATTCATTGCTTGTGTTCCCTGGTTATACAGGACAACAGGGAGGAGGTTATTCAGGCATGGTACATGGACGACAGCAACGAAGATCAGAGACTTCCTCATCACAGGAATCCTAAAGAATTCATTTCCTTTGAGAAACTTGATGGTAGGATTTCTCAACATTTGAAATTCTAAAGCTGCATAAGAATTATGTTCCCCTGCTTTCTTGAAATCGAACATTCATCTATCCAAGAGTGAATTGTGTGTATCAATTGAAATCTTTGATCACAAATCATTCGTTCTAAGTTCTAACTGATTTAATCTTGTAAAGGTATTTTTCGATCCGATGAGTGTATGGTGCTACAGAATTTAGTAATTGTTTGTGCTTTGAATTTCTTATCTTTGTTTCATTGCAAAACTTCAGAGCTTGGAGTTCTTAGCTGGAGACTCGATGCTGACAACTATGAAATCGATCCGGAGTTGAAGAAAATTCGGGAAGATCGTGGATACACTTACACGGTATTGCTAGTTCATCGTGTTTGTTGTCTCTTGTAAAGAAAATAAATCATTCCATCAAGAATCTTGTTTGTATGTTCGTCAGGACATGATCGAAGTTTGCCCTGAAAAACTTCCAAATTACGAGGAGAAGATCAAGCATTTCTACGAAGAACATCTCCACACCGATGAAGAAATCCGTTATTGTCTAGCAGGAAGTGGTAATAACTTCACATCAATCGACTTTTAACATCAAATCGATGCTTTATTTATGCTCATTCTATGCCTGATAGAAAATTTCTCCTCCTTGTATATATCTAAGGCTATTTTGATGTACGAGATCGCAACGAATCTTGGATTCGCATTTGGGTTAAAAAAGGAGCGTTGATCATTCTTCCTGCTGGAATTTATCACCGCTTCACCCTTGATTCGAACAATTACATCAAGGTAATGTGTATTGTTATTCGCTGTTTTATAGGATTCAGTTCGACCTTTTCTTTTTTTTTTTTTTTTTTTTCTTTGAATTCCACGCATGCACCCATCTGTGATCGAATTAGAGGTCAGCTTTAACAATGAGAATGCCTCGACTTCATTAAGAATTTTGGTGTAACCATATGCTGTAAAATCGTTTAATGCAGGCAATGCGACTTTTTGTTGGTGAGCCTGTTTGGACTCCATACAATCGCCCGCACGACCATCTCCCGGCAAGGTTTAAGCTCAATAAGATCTTTCTAATTTCTTCGAAAAGTTACCAACCATATTGTCTTCTTAAAAAATGTTTTCCATCTCCGGACAAGGTTCAATTAGATCTCTCTAATTTTTTTTAAAAGTTTCCGACTATTTATCCCTCTTAAAAATATTACTCCATTCGCCTGCTATATTTAATTACACTTCCTTTGTAATTTGTCATATTTAGTTACAAAGGAAATGTAACTAAATATTTAATTACACTTCCTTTGTAATTTGTCATATTTAGTTACAAAGGAAATGTAACTAAATATGGCGGATGGAGAGAGTTACTATATTTAATATTTCCCGGTCTGCTTCTTAGAGTTATATTTATTTTTTGCGTCATTGTACTTAACATTGAAAATATCTTTATGTTTATTTAATTTTTTTTTACACATATTATTATATTAGAATTATAAGACAAATAATTAATATTTAAAGATCAACACGTAAAAAGTGATCCTTAAAACCGAATGATAGTACTTGTTTTTCCATCTTCGGCAAGGTTTAAGTCCAATTAGATCTTTCTAATTTCTTGCAAAAGTTACTAACTAGTTAGCGTTCTTAAAAAAAAAAAATTACTATGTTTAACACCTATTTTTCGATAAATGTGTAGACATGGTGACGTGAATTTGTGAATATTTGGTTTACAGGAAAGAGTATATTGAAACATTTCTGCAGAAGGGTGAAACAGCAGCTGTTTGAGGGGCTCTTTGCCACAATTGATTTGGGCTTTCCTGTTGGTGTTGTTAATAATAAGGTTATAGTTTTTGTCATCATGATATATATATATCTCTCTCTCTTTATGTGTGACTGTGCTGTGTTTTTAATTTGTTGAATTTGAATAAAAGAAAATAATATTCTCCCATTTCAATTTAATATATATATATTTTTAGGGTAAATTGTTTTTAAGTTCGGATCCCTTATCATTTTAGTCTCGCAAGTGGAGCATGTCGTAAACTAGTCCTATAAGTGAAAAATTTTCGTTGTTTTAGTGCTCCGACGTCGGAGATGCCCGCGTGGCTTGCCGGAGGTGATTTGTTCGCGAGGTGTTGTTGACCGGACGGATACATGGATTTTTTTATCTTTTTCATTTTTTTTAAATTTTTTGAAAACTTATTTTTATTTATTTTAAATTTTATTTGTATTTTTTAATTTTTTTATTTGGTCCTATTAAAAAAATTAAAAAAAAAAGAAAAAATAAAAATAAATCCACGTGTCCGCCAGGTGTCGCTGACCTGCCGAGACACCTGGCGGACATGTCACCTCCGGTGAACCATGCGGGCGTCTCCGGCGCCGGAGGACTAAAACAGCGAAAATTTTTCACTTATGGGACTAGTTTGCGACAGACTACATTTACAGGACTAAAATGATAAAAGAGTCTAATTACGGGACTACAAAACAGTTTATTTTTTATTTTTATTTTTATTTTTCTGTCATTCCAAAATATTTATGGTTATTTATTACAATAAAAATAATTTATGTATAAATATCATAATATTCTTATATTTAAAAAATATTTATTTACTTTGTATTTACAAATATAAAAATATATTATATATTTTTATTAATTAATAATATATATTTGAAACGGAAGGCTAATAAAAAAAATAATGACACCAACAATAACGACGTATATATATATATATATATATATATTATTGTTTATGTGCTTTAGGTTGGCGAATCAGTTGACAGAAATATGTATATATATATTTGTTAAATTATTAGGTTTGAAAGTATGCGATGCTTCTTGATCATTCCACACTTTCTACAACCATCCACAAACTTCTTTTATTAATTTATTATTAATTTTCTATTATTATTATATGGAATAATCTTATTTGTAAAGGGTGTGTTTGTATGCAGGATTCTATCTAAAAGAATATTTGGGTGTTTTTTTATTTTTTTTTACTTTTTTTTTAAAAAATTTGTATTTTGGTTTTGTATTTAAATAATAATTGATATTATGTTTTGTTATATATAATAAAGTATTTTTTGCATAGAAAATTGTGATTGTTATATAGGATGTGTTCATTAGATATTTTTTTTTTATCTTATAGAATTCTCCATTAATATTATTAAATAACATAATACTTCTTACGTCTTCGATAAACGGCTTAGATTATCGTAGATATGAGAATTTATAAAAATTATTATTAATAAATAATTAAAAATATATTAATAAAATAATTATTATATAATACAATATTTATTGACTAAAAGTCTAAAACTAAAATAAGTAAATAATTTCATTAAAATTGAGAAAATTATATATTATGAACTTTAACATATAATTAAAAATTTTTAATTATATTTTTAAAAAACTGACAAATTTTGTAAGATTGATCAAATGAAATTACGGAAAATGTAGAATAAAAAGAAAAAATATATATAATATAGATAATATATGTATTTATTTATAAATTTAATATAAATAATTATTTAATATTATCTATATTTGTTAATATTTCACATAAAAATAAATACATTAAATTACAAAATAAACAAATTCATAGTAATTTTTTTTTTTTTTTTTTTTCCGAAAAATGACGCCTTACACAAGAATAGCACGTACTTTAAAAAATGTAATAAGAATGCTTTATAAAGTTGAAGTGTTATTATGGGTTTCAATATTGAATCCCTGGAACCCAAACAATTAGATTGAATTAAAAATTTTAAGTTTGCATTTAGGTGTTTCGGATTTTTAAAAAATCAGATTAATCTGAACTCAAAATGAAAATAATTGGATTGAATCAGGTTAATCCGAATCTGACTAGAAAGAATCTGTGTCGTGTTCGGGTTTCGGATTGAAAATTGGGTTCAATTGACATATTTCTTGTTGTGCCCATAGTTTAACTCAACACGAATACGATATGGAAGCACTAATTTACAGTTATAGTAATATTGGATTTTAAAAATTTCAGTTCATATATAATGTTATGACCTATCTATAAAATACATTTTTTTTCTTTCTTTATTTATTTTTTACTATAACTCTCAAAATTTCTTATAAAAAACCATTGTGAGTGTTTACTTGTGATGTTTTGGTTTTGGGTTTTGATTTTGAATTGTAAAATTTTGAATTGAAATAGTTGTTGAATGTGATATAAATATGTATTGATGTTATGTTTTGAATGTAAAATTAGATTTTAGTATAATAAAATAAATAAAAATTTGGTGTTTGATTTAATTTTTCGAAGAAAAAAAAAATTGAAATAGTAAAATCATGACTAAAATCTTATAACTAAACCGAGCCATTGCTATTTCTTCTCATTTCATAAAACATTAGAACATAAATTCAAATTCAAAAGTCATAAAAAAAAAAATAAAATATATATATATATATATATATACACAAATAGAACGCCCACATTTATTTTAATGAGATGTTGTACATTTCTAATAATGAAGTATATAAAGACATAAAAACCCATAACTATTTGTATATATAATAGTAGAAAATTGTAGTTTAGTTGCAAGGGCAGGGCACACTATAGTAGTATTACATTCTCGGGTGAATTTCTTTCATTATTTAATAGTATATTATTAATTAGTAGGACTGAGCAAAATATCCTAAATTTAAAAATCTGATTCAAATCAAATTGAAATTTAAAATTTGGTTCGGATTTTTTGGATTGGTTTGGATTGAATTTTTGATAAATTTCGGATTTTCGGATCGGATCGGATCGGATCGGTATACTTAAAATCCAAACCAATTCGAAATCCGAAATATAATATTTTAATATATATATTTTTTATTCTATATATTTAATATTTTATTAAAAAATATTATATTTTAATATAAAAAAACTCAAAATTATTAATTATATTTTAATATATTTACTTTTATATATTATATATATTTAATATTATAAAATAATAATAAAATATAAAAGAAATTTACAAGTTAAAAAAATAATTAAAAATATTTAGAATTTCTGATTTTTTGGATTAGTTCGAATTTTTTAGTTCGAAATTTGGATTTTCAGATTTCGGTTATTTCGGTTCGATTCGGATTGATTTTTTCAAAAATTTCAAATTTTCCGATCGGTTCCAAATGCTCATCCCTATTAATTAGTTTAATAGTACTAACAAACAAAATTGTGCACTACTTTTATTATTATTATTATTAGTATTATTATTATTATGATGCAAACAAATCCCTTTGTTACTACTTGACATTATTTAATTTGCATAAAATCTAGCAACCTCTATAATAATTCCCAAATCTAATTAGATTATTGTGTTCGAATTTGTTGTCCCTTTGTGAACCCTATGAATTAATAATAAACTATATGTAGACCTATTTATCAATCAAGTAGAGTGGACCATATATATATATATATAATTAATTTCACACTTTAATAATTAGATCAAGAAATTAATTTTTATTTGTAGAGTTGATCATGTTTCTCTAAATCCATCATAAAGTAGTAGTAATAATAAAGCTCTCTCTAGTTGTACGTATCTATTTTATTTTATGTTTTTGATGTAGTTCTAGTATATTAACTGTTTTATAAATAATAATATAATAGAAAGATTAAAAAAAAAAAAAAACAATTTTGTCTTAAACTTATTTATTTTTTTAATAGTATTATTTGTTATGTAAAGGGTAGGAGTATTTGTTTTTTTATTAAAGTAAAAATATTTTACTAAAAAAATAAATAAATATAACGGAGAAAAATGATAAAATAATTATATCTGACTAAACGTATAAAATAATAATAATAATAATAATAATGTCATAGTTCGAATTCTAAGTTTGTTCATCGAGTATTTTGTGATAAAATAACTTTTCATAAATATTATTTAAAAAATATAATATACACGTATTAATATGATATACTATATAATAGTATATATTTTATTTATTCATAAAAAAAACTTTGATTTAATTATACTTTATATTATCAATATAATGTTTCATATTTAATATAAAAACAGATTTTCATCCAAAATCACAAAGTGAACAGATTCTCTATCTCGAATCTATTTACTATATATTTAAAATAATATTTGATGAGATATTTTTTAAAAAATATATATATTTTTTTTTAAAAAAAATAAAGTCCAAATAATATAGCTAGCTGGGTTGAACGAAATTAATCATTAATTATAATATAACAAATTATTATTGGATTAAAACAAATTATGGTATTTATTTAAGAATATTAATTATTATATTTAACAAAGTATAGTATTTAATATGATTATCTCAAAAAAAAAATAAAAAAATAATAAACAAACACTAGTATCATAATACTCTTAACTTTTACTTAAATTACGAGGTAATGATTACGGTGCAGTTTTGAAATGCATTATATATACAAACAACACATATTAGTATTAGACACAATGCATGTTGTGTATAATAAATATATTTGTTATTTTTTAATAATAACAAATGTATTGTATACAAGTATATCATGGGTTAAAATCAACTGTGTGTAGTGTATGAGACTATAGTACTTGTTAGTTCATATGTTGTATTTCTATTATATTAACACATATAATGTGTTGTCTGTAGTAATATTGTGTGTTGTTGAAACTATAGTATATGTGTTTTGTTCGTGTTTTGTATTTGTATTATATTAACATATAAACTGTCCTGTTTGTAGTAATAGTATGCGCTGTCTAATAACAGACGATGGGTTGTTCATGACCGTCCGTAGCCGCCGCCAAATTACAAATATACCATTATGCTAAAAATGTCAAAATTTGTCGCATACTTTCATTAACTAATAAAATATTATATTAAATATTATTTTCATACAAAATTTAAATCAATATATATATATATATATATATATATATACACCTACCTACCTTCTTCATCATCTTCTTCAAGTTCAAAATTTAATTTGCAGCTAGATAATGGAAACAGACACACCACTCTCTGCAGCAGGCGCAGCCATACTTACTCATTAATAATAATTATTCATTCCCTCCCAAAAACGCAATTCAACTCAACTCATTTCCAGAACCTTCAATATCTCTCTCTACATATAATATATTTATTTATTAAAAAATTAAATAAACAAAAAAGTAGCTAGTCTGTTCAAAAAAAGGGTTATTACAGTGAGATCAGCTGAGGCAGCAGATCGATATTGCAGAGAAGATAATTGAAGGTAAACAAATTCAAGAACGACGCCATTGATGGATGCAGTAGGTCTTAATGTTCCTCAGCCAATGGAGTGCTTACACGAATCAGCCCCGCCGCCGTTCCTCAGCAAAACCTACGACTTCGTCGAAGATCCAAACACAAACCACATCGTATCCTGGAGTAGAGCCAACAACAGCTTCATCGTTTGGGATCCTCACAACTTCGCCATGAATCTCCTCCCCAGGTACTTCAAGCACAACAATTTCTCCAGCTTTGTCCGACAGCTCAATACCTACGTACGTAAGATTCGAAATAATCAGTTAATCTCGTCTGTCAATCCTTAAAAACCTCGAATTACATTAATACATCATCAATTAGGGTTTTCTTAAAAGATCGGATCGATTGATTTTTTTCTTACAGGGCTTCAAGAAAGTCGATCCAGACAAATGGGAGTTCGCCAACGAAGGGTTTTTGAGGGGACAAAAGCATTTGCTAAAAGACATTAAAAGAAGAAAGACAACCTCTTCATCATCTTCAACTTCTTGTTCTAATGTCAATTTCCAAAATTCTCAACATTCTAACAACTCCGGCGGCGGTTTTGAACCGTCGTGTGTGGAGGTCGGAATGTTCGGATTGGACATGGAGATCGATCAGCTCCGTCGAGACAAGCAAGTGCTGATGGCGGAGCTGGTAAGGCTCCGGCAGCAGCAACATTCGACGAATTCTTACCTCAAAAAAATGGAGCTAAGGTTAAAAGGGACAGAAAACAAGCAGCAGCAGACGATGAGTTTTCTCGCAAAGGCGATAAAGAATCCGTCATTCTTACAGCAGATGGCGCGGCAGAAGGCGAGGATGAAGGAGATCGAGGAGGAAATAAGCAAGAAAAGGCAAAAAAGGATCGATCATCCGGCGTCGTCAAAAGATGTCCGAGAATTAGGTCATTTAGGGTTTTTGGATGATCCAAAATTGGATCTTTCTTGTGTTAAGATGGAATTGGGAATGGAAGAATCTGAGGAATTGATTAAGGATGATCATGGTGGATTGTTTGGTGTAGAATTTGAGGGATCTTTGGCAATGGACAACATGGGAGATCATCAAATGATCTTGCAAGAAGATTGTTGTGGTAATGAAGAAATAGGGTTGATGAATTCGAATAATCGAGATAAAGGGATAATCGATGAAGGGTTTTGGGGAGATTATCGATTCGAGGGAATCGACGGACAGTTGGATGGCGACAACGACGAAGATCCGATTGTGGATGCTTTTGCTGATCAATTAGGGTTCTTGAATTCTAGTCCATGATTTGAAATTGGGGTTTTTTCTAAATTAGGGTTTTTATTTTTTATTTTTCAAGAAATGCAAACAGTTTATAAATTCATCAAGATTGATCATATTTGGGTATCTTTCTTAGTCTCCAGTTGTCCCTCTCGATTATTTTTGTGTAATCAACTTGTTATAAATTAACACATTCAACCTGAAAATGATCCTTCTTGTTAAATGACAATTTTACCTACAATTTTATAGAGAAATACATTATTATTATTTTTTACACGACGAAGTTATCTAAAAATTTAAGTTTATAGAGAAATGTATACTTAATTACATATTACTCTTTCCATCTATCATTCACCTTTACATCACATTAAAAATATCCTTATATTTGTATAATTTTTTATTTTACAAATGTCCTTCTATTAGTATCATAAAACACTAATGGAAGTATTTTTATAATTTTTTATTAATTTGTACTATATTTTGATATAATAATTAATATTTAAATATTAATACACAAAAAGTAAATAGACCCTTAAAGCCGATAGAAGGTAATATATAATTTTTCAACAATTGGTGTTATCTAAAAATTTAAGTTTATAGAAAAATTTAATGTTAATTACATATTATATAGTTTTCCAACCATTGACATGGTAGATGTCATTAGTGTATATTTTTCATCATTTTTGTGAAGGATTGACTTGTGAATTTCAGCAGTGGCAGGCAATGTTATTGCAAAAATGCCTTTGCAGGAATGGTATAAAGGAAAGGAAAGTATATATATATATATATATATTTATTGCCTGCCTGTCAAATAGGATAGAATTGCACATGCTGCCTGTGTCTATAACCATCTATACATACATACATATATACATTATACTCCCTCAAGGCTCATGTTCATCTATCAATTTATTTATTTTTTATTATTATTTTTTTTTACGGAGTTTTAAAAATATTATTATTATATTAAAATATAATAAAAATAAAAATAAAAAGATTAAAATAATTTTATTAGTATCGTACGATATAAAGGTAATGATATTTGTATAATATATTATAAATTGAAATAGTATTTATAATATTAGTTAGATAGTATACAATTGCTAAAAATAAGAAAAAATAAATAAATACTTTCTTATAGGACGGACCAAAATGAAAAAATGGATAAGTTAGGCATGCGGATTTTGGGTTTAGTTTGGGATGATTTGATTTAAATTTTATATTAAAAGAATATTTTTATGATATATATATATATAGGTGGACAAAAAATTGTGTTATTTTTAATAAACACAAAATTTGTACAAATTACATTTGATTTGAATTTAAAGCGGGTCCTATTCTATAAATGGGTCATTTGATTCTCCTTCCGGGTCGATTTGTTTTCCAACTTAATTTTTTTATGACTTCTTTGATCCGAAGAGATTTGGTCTTCGGTTTGATTTTGTGCCGAACTTTGGAGAGCTTTGGTCTCCATGCAGGCGATTTGATCGTCGGCTTTGGATTTGATATCTTTTTTAGACGATCCGAGGCTTTGATCTTTGATTTGACTTTGCCGCCTTTTGGAGGGCTTTGGTCTCCGTGTTGGCGATTTGATCATCGTCTTTGGATTTGTTGTCTTCTTTGGACGATCCACAACTTTGATATTTGTTTTGGCTTTGCCGCTTTTGGAGGACTTTGGTCTCCGCGTTGGCGATTTGATCATCATCTTTGGATTTGTTGTCTTATTTAGACGATCCACAACTTTGATCTTTAGTTTGCCTTTTCCGCCTTTTGGAGAGCTTCGGTCTCCGTGTGGGCGATTTGATCATCAGCTTTGGATTTGATGTCTTCTTTGGACGATCCGCAGCTTTGATCTTTGATTTATCTTTGCCGCTTTTGGAGAGCTTTGGTCTCCATGTGGACGATTTGATCGTCGGCTTTGGATTTGATGTCCTCTTTAAACGATCCACAACTTTGATATTTGAGAAGATAGATTTGGTGCTCCATAACGCTTTTGGCGGCGTGTCCCTCTGACTTTTGGATCGAAGAGGGCCGAGTTGTTGCTTTGGTGAAGAATGCGGTGAACACCTCGAAGCTTTGGGATGAACTTTGGAGACCTTCCCTTGGCTTTGACGAATTCCTCAACGACTTTGAGAGCTTTGATCCTTGAAGAGGTGGATTTAGTGCTCCATAACGCTTTTGGCGGCATGTCCCTTTGAATTTTGGATCGAAGAGGGCCTGGTTTGCGCCTTTTATAAAGAACGCGACGAATATCTTGAAGCTTTGGGAGCGACTTTGGAGGCTCTTCCTTGGCTTTGATGGATTCCTCGATGGCTTTGAGAGCTTTGATCCTTCTTCCGGCTCGGACATACGACGAAGAACGTTAACTCCATCGATTTGCCAACCAATATTGGATCATTTGTCCAAATCGGTGACTTTTCGACGAAGAACGCTTCGAAGGACACGAAGAACAATGAAGAACATTGCAGAGAATCTAGAGAGACTTACCCCTTGCGCGAGTCTTCAAATGAATTTCGGTGTATAAATGAATTGGCCAAGGCTCCTATTTATAGGGGAGGGTGGCCTTGGCTTCCTTTTCGGATGGTGCCACGTGGATGGAAAGATTTTATAATCTTTCCTTTTCCATTAGATGTTGTTTTCCATTTTTGACGGATTTGATTATGCACCTTCCTTTCTCGCCAAAATCTTTATATCGTTGTCTTTTTTGGAAGATATTAATTTATATACTTCATTTATTGACAAGATCTTTATATCATTGCCTTGTTTGGAAGATATTAATTTATATACTTCATTTATTGACAAGATTAATTTATTTTGCTGCCAAATTTATTATAGCTCTATTTATGCACGAAATATTTGTACGATATCTTCCATTTTAAGCAGATTTTTGCATTAATGGTTGATATTTATTGTACAAAAATTAACATATATGCATAATTAAATATCATATATTTATTTTATTGGATTTTTATTTTCTTCCAAAATATATGATATCTAATTGATTTTAGACATATATTTTTAGTGTCTACAATATATATTAAAAAAATATAGAAGTCAAATAGTAAATTTTAAAAATTGAGTTAAACACAATTTTTGGCAGTCAGACTTGCGTGCCCTAATACCCTCAAAGATCTTCGAGTCTAAGATATATCTCGAAAAGAATTTATTCTATCATTTCAGTAAGTATGCATAAAATATATATTATTGTCGGCTTGTTGCTAATGTAAATTGGTAAGGTACTTCCACAAAATATGAGACGCCCTCTCCCAAGTGCCTTAGAGAAATTGGTTTTGAAAGACATGTCGATTAAAGCTGATAATGGTCGATTCATGTCGGGTTGAATATTTTAAACGGATTAAATTGCTCAATTCTAACCCGGTCCGTTTATTATCGTGTCGGGTTCGGGTTGACTCGTGTTGACCTGTATACATAATTAAGTCGAAATTTTCTATTCAAATTAAATTATTTTTTGTTGTGTTATGTTAGTTTTTATTTGTTTGAGCGTAAATTGGGTTAAATTATTTGAAATTGAACTTAGTTTAAATTAATTTATGAGAAAATTATTAAATTATGATTATTTTACATATATAATAAGTATATTAATCAATATTAATATATTATAATCGGATTGTCGTATCGGGTTTGAGTTGAGAGCTTCAACCCTAACCCGACCCATTTATTATTGTGTTGGGTTCATGTCAACTCGTATACATAATCGAGTTGAAATCTTGGACTCAAACTTAATTATTTCATATCGAGTTGTCATGTCGGGTCAGTTTTTGTCAATTCTAATCCCAATGAACTTCATGGCCTTCTTGCCCAAGACCAAATATGCCAACTTCATTGCTTTACAAATTGTACGGTGTATCTCGTCCAATAGTTAATGATCGAGATGTGGTATTTTAAACACCTTTTGGTAAAAACTTTTTAAACTCCTTTGGTGTTTTTTCGTCGGAGCAACCATGGAAATGGGTTAGTTTTCTTCAGTGGGTGGAGTATTGGTACGATACTACTTTCCAAACAACAACTAATAAAATTATCCTCTTCGAAGCCGTTTATGGGTAACCGTCACTGGATTTGCACTGCTACCTCCGAGGGAGAATGTACTGCTTTAGCTAGTACGGTTCAACTTAGAACGGACGCAAATGCAAAAAATATGTCAATGCGAACCGTTGTGAGCTGAAATTTGATGTTAGGGATGCAGTGTTTTTGAAGCTTCAACCATATAGACAAATTTTGATGTGGACCACAAGCTGCAACAAGCTGCTTTAGCACTATTATGGTCCTTTTCAAATAGATAAATGCATTGAAGCTACGACATATCGATTGGATCTACTAGAATCGAACGGGATTTAGAAAATATATAGATTTTGTATGATTTTGACTGTTTTTTTAGTTTTAATTATATAATTGTTGGACATGGGTCCAAAAGCACCTAAACGAGAAAGAGGCTCAAAGACAAAAGTGGTGCCAGAGTTTATGGGTCACGGAGCCGTTCAACAGCAATGAAACTCCAAGCCTCGGAGCCAAAGACTGCTGCCTTCACAAAGCCGAAGACAACAGTTTCCATTGGATTGTAGTGCTTCCACATGGCCAAAAACAGCAGCCTCCATGGATCTTAGGGGCAGCAACTCCGTGGACTATGACGACTCCATCCCGGAACAATATTTCCATAAGGTCAGAAAGTGTTGTCTCCATTGGGTTGAAAACAACTACCTCTATTGGACTGCGGTGCTTCTTCAAAATAGAGGAAGATTGCCTCCACAAGATAGAAAACAATAGCTTCCACAGATCATGAGATAATTACCTCCGTTGGCCCTGGGTTAATAACTTCGTACTTAAAATTAGTGGAGGAACTATACATCTTCATACTTTATTAAAAAAACTCAATGGAACAAGCCAACAAGAGGAAAACTGAAGATTCCATTTAACTCAAGGCTGTTGAGGATACATCCCCGTGGACCGATTAGGAGTACGATGGAAACAAGTCGGAGTAAACAACAGATCTGGTCCAAAGGCAATGGAAGAAGTTCGGAGCAAGTGGAACCCGATCCAAAGACAATGAAAGCGGTTGGGAACTGATGGAAAGAAATTACCAGGTTGTTAGGAGTTTATGGAAGGAGGTTACGAGGGAGTTGATGGAAGGAGGTTACCAGGTGGTTAGGAGCTTATGGAAGGAGGTTACCAGGGAGTTGATGGAAAGAGGTTACCAGGTGGTTAGGAGGTAGCGGAAGGAGGTTACCAGGGAGTTGGAGGTAGTAGTGGGAGGTTACCAAGCGATTGAGAGTGGTGGAGGAATAATTGTAACCGCCCTTTTAGTGGGAGATGTGGTTATTCTAGCTTAGGATTAAAGTTAGGGAAAAAACACATCGCAGAGATGCACAAGAAGATCAACTCGTATTTTTCTCTATTTTCTTTTTATGTTCTAGTTTCGTGTTTAGGCATTTTAATTCGAATTACATGGCTTTATGTTTCTAGCATATTTTTATCCGCTTTCCAGTAGATTTATCCGAGTTTTAGTAGATATTAGTTTAAATTCATCGAAATCGGTCATTTAGGCTGGAAGCTTCGTGTAAGATCGAAGCCGTGCAGGCTCCACCGAAGGAGCCGCCCAAAATCCGACGACGGACAGGCTCTTTGGAGTACTTCCGGAACCCACACCGACAAATCTACGAATATTCTTGGAACCTCCGAATTTCAGGATCCAACAATAATCTTGGTGAAATCTGTAAAAAAAATACTCCATCTGTCCAGCTATAAAGTATACATATTTCTATTTTGGGACGTCCAACTACAAAGTAACAATTTCATTAAATACCCTTTTTTTTTTTTTATAAATACCCTTACTTTACATCACATCATTACTTTTATATCAAAAAGTAAGGGCAAAAATGTCATTACACTACTTTTACCTACCCACTATAATTAAAATACTATTATTTTTTAAATTTTGCACCAAAAGTAAATATATATTTTATCCGTGGACGGAGGAAGTATAATTATTTTCAAAAAAAAAAAAAATGCTCTAAGATATGAACGGACATTTCAATATGAAAAGTATGACATTATATGTGACGAAAAAAATAATAGTCTATGGATTGTATTAATGTAACACAACTGTATAGTATGAATAGACCGTTTATGATATTTGATCAACAGAGCATATGTTAGTTTTAGTTCCAGCAATACATGTGAGAAATAATTGTTCCGTGTACTTACCCAGTGCACACTTTCGGGTAGAGACTAAAGTTCCATGTCATGAAAAAAAATATAAATGCTAATAAGTTGTGTTTAGTTTGTGTTTAAGTTTTAGATAGATATGATCATTTACAAATAATAATAATAATAATTAATTAAAAAAAAGTAGTAACTTTTTTTAAAGTTTAACTATAATTTTCTACGATGTTACTATGAAAAAGAATACTTCTTTTCTCTTTTAACAATTTTTATTATTATTATTATTTTGATTCGTTTTATTACAAAATATTATTTTTTTTTTAGTAATTGTACTATCTAAAAAAAACTTCTATGTCAGTTTGCAAAATTTATTGAGGGTGCGTTTGTTTGGGGATTCTCTCTCAAATACACTATTCACTTCATTTTTTTTTTCTAAAAAATATCAAATAAAACATCTGTTTTTTTTATATTATAAAATTAATTTTACATTCAAAATATCACATCAATATCTATTTATATCATGTCATACAACTATTTAAATTCAAAATTTGTACTGTTCAAATCCCACTCAAAATCCAAACCGAGCCAAATACACCTCAAAAGATCATTTGGTCCTAAAATTTAATTAATTTATCTGTGATTGAAATAATGTTACAAAAAGTACCACATCCATTAGTATTTAAGGGAGATGATTAAGGGTGTGTTTGTTTGGTGGATTGGATTTTAAATCCAATATTTATCTCAATTTTTTTTCAAAAAACATCAAATCAAATATTTATGTTTTATATTATATTAAAAATCAATTTTATATTCAAAACATCACATCAACATCTATTATATTACATCAACAATTATTCAAATTCAAAACTTTTACTATTCAAATCTCAACTCAAAATCCAAACCCTCAAACAAACACACCCTAAATTGCTGGGTATTACTAGTAGTAAAAAAAAAAAAAAACTACTTTTAATAATACACAATACAGTAGGGAATTCTTTTAACTTTTCTTTATACTATTACTTGAAATTTTTTCAAACAAATTTTGTAAACTACTACATGAAAGACAAAAAAGGTTAAAAAGTTGGACACGGGTATTATTTGATTACGCAATTCAATCTTTACAAGATCTGGAAGATTCCATTTCGTAACTGAAAGGTCTCTATTTTAATTAATATAATAATAATATTATTATTATTATTATTTATAGTATCTATTTTAAATTTATTACTTAATTATTTAAAAAAATTAAATAAGTGTTAAAACATACTGTATATTTCATTTTAAATATTATAATTTTTTTATAAAATATTAAATTATATTATATATATTAAAAATTGTGTCCAGTTCAAAAATATAATGATATCAAAATTTTTTGAATTCCAAAATTTAAAAAAAAAATAATAAAAAATATATTAATAAAATTTAATATAATATAAATATAAATAATTATAAATTAGAAGTAAAATAATTAACTAATTTAATAATAATAAAAAAATTATACTTTCTTCGTTCCACCGTAATTGAACAATTTGATTAGAGATACTATATTTAAAGTGAAAATATTTAATTAATTAATAATAATTAATTATTATATTATTTTTTAAAACAATAATTTAAAAATATATGAAATATGAATATCATTTCTTAGAGAATAAAATTTTCTATAATATAAATAAATAAAAAAATATTTTTATTTATTTATAATTAACATAAATCAATTTTATAAAAAAATATAATTTTAAATATAGATAAAAATATATATTTTTTTAAAAACGATATAGAAATAAAAATTTTTTAAGTGGATCTTAAGTCATTTATAATGTTATATGTAATGTAATTAAATTAATTTATATTTGTTAAATATATTTTAATTTAATAATTTTTATCACAAATAAAAAAGTATTAATTATTATCGAATATACAAAAATAAAAATAATATCAATTGTAGTGAAACTGAGAAAATAAATTATAAAAATTAAAATATAATTAAAACGTAAAATATTTTTTAAAAAAAAAAGATTGACACGTAAAACAAACGAAAATAAAAAATGTTTGTTAACAAGAGTGAATAATAGACAAACAAACATTCTGTTCTGCATATTTTTTCATTTAATTTAATTACAGTGATGGCAAAAGTGACACTGTAACAGTAAAAAGGAAAGAGAGAGAGGGTGGGGGAGGGGTAAATAAGTAAAGCGGGGTGGGGTGAAATAATTAATGATATAAATAAATAAAAGATATTCAGACATTATTAATTAGGGCGCCTCCTTTGAGAAACTCGGTGAAGGCGAGGGCCACGAGTCCCAGCATAGCGAACCTGCCGTTCCAGAGCTCCGCGTCGGAGCTCATGAGGTCCCCGGACCTGGACTCCACCGTGACTCCTTTGAACATAGGAATAAGGGACGCAAGCGACAAAACCAGGCTGGTCCCCAAGAACCAGGGAACTCCGCCCATCTCAATCTGGGAAAAGATGCCCTGCCCTTTCGCTATCTCCACTCCAATCGCCGCCGCAAATCCGATCATCGCCAGCCGTCCGTTTATCCTCTCCGGCCCCGGCCCCCCGAACGCCAGCACATCCTCAAACCTCGTACTCACCTTAATAATTAATTAATTAATTAATTAAACAAACACTATTCTCTTCAAACATACGCTCCAAAAAAAAAAACCCTCAAATATTATTATTCTTTTATAGGCTGTGTTCTTTTCGAGATTTCAGCAAATTTTTATTCACCAAATATTTTTTGAAAAAAATTATTAAATTAAATAAAATATTTTTAATTTTTATATTATACTTTGGTTTCTCAATTAAAAAAAAAATGAAAGGAATATCTCAATTAAAAAAAAAAAATGAAAGGAATATAAAAAAATTAAAAAATAATAATATTAAATATATTTATAAAAGAACAAAATATTTACTTTAAAAAATCAATTTTACGTTAAAAAATTCACGTCAAATACCTATAAAACTTTCGCTATTCAGACGTCTAACTCAAAATTCAAATCTTCAAACAAATACAGTCTTAGAACATTATAAAAAAAAAAAAAAAAAAAAAAAACACAAACACACCCTCAGAACATTATCAAAAAACATAAAAAAACTATTATTACACATAATAAATATATATACCTTTGGCTTAGGGGGTGGGGTGAGGGGTGGTTGCTGTAGGGTTTCTGCCTTCTCTTGTAGATCTTTGATTTCCTTCTCCTCCGGCTGTTTCCACAACCATAAATCAGATCAGCCTCAGCCTCAGCCTCAACCTCAACCTTATCGAAGATCAAATTCAAAATAAATTAAAAATAAACAAACGAAGAATCCTCGTATGTCCGTACCTCAGCCATACATCGAACAGCGAGACGACGAGGTTGAGATCGAGGATAATTATAATTCCTCCTTACTTTCGTCGAAGCTCCAATTAGTCGTAACCTGTCCGAAGATGCTGTTGTTGCCTTCTTCGACGACCGCAGAAGTAGCGACGCTGTGTCTGATTGATTAATTCCATATGACCAAATTGCACTTGCACTCGCTGCACCCATTTTTCTTCTTCTTCTCTTTTGCCCTAAAGCTCTGTGTGTTTTTGTTTTGCGACTACTTTTTGCTTATAATTTATAAAGTGCAATTTCTATTGCTATTTATTATTATAAAATGGTGGGAGAAGCAGCATATATATATATATATATAGATACAGATAGATACAGAGTAATGGAGAGACAGAAAAGGGGTGGATATTTAAGAATCCACGTAGTTTGCCTCTACACGACACGCACTATATATGCAATTTATTTATTTTTATTTTTATTATTATTATTTTTTAAAAATTATTGATGCATACGTTCCACACTTCCCATCCAAGTGTTCTTTTTTAACAATTCAAATTTTAGTTTTTTATTATTTAAATTTTATATTTTAAAAAAATATTTTTCATATATTATTTTAATATTAAATTTAAATAAATTTTTTTTCAATTTCGTGGAAAAAATATAAATATACTTAGGTTATTTTAAATATGAAAATTTTAAAAAAATATAATTAATAAATAATTAAAATATTAATAAAGATACTTATAAATTAAAATTAAATTATTAAATAATTTAATAAAATTAAAATATAATTAAAGTGTAAAATTATTTTTTAAAAAGAAATAGACAAATTATTAGGACAAAAATAAAAAAAAAAATATTTTATGTAGGAGAGATAAAATATTACTTTCTTGGTTAGGTAAAAATAGTCCATTAAAATAATAATAATAATAAATGACAAAATTTTTATGGAAAAATTAGCTTTAAATATTTTTAAATATTTAATTAAAAATTAAGGATAATAAAAAATATAATAATTATAGTAAATAAATTTAAATTTCTCTGCATATGGTGTGTTTATTTATAAAATTTAGGTTTTTAATTTTGATTTTGAATAATAAAATTTTGAATTGAAATAGTGGTTTAATGTGATATAAATATGTATTGATGTGATATTTTGAATGTAAAATTTAATTTTAGTGTAATACTCTCTCCATCCACACACAAAGTAAACATTTATTTTTGACACAGTAGTTAAAAGTAGTAAAATGACATTTTTGCCCTTACTTTTTGGTATAAAAGTAATGATGTGATGTAAAGTAAGAGTATTTGTGGAAAAAATGAGGTATTTAATGAAATGTTTATTTTGTAATTGGATCGTCCCAAAATAGAAATATGTATACTTTCTAATTGGACGAAGGGAGTATAATAAATAAAAAATAGATGTTTGATTTGATATTGTTTGAAGAAAAAAAAATTGGAATAGTAAAACGGAAAAACAGATCTCACAAGTAAACACTTTATCAATACTCTCTCCGTCCCATTGAAAGGTTACCATTTTCTATTTTCGTCCGTCCTAAAACAAGGTTACAATTTCCTAATTTAGTAATTGTACTACCTACCTAACATAATAAATACATTTTCAACTTACAATATATTAGACAAATATCATTTCTTTTATATTACACTGTACTAATAGGGATATCTTTATCTTTTTTACTACAATCTAATATAATACTAATATTAAAAAATCTACGTGCAAAAAATAAATATCACCCTTCCAAACGGACAGAAAGAGTAATAAAATAAATTTGACAAAAAAAAAAACAACTGAAGAATGAAACATTTTACATGTGCAAGTTGGCTATGTGCATTAGTTCGCTAGCTGAAGTGTTTTTTTATTACTCCTTCCGTCCCAAAACTATAGTCTGGGTTATGTTTGATACGATAATTAAGAAATATTGATATTATATTAATAATAGATAAAAAATATATGTAAAAGACTTTTTTGACCTGGTGAGTGTATTAGTGTAAAAAGTAGTGACAATTGTGTAATAATAATGAAAGAGTAAGGACAGTTTTAGAGTGATATGATAATTTATGAAAATGAGACTATTGTTTTTGGACGAACAAAAATGATAAATATGACTATTGTATTGGGACGGATTGAGTATTATTTTTTTAATATTTCTTTCGCCTCAAATCAATAATCTTATATTATTATTTTTATCTGTTTTAAAATAATAGTTGTATTTTTCATTTTAGTAACTAACTTTTTATATTTTTATAATAATTATATAAAGTAAAAATATTTTAATTTTTTAAAAATACTTTTACACTATCTATCAATATTATACTATTATTATTTAATTTTTTTATCCATCTCAAATGTCCCTATTACTTTAGAACGGACTAAGTATAAATATTGTGTTGAAAACAATAATATTTTATGTTGAATTACTAATCTTTTAATAAATAAAAAATATATATTATATATTGTGTTAATATTTATATATTATAATATTTATGATATATTATGTCACGGAAAATAATTTTCTCCGTCTCAAAAAAATTGTTTTGTTTTTCTATTTTCGTCCGTCCCAAAATAATTGTCTCGTTTCCTTATTTAGTAACCGTGGTCCCTACTTTATAACAAAACTATTCCTATTTTTCCAAATTATCCATAATTATTACTCTAACCTACTTTTTAAAATCTTTCAAAAGCAATGACATTTTAGTCTTTTATATTCTACTTTATACCCACTCACGTGCCAACGCTCAATAAGACGCCTCTTTTGAGAGGGAGGAAGTACTAAACTAAGAAACCAAAAAAAATTTGGATAAATTTCACGTAATGTAATACTACATCTATCCGGCTTTAATGGTCTTATTTATTTTTTGCATATTAATTTTTGAATATTAGTTATTATATCAAAAACGTAATACAAATTAAAAAAAATTACAAAAATACTTTCATTAGATACTACTAGAAGATTATTTATACAAATATAAAATATTTTTAATATTAAATATAATAATGCAAAACATAAATGTGAACCTAAATCAGGGGGAGAGAGAGAGTATATAAAAAAATAAATATAAATATTAATATCCAAATAAATTGAAATGATAATTAAACATACTTTTATATATTCATTTTTTAAAAAATAATAATAATAATAAATAAATAAAAATTGTATGCATTTGTTAGGACGACGTTAAGACAAGCAGGCAGGGAAGTAAAGTAAAGTCACGTGGTTGGGTGCAGACAGTTTCTTACAGGAGCAGGAGTAGGAATTCTCTAGAAATTTCTAGGCCTTGCTACTTGCTACTACATTTCTCTTTCGCGCTACTCTCTTGTCCGCATGTTATAGTTGGGTACAGAGGTGTTTGTTTCATATTTGAATAATTATTAAAATTTTGTTAAAAAAATAAAAAAGAAAGTATCGTAATAAAAATAAAAAAATGTAGTAATAAATTTGTTATTATTTATCAAAATATACGTAATAAACTTATGATTAATAAGATAAATTTAACGAATAATAATAAAATACTACTATAATTATACCAATTGAGAAAATATAATTTTCAGAATATGAATTTAATATAAATTTAAATTTTTGTTTAAATAATATTTTGATATAAAAAAATATCCCTTTTGTTCCACGTACGCAGGGCCGTCCCTGGACTTGGGCGAAAGGGGCGACCGCCCAGGGGCCAATCTAAATTGGGGCCTATTATTTATTTATATTATATATAAATTATTTATATATATATATTATTTGACATTAATATTTTTTACAATAGCATGGCTTGGTGGTTAATTTCTATTTATATTATTTTTTAGGTTTTGGGTTTAAACTCAACAATCTTTAAAATTTAAAAATATTTTTTTTACATTAAAAAAATTAGACAAAGTTAATATTAATAGTATTAGTGATATTTTGCATATAAAAATATTATGAAATTTATTTTATTTAATTATTTATATTTTATTATAGATAAAGAAATATATTATTTATATATATTTATGGCCCCTAATTTTTGTTTTAAGATTGTTAATATTAATACTATTATTAATATTTTATCTAAAAATTATAAAAAATAATTTTATTTAATAATTTATATTCTATTATAGGTATAAAAAACGGAGTAGATTATTTATATATATTTAGGGGTTTTTTATTTTTGTTTTAATTATTTTTTTTGCACTAAAAAGATAATAAATTTTAGATAAAATTATTATTATTATTATTATTATTATTATGCAAAATTATCAATAACGACCTTTATGATTTCGAAACTCAGTGTAAACCCTCTATATACTTTAAAAATGACATGAACCCCTTTATATTTTAAAAACGTTTCATTAAACTCATTTTTATATTTTTTTTTGTGTTGAGAATATGACTTTTCATCTATATTTTTTGTATGACGGAGTTTCATATAGCGTTTGTTAAAATATAAGGGAGTTTTACATAATTTTTAAAATTTATGCTAGAATTTTTTTTTTTAAATTTATATTTCATTTTAGGTAAAAAATATTATATATATATATTTAAGGGCCTCTAACTTTTATTTCACCCCGGACCCTTCGAAAATCAGGAACAGCCCTGCACATATGTTGCCGTATTTTTCCATCTTGATTTTTCTTATATATCACGCTATATTTCTAAAATAAAAAATAATTAATTACATTTTATTTCATGATATTGCTCACATAAAAAAGTTGACTATATAATTTTCTCTCCTTATTGCTTCACCTTATTCTTAATTTATTCCATCTAATATTATCCATTTGAATTTTTATATAAAAAACCAAATATTTCACCAAGAAAAGAGTAATACGTTTATATTAAGAACCAATATAAAATAAATAACTGTAATTTCAAATTAAAACCTCAATAAAAAACAACCCCTAAAAAGTGAGTAGAAACCATTATACACCCCACTTTTCCGAGAGCAGCACTGAATGTGGATAAAGTTGAAAAGATTGGGCTGGTTTACACGTCAAATCTTTTCTCAACTTTTTTTTTTATTTTTTATTTTTTATATATATATATATATTTTTAAATTTTATCTCTGTTAAATTTATTAAATTATTATAGCATTTGACAAAATAAAAAAATAAAAATTTAATTATTATTTATTTATTTAATATTTACTTATAATAAATCATATTAATTTTATTATATTTATTTTTAATTACTAATTAATTTTCTTAAAAAATCTTTAACTATTTTTATATTTTTTAATAAAATACTCTCTCCTTCTCAAACACCTTACAATATTTCTTTTTTTATTTGTCCCATACTCACTGCAACATTTCCAAATTTAGAAATAATTGATAATATTTGTATATATATATTTTATACATTTCACTTTATCACATCACTCAAATAAAAAAAAATATAAATAATTATTTCTCTCTCCAATCACATCACTTAATATCCAAATTATCTCTAATTACTATACTTAATACTCCCCACCTAAATTCTCGTGCCAAACACAAATGTTGCACGGTATTTGGAATAGAGGGAATATTAATTTTTCAATTCATGTACTGGACGGAAGAGAGTATTATTTTCCTCTTACTCCGGTCATTCAATTCAATAAATAGTTGTATGATGTGATATAAATAAGTGTTGATACTATGTTTTGATATTAAATTGATTAATAGATGTTTAATTTGATATTTTTAAAGAAAAAAATTAGATGTATAGTAAAGTTTGAGAAAAATTCCCTAGACAAACGCACCTTAAATATTGATGTCAAATGGGACGGGTTAGTCCGAGAACGACCCCAGATCCACTCTTAATGAAGCGGGTTCGAGTCTAAAAGATATGCTTTGAAGTGGGTTATAGATTTTACTAAAAAGTCGTCCCACTCAGATCTAAACCCGAACCCGAATATTTTAATAATTATTAAATGAATATATATTTATATAGTATAAATTATATTGCATATTTATTTTAAAAAATTAAATATAAATTATAATTATAATTTCTAACTCAAATTTGTCATTCTTCGTAATCATGACTATTGTGGTCGCGTAGCTTGCCGCCGATTGCTTTGCTATCACTGCTTACACTTGATTGTTCTTGTTTTTAAAACTAAATTTTTTTTAGTATTTTAATACTTGCATTTTATTTTAAAAACCGAGTTAGCGCCGAATCGGGAGAGTTCGGATTGAAACAGGTCATAGAGCCGGAAATGAACATACATATCATATAAAGAAGAATAAAAACATAAAGGTCCTGTAAGGGATGACCCGGTGGTGTAGGGGTTGAATTTGTGACCATGAGAAATAAAAACATAAAGGTTCAAACCCCCGACGCCTTAGGTCATAAACCTAAGGTTGGAAGTTCCTAATGGTTAGAAATAACATTTAATAGTATGGTTTGTAGGAGATTAACCTAAATCCATGAACAAGTTTTTTGATCAAAGACAGCATTAAGTTCATGTCTACTATGTTTAGAGTAGAAAAACTTTTTAACTACAATAAAATACAACATGCAAAAAAAAAAAAAAAAAAAAAAACCCATATAATTAACATATCATTTGGTTACAACAAATTCAAGGAAGATATGCAATTATATAATAGTAAAATGTATTAATGCATACAAAACTAAATATAATTTTTATCTTAAATTGCACAAAACAAACAAGCAGATGAACCATATAATATTCCCGCATGTAAAGTTGGCAATGGATTCACAATCCCTCGCACAATCCGTCATTATATTCACAAGGGATATATTACCCATTGTGTTATACCATTCTCATTTTCTTCATAATTCTCTTTGAACTCTCAAATTTCATCTAATGTCCCATTAAGATATATGATCGAATGGAATATGAACGATTACTAACATACCGGTAAATATCTATAACAAAGTGAGCATTATAAGTTATTCCAATCCATATGTAAGTATGCAATTCTTATGTCAGGATGAAAATGTTTTGATATTTATAGAATATTGTAGTTCTTCAATATTTGGGAATGAGGAGACTTTGATATCTTTTAGATGGTGCAATTCCACGATTTTTTCTAAAAGAATTTTCGAGAACGAAACCTCAAAATATCAAATAATTGCACCATAAAAAAAATATCAAAGTTTTCTCTTCAAATATTAGAGAATTGCAACATAGAAAAAATATCAAAATCTTTTAATCCCGATGTAAGAATTGCATGCTTACATATATAGATTACCCTTTGTGTTATTCCTAGCAAAATGAACAATTTTTCGAGGGATTTAAATCCCTTGCAAATTTCCAAAACAATGGCTCATCTCCTGTTTCATCGTAAAATCCATAAGAAGTTGTGAGGGATTTTTAATCCCTCGCAATCTAGTGTCATAAGAAGTAGGTGCAATGAAAAGGTTCATGAAGCTTCATCAATGTAAATATTAACAATTAACTTTATGGATCCAAGCATACCTCCTTGAAGTATATATTTGTGGGATGCTATTATTTGGGAGATCACGTAGGTCAATGATTTTAATCTTTCTTTGTTTTTTAGTTGTACATGCAATACAAGTCTAATTCAATCCATAAACATCTGCAATATTGAGTATATTTATTCAATGATGGTTGTTAATTCCACTCATTTTCTTGATAATTCCCCCGAAATTTTCTCTTTGAATTCTCAAATTTCATCTCATGTCTCATTTTCATCTTATTTCCGGATGAAATTGTTTTGATATTTATTCAATATTACAATTCTCCAATATTTGGAGACGAATAGGCTTTGATATCTTTTGAATGGTGCAATTTTCTGATTTTTTAGGTTTTCTCTAAGAGAATTGTCAGAGAACAAAACCTCAAAATTCATATAATTGCACCATCAAAAAGATTTCAAAGTTTTCTTGTCCCCATATATTGGAGAATCGCAACATAAAAAAAATATCAAAATCTTTTCATCATGATGTAAGAATTGCATAGTTACATATGTTGAAATAACTCTGACATTCTCACCTAGTTATAGATATTTACAATACACTACTAATTTTCTATTCTATTCCATATAATCTCTAATGGGACATTGAGATGAAACTTGAGACTACAAAGAGAAAACTTCGAGAGACTCATCAAGAAGATGAAAACAATATAACAAACATCATTGAATAAATATGGTAAATATTCTGTATGTTTGTGGATTGAACTAGACTTACTTGCATTGCATTAATAGCTAAGAAACAAAGAAGGATCAAAGTGATAGACATACGCAAACTCCCAAAGAATAACATGCAAGGAAAAGATACTCCAAGGAGGCCTTTGGACGTGCCACTTTTATTAAGAGATTAAGATAGTTGGATGTATACTTGGCTACATAAAAAAAAAAAAAAAAATTATTTGAAAACATATATTTTGTTTAATATATCTTATATTGTTGTTAACATTTCAATGTTTTATATAATATTTACACTGGTGAAGCTATAGTAACTTTTCATCGCACTCACTGAGAACTTTTATGCAAGCAATGCGCAACGCAATGAAGATTATAATGTTATAACACACATTTCATACTTTTAACAAAGAATACAAAATAAGTTATTTTAGCATTAGAAATAACCTTTGTAGTAACAAGAATTTTTGTCAATTTTCTTTGTAGGAACAGATTATTCTAAGAAATTGATAATAACCACCAACCTACATGAATCAATTTGTCAATGAAATTTAATATTCTCCTTGACAGTATACTTAATAAATCTAGATCCACAAACTAAGAAAAAGAAAATTGTAAATCAGAAAAAGATAAGTACCAATCAAACTTACCAGGTATAACAAAACGGATTGAGCTTTCAACAATTGTCAATAATTTGAGTCTCTATTCCTGCATCAAATGAGGAACAGAAAAGTGAATTTTTTAACAAAATTTTAAAAGCACATCAAAGTTCTTATTCAGGTTAATTGGTCGACAAGGTATAACGATTACTGAGCACAGCTCCTCTAGAAAACAGTCCAAAAATGCAATCAATTACTGTGAATAATTAAAATCAAGACTTAACTGTCTACTAAATAATTCACCAACACTTAAAAGAAACTCACTGAGAAGAATTGCTCCAACAAACCATTGATTCATTCATTTTCTATTGTTGTCTCATACCATTCCAAGTCATCAATCAGCCCCTGGTTGAGATTGAATAATTGATTGGTATCATGCAAACTCAGGTCCCAATCCCAATACCCTCATGCTCGGTAGTCATATGCTAAATCTAACATTCATTCATCTGTATTATTAGTACTAGTAAAGAGAATCTGGAGATGAAGAGAGAAATAGGAGCATTCAATGTTAGGTGCAATGCGACCATTTTCTCATGTAATCCGTTTTGGAGTAGATGTTATCTATAGTCTGTGCACACATGTGAGCATATTCACATATGATATATAAAAAACTTCACCGCTATTTCTGGTAGAAGTCGAGTAATAATAGCTTGGGGAAATGATTATGATCGATCATGTTTAGTTTCTTGAAAGTGAATAAGGTAATATTATAGTTTTATATAATCTAACCACCATTCCCTGCAATCTCTTATTTATATGTTTCTTGCATTTCATTTGACTATCCAATGGTGATGAGTTACTAACAAACTTTACTCTTTATAGTCATTGAAAGAATTGGGAAACAGATAACTTCTTGCAACCCTACATATATAAGGAAGCATACATCCAATATATAACGAAAAGTCGATCGGATGCATAGTGCACAAGCATGTTGAAATTTATCAAGTAATAGAAACAGCAAACACATCTTATAACAATTTCTGGCTTCCATTTGATCAAATAGCTGCTTATTTTATCCAACTAAGGGGACATTATAACAACAAAAATCACAATTCCAGACCACTAAACTAAACGAAAATGCTCTTGATCGTTGATATATAAATCCAATCTTCTGCAAAGAAAGTATAAACATAAAAACTGTGAGTATACAACACAACCAGACTTTTCAATGCAGCAAACTTACATCACATTCAAGTTACACAGAGTAAAAATAAATAAATAAGATCATCTAAGAAAATTTAAAATTATATCAGAATCAGAAAACATTAATTAAACAAAACAAATCACCAGCAGAAATAACATAGAGTGAGGGATCGGAGCATAAAGAAAGAAGTTACTAGAGAAACAGAGATCTAAGAAAATCCGATTGCCTCTACTGATCAACGCGCATGTATTTCTCCAGCCTAAATTAGAAAATGGACACATCAGGAAAGTAAACAGGTGTTGTATCCAAAGATAAATCGAAAGAAAAAGGTATTGCGAAATTACTGGAAGGTGCAGCCGGCGTCGGATGTGGGCGGTGGTGCTGCGGGGATGGCGCAACCGAGTCTGTGGCGGTGCAGCTGAGAATATCTGGTCGGCGGCCATGGTCGAGAAAGTTCGCACCGATGCGGCTGAGAATTCGGCAGCCATTGATTTGTGGATCCCATCTTCAGAGTTACGGTTAGATATAATAAAGTACTGATAAATATATAATTAGGGTAGAATATAATAACTGATTAGTTAGATACTCACTCCATAAACAACGGAATAACTGATTAACGTGTTCAGCGTGGGACCCACACAAAATCTAATGTAATCTAATTTCTATCTCCTCCCGTCCGTCCCACTTTTTTGTCAATTAAAAAAAATTTATACATTTTAATTTTATTTTTAAAATATTAATTTATAATTTTTTTAATTTTAATTATATTAATTAATTATCTTAATCTTAATTTATAATTATTTTTACGGTACGATAATTATTTTCATTAATATATTTTTAATTATTTACTAATTATATCCATCTTAAATTTCCGTGTCTAGGACAAAATATCCCGACCAAGGGAATATAATATAGGAGTATTTAGCATGGAATGATAGTGGAACTATATGGGAATTAATTTTTTTATTTTTTATTTATTTTTCTTAGTTTATAATGTGGGAATTATTATTTTATTTTATAATAAAAGAATTCACAATCGCTATTTGAAAGTGCGCAACGGGTAAATACCACCCGAACTAATATCATGCAAACTAAGTCCGACAATGTAAAAGTCACACTGGGCGAACCATGTGTGGTATGTGAACCGGAAGACGAACGTGGAAATTATCTTTACTTAATATTTTTGTGGATCTTATCATTTAAATTTTTTTTCGCTCGAATCAGATGTACTTATTATTGTAAAATCTATTTTACGCATGACATGAAATTAAAAGAACAAAATCAATAAAATAGTATTATATTTCCTCCATCATATAAAAATATGTTCATTTAATTTGAGTACAAATTTTAATATGATGTGTATTTTAGCAAAAAAATAAAAATGATCTTTCTCTCAACGCCTAATATGATTGTTTGCTTAAATGTAATAAATGAACAATATTTTTCTATAATAGACATATAGTATAATATACTCTCTCCATCTCACATACTATTCAATATTTTTAAAATAAGAAACAATTAACTATAATTAAAAAAGTTTTGAATGAATATGATATTGATTTATATTAATTAAATATATTTCAAATAAATAAATAAATAAATAAATTTAAAAATAAAAAAATGGTCGAACAAAAAAGAAAAAAAAAAGATCATGTGTGGGGGACGAAACAAAGTCCTTATAATGCCAACAATTAAAATTCAATTTACATCTTCATATTTTTTATTTTCTTTTAAACATGAAGTAAAGTTAGTAAAAATACTTTTATTAAAAAATATTTTAAGGGATTTTTTTTTTTTTCTAAAATGTTGTTTAAATTATTAAAATAAGTTTTTAAGTTTTATATTATTTAATTCTTTGTATTAGTTTACGTATAACATAATATGTTCTTTTTTTCAAAAAAAAAAAAAAACAAATTGTTTTAAGACAAAATATTCGTTATAAAATTAATATATAGATTATCTAAATTTTTATTTCAGCATTTCACTTTCAATATTCATAATTTACACAAGTTTTTTCAGCTAACATAGGGGTATTTAATTATTTATGCAATGCATAACTTGAATCAAAATACATAATATTTTCTATTATATATAATAATTATATATATGTTATCATACATGCAATTTTTTTTTTTAATTATAAATATATATTTTTAATATATTACATAATTCGGAGACAAATATTATATTGATAAATAACAACAAAGTGATAGTTTAAATATTATATGAATACATTTATCAATTATTGTTGTCATTTTCGTAATTTCAGCGGTCATTATCTTTATTAAAATACACACATGTCACTCGATAGAAAAAAAAAAAAAAGAAATAATAATAGACATGAATATGAATATAAATTTGGACAAGTTTATATATATAGTTAAATTTATTTTGGTAGGAGCAAAAGTTGCAATACAATTAATAATACAATAAGAGTGTGTTCTCATTTGGTGAAATAAAATTTGTGCATTTCATTTTTTTGTATAGATGTTGTGGTTGTGCTTATCAATATAACATTGTTTATACATACGACTGAACTTGAAAACTTCTTTCCAAGCTGCCTACGTACCCATGAAAGGGATCAAGCGATTACGTAGTTCTAATAATAATAAAAAAAAAAAAAAAAAACTTTTAGACATATTATTCTAATATCTATCAATCTAGTGAGACTGTTCCTGCAAAGAAAATTGAAAAATAATTCTTGTTACTTCAAATATCAAGTTTTCAATGTTAAAATAACTTATTTTGTTATCTGTATTAAAATTATGAAATGTGTGTTATAACATTCCAACCTTGCTTGCTCGATATTTTTCTTGTTCTTTATATATGTCTTATGTGTTCGCTTGCATACGTGAGTGCAATGACAAGTCCTTGGAGTTCCATCAATGTAAATAATATACAAAATATTAAATTATTAACAATGATTTAAAATAGATTAACCAAAATATATTTTAAATAATAGTTTTTTTTTTTTTTTTATTCAAATATACCTCTGACTATTTGAATCTTTTAACAAAAGTGCCACGTCGATATGATTTTTTTGGAATATCCATTTGTGGCATGCTATTCTTGGGAAGATCACATAAGTCAATCATCCGAATTTTTCTTTGTTTTTTAGCTGTACATGAAATACAAGCAAATGTAGTTAATCCACAAACAAATGATAAGATATATTTAGGGTGATTTTTTCAGTGATGTCTTTTATACCATTTTCACTTTCTTGATATCTTTCTTTAAGTTTTCTCTTTGTGATTTCAAGTTTCTTCTCGATATCCATGTCAGAGATCTGATGGAATAGAATTAAAATGATAAGTAATGTCGTGTAAATATTTGTAATTAAACGATCATGCTAAGTTATCAATTCCATAGGTATGTATGCAATGCTCACGTCAGGACGAAGAGGTTTAGAGATCTTCTCAATGTTGCAAATCTTCGTTATTTGTGGACAAGAATTCTTCAATTTTTGTGGAGGAGAAAAGTTTGATACTTTTTGGAGCGAGCTATTCTCTGATTTTTTGGAGCTTTTCTCTGGGTAATTCTTGAAAACTGAAACGAAAAATGTGTCATGAAACCAAATTGCAAAATCATGGAATGTATAAAATTTTGAAAACCAAGGATGAACTCACTTTCTTCGCAGTCGACACCATCAAAGTACTTCATGAAATTCAATAGCATTTTGTCAGTACAAATGCAAAACATCCATATCCTATGCAATTTTTCTAACATAAGTAGTTAAATTTAAGAAAAATAGATTTGTTACATGCTCCAATTCTTTATTTGAATAGTACGGTAAGATGAGCGAGATTGCTGATGTATCCATAGGAGGAACCGCCAATCCTATCCATGATTCGTCGTCCGATTCTATTTACATTTCAAGAAGCACAAGCGATTTATTCATCAATTAGTACATTGATTAAGACTGAAATAATAAAGATTGGTGTTGTAAGCTATAAACCTTCGATGTTCTCCGTAGAATTCATCCAGTCTTGAACCATATGATTCTTATCCCTAATCAATCCATCATTTTGCATTGACTTTTCCATCCTCATATCCTGAAATTGTAATGAAAAATTATTTTCGAAAGAGTACTCGAACAACTAATACAAATAATAAGCATTTGATACGAATCTTGAGTATGTCGACCGACAATCTCCAATAGAAATTTCATATTGAGAGCCGGTTTCTTATAAAACATATCAAACATTCCATTCATAAAATTATTTAAAATGTTTTTATCATAGAAATAATAAAATCAAGAATACAATCATAAATCATCCCGTAAGTTGATTTAGTAGCGTGCGGTGAACTTGTAACCATGAGGTCATTGATTCAATTCTTCGACACCTCTAAGTCTTGTCTATCATTAGTTATGAGTTTAAACTCCCAACACCACTAAATTTTATTTGTCATCGGTCATGAGTTTAAATTTCCGACACCTATAAATCTTGTATGCTATTGGTCATTTAAAAATAATAGTTGCGAGTTTCCACATCATTAAAAAAATAATTATAATAAATAAAATTACAACCATACCTTATTTTCTTCAAAATTTCGCACTAAATGAGCTTTTTTGACACTTGAGGAAGACTCCATATTATTTCTTTCGTGTACGTGGGCTTCTTTTTCTCCCTTTTTAGAAGTTGTCTATGTGTTTTGATAAAACACTAAAAAAGAAAAAAAAAAATTAAAAAAATTAAAATTCAATATCATGGTTAGAAAATCAAATAAAAGACTGATGAAAGCAATAAAATATTCCTCGCCTCGAGGACAAGATCCTAATTTTATGTCGCCTGTATAGGCATAAAAAAGGTTTGTTTCTTCCGTCACTAAACTCAAGTTTCTCCTATTTATATTCTGCATTTTTAAAAAAAAAATATATATTTTTTTCTCACAAAATATCCTATCATACATTATTTTAATACTAAATTCAATAAAATATTCTTGCTGAGTAAAGCTAGAGTATTCTTGTAACCGTTATTTTCTTAACTGTATCTTAAGTACATAAAGTCATTTAGATAATCTTTTTAACCATATTTTCTTTTTGATTTTAAAATTTTCTTATGTGGGTCCCACCACAATACTCCTACTCCCAGCATGTTCACGCCACCGCCCCTCTCATCGTCTTCTTTCTAAATCCTAAACCAACCACACGCGCCGCCGCGTGCATCTCCGAGACGCCCTCAATTGAAGGTCCGTACAGTTACGTCATCCCTCTGTCACGCTGCTTTCACCGTCGGTACTATTCGCCGGAAGTGGAGTCAGCACTGTAGCCGTACCGGAGAGGACAAGGAGACGACAGAGGACGAAGAAGGCTCATAAGAAGAGAAAAATGGAGAAGAAGAACAAAGGAGAGGAAAGAAAGAAGAACGAGAAAAAGGCGAGGGGACGGGCGGCGGTGCCGGTGGGTGATTGATTGAGGGTTTCTGTTTTGTTTTTTCATTTTTTTTTAAAAGATATAAATAAATAAAATAAAATAAATAAATAAATAAATTAATCAATTAAAATATTGATCATGAGATGAGACATCTCGTTTGAGCAGAAAGTTATGGGAAGATTTTCCCACTCAAAGAATAAAGAAAGAAGATTCAAATAAACATAGAAATATTGATCAGGCAGCGAGACATCCCTATTTGAGGAGAAAGTCTCACTCAAAAAGAAATAAAAAAATTTGAATCAATTAATCAATAGAAATATTAATTAAAATGTGAGACATTTTTCGCTTGAGGAGAAAATCATGAGAAGATTTTTCCACTCAAAAGGAAAAAAATATTGATCAAACAATGAGACATCATTCACGAGGATAAGATCTTGATTTTTTCTCACCTTAGATGTGAAGTTTGATTGTTCTTGTGAATCCTCTTGAATATTCTTGCTGAGTGAAATCGTAGTATTCTTCGAGGTAAAGTTCTAATGTTTTGTAATTATTTATCTCTTAATGGTGTATTAAATACATAATTCTACACACTAATTTAATTTTCCTCCATTTATATAGAGTCACTCGAGCCTATTAGAGCCCAAATAACCAATATGCTTTATATTTTTTAGATAATTATTTTATTTAGACAATTTTTTTTTTAAAAAAAATTAATTTATATTATTATTTTTTAATATAAATGATAATAATTTTAAAATTAAAATTTAATAGTAAATTATTAGCATTTTTAACACACATATATATTTTTAATTAAAAATTTTAAATTAGTTCTTTTAATTTTTGCATAAAAAAATAATCAAATAAATTTAATTAAATAAAATATTGAAAGGATTTGAACCCGAGTCACTTGGAAATGAAACATTATTTTTTTTCATATCTATTTTATTTCATTACCAAACATATGTGGCAAACAAAACCCAGAGGCGTCGGGGTTTAAATCTATGACTTCAGTCATAAACTGACACCGCTAGATCATCCCTTATAGAACTGTATATTCATATATACTTTATTTTATAAAAATGTAATACTTCATATATATTTTTACATTTTTTGTATTTTTATTTGAATATTTTTTCTTTATAAATGTGTTTTTATATAAATTCATACAAATTATATAAATTAATAAAAAATTATTTTACAATCTTATGAAACGTATATAAATTTATAAAAATTCATTTAAATCAATATATTGAATCCATCAAATTTTGCCAAAACTCCGTTAATTTCCTAAATTTTCATAAATCCAATAATTGTGCCTTATATACATAACTCTACCCCTTAATCTTTACCCACTCATATGAAGTCATTTGGGCCTATTGGAGGCCAAATAACCAATATGCTTTATGTATTTTAGATAATTATTCCATTTAAATAATTGTTTAAAAATATTTTATAATTTAATAATATATATACACTAAAGGTAATAATTATTTAGATAACGAAGATTAGTTATTAATAATTAAAATAAATTTAAAATATGTACTTAAATATTTTTAATATTATATCTCAATAAAATATATATATATAATATGACTATCATTTTGTAAATAATAAAATTTTATATAATATAAATAAATAAAAATATATTTATTACTTTATTATTACCCCTAAATTAGTTCTATTTAAAAATAGGAAGTTTTAAAGATAAATAAAAGTACTTATTAATTGAAGAGAGATATATAAATAAAGTGGTTTTGAATGATTTACGTTTGAGGTTATAAATTTAATTAAATTGATTTATATTTATTAATGGTGTGTTTGTTTGGGAGATTGGATTTTAAATTTACTATTCATTCTATTTTTTTCTCCCAAAAACATCAAATTAAACACCTATTTTTTTTATTTTTTATATTATACTAAAAATCAATTTTACATTCAAAATATCGTATCTAACACTTATTTATACCACATCATACAATTATTCAAATTCAATATTCAAATCCAAACCCCCAAACAAACACACCATAAGAGTGTGCTTATTTAAGGTTTGGATTTTGAATTGAAATTTGAATAGTAAAAAAATTGAATTTGAATAATTGTATGATATAAATAAGTATTAATGTGATGTTTTAAATGTAAAATTGATTTTTACTATAATACTTCATCCGTTCCAAAACAATAGTTCCATTTTGTCATTTTGTATGTCCCAAAACAATAGTTTTTTTTAAGTAACTCCCTACATTTTACAAAATTATTTTCACTTTTTCACAATAATTACATAAATAAGAGCATTTTGGTCTTTTAAAAATATTTTTATATCTACTATCAATATAATATTATTATTCTTTAATTTTCGTGTCTATCCCAAATATTCCCTTTATTTTGGGACAAAATGAGTATAAAAAAAAATAAGTATTTAATTTAATATTTTTGTATAAAAAAATTTGTAGGAATAATATAAATTCTTCTAAATCTTTTAAATAAAATATCGATAAATTTATTAAAAATAAAAAAAAATTATCTTCTGTGGGACCGGGAAAAAAAATATGATGTTGATTTCAATTATGAAATAAATATAAAATTGTTTTTTATATAAATTTCGATAAAAGGAAAAAGAAACATTTATTCATTAAAAATATTTTTCTAGAAGGAAAGTTAATAGAAGTAATTAATGAAGTGTTGGGCTTTTTCCCTAATTTGAACTGCAGAGTATATTTTATTTTTCATATGTATGTATGTCTTGGATTGTCCAACCATTTTTTGTCTTCACCTCGGCTCGAGATTCAAACCCTAGCCAATATCGAAGGAGACCATCATCCCACTCACACTCACTTCAGCAGGAATTCCAATCGAATACGTAGATCCACCTCATGGAGCGGAGGGGAAGAGCCACCGGGTGTGGCGGAGCGGCGGCCTATGCTCTGTTGGCGCTCCTCGTTCTGACCTCGGTGAGCCGTGTTTCGGCGCTGTCGGTGACGGTGCACGAGGTCGAGTGCATATACGAATATGTGTTGTACGAAGGCGACACCGTCTCCGGGAATTTCGTCGTCGTTGATCATGATATATTCTGGAGCTCCGATCATCCTGGCATCGACTTCACGGTATTGTTTAAATTTTTGATTGATTGTTTATTTGCATGCTCTTGTTGTGGTGTCGCGATCTGTGCGATTGATTAGTGTGGTGTTGGATCTAGGTATTGTAATTATTGCCGGAGAATTCGAATTTTTTTTGCATTTTCGCAAGTTTGTATTGATTGAGGTGCCTGGATTGAGAGCATCTTTTGTGATTAAATGGAATTAGGGCTTGATGTCCACTGCCAGTGTTCGTTTCAGTAATTGGATGATTCCTTTCTCTATGCATTTTCAATTTTCTCTTTTGGTTGGCTTCTATTGATTTTTAAGAACTTTAACTGTAACTGTTGATCACTGTCTTGTAATATGTTAATTGATGTAATTGAGCTGTTATCACTTTCAATTGCAGTGTTATTTCTTAACTATCGATTCAAGTGATCGAGTAGTCTAAGGATTACGAAGAAACTGTCTTGAAAATCTATGCTATTCGAGTACATGGTTCTGAATTTGAAATTATATACAAGGGATTGATGCATATTGCTCAGGCGATTGGAAATTTTTAAAATGAAATGTAAAATATGGGCACCCCTGTCGGCATGGAAGCAATTACACAATTTCCTTCTGCTAAAATTTCTACATTTGAAAATTACGGCGATATTTTTTTTATTGATGTAGGTTTATGAGACTTGTGTTAATTACATCCCCCTTTATTGCTCATTTGCTTGTAAATTCATGTACTAGTCAGTCAATCTGTATTGTGTGATAACTGTTAGTATTCTTGGTATTTGATTTTTGTGGGGGAATTGTTGATTTTGCATTCACGAATGAAGATTGCTTGAAGACTAAAGTGTGAACAAGATTTCGGGTGTAGAGAAATCATGTGTGTTCAACTCACGGATTGTTTGCAATTATCTTTACCGACAAATGAAACTTTGAAAGTGTTTTTTCTCAGTCTGTGTGCGTGAATGCTTTTGTCTTAATTGTGAGCTTGCAAAGAAAATATCGAATCTTTTTGAGCAAAATGTGACGGCTGTTGCGTAGGTTCACATTATTCCGACTTTGATATCCATGTTAATGTGAAAACGGCATTTTCCCCTCTAAAGTATGCATAGTTATTTACCCTTTTATAGCTTAAAACACATTGACTCGCAATTCTAGACATTGCCATTGACCTGACTTGTTTTTGCACTTGCAATATTGTGTTATAAGCTAAATTACGTGAAGTTCATATTACAAGTGTAGGATGAAAATGTTGGATTTGTGTTGTTGATGTCCAATCCGATCCTTCTATTTCTAACATTGTCTTCAAATTGGTTTCTCAATGTGATCTATGTTTACAACAATCCATTTTGTCTTGGTTTAGGTGACATCTCCAGCCGGCAATGTTGTGAACACTTTGAAAGGGACGTCAGGGGACAAATTTGATTTTAAGGCCCCTAGAAGTGGAATGTATAAATTCTGTTTCCACAATCCATATTCCACACCCGAAACTGTCTCGTTCCACATTCACATCGGACACATTCCTACAGAACATGACGTCGCGAAAGATGGTTTGTGTGATCTCATTTTTTTTTTCTTTTAATTCCATACATTTACCATCTCTTGACCTTACCCTTTTTTTCCCGGCAGAACATTTGGATCCCATCAATGTTAAAATCGCCGAACTGAGGGAGGCGCTAGAATCTGTCATTGCCGAGCAGAAGTACTTGAAAGCACGAGATGCTCGCCATCGCCACAGTAAATTTCTTATTTCACCCAATCTCTTCTTACAGTGTACAAAATTATACGTGTTTTTGTTGTGCAATGACTATTAGAGCTAACAATGGGTCGATTCGTGTCGGGTTGAATACTTTAAACGGGTTAAATAACTCAATCTTAATCCGATCCGTTTATTATCGTTTCGGATTCGTATTGACCTGTATACATGATCAAGTTGAAATCCTTGATTCAAAGTCAATTATTTTTTGTCATATTGTCCTGTTATGCTAGTTTTTGTTGGTTCCAGTACAATGTGTATAATAAATTATGTTGAATTATTTAAAATTGAATTTAGTTTAAATTGATATGTGGGTTAATTATTAAATTATAATTATTTTACATATATAATAATATATTAATTACTATTAATATATTATAATTGGATTGTCACGTCAAATTCGAATTGAGAGCCTCAACTCTAACCTCACCAATTTATTATCGTGTTGGGTTCATGTCAAACCGTATATAGAATCAGGTTGAAATCGTTGATCCGAATCCAATTATTTCGTGTCGTGCCGTGTCGGTTTTTTACAGCTCTAATGATTATACACTTATACGCAGCAAACGAGAGCACTAGGAGGCGCGTCATATTCTACACGGTCGGAGAATATATCCTGCTGGCCCTCGTCAGCGGGCTTCAGGTCGTCTACATTCGTCGGCTATTCAGCAAATCGGTCGCGTACAACCGCGTTTGACGACGAGACTCGGGTTTTCTTGGTAAGTTTCTTCTCCTCCCTTTTAACTCACTTGGCTTTTTTCTCATTGATTTGTTTAGTTGTAGAGTGAGAAGGGGTTGAAAAATAACCAAATGAGTTCATTTAGAAGAGCCATTGATAGTTTTTTGTATAATCAGATTAGATCATTTTGGATATATAGCTGAAATAGTCAGTTTCTTGTTGAATATTTCAGTACCTCTTTGATGGTTTATTTAATATGATGGTTCCACGTTTACATTTTCCTTAGCTTGTGTTATTTATTTATTTTTATTATGTTGGATAGTTGCTATTTTTTCAATTGTACTTTAGATAAGGAAGGCCCGTGCTACACATGAAGAATCAACGAAAGTTTGTTATCATTTCAAAATATATTATTATAGAAATTTTTATTAATTTGATATTTATTTTCAAATATTTTAATAAGTTTAAGAATAATAAATTTTTTATAGAAATAGTAGTAATTAAATAAATAACAAATTTTTACCTTCAATATTTGGAATAAAATATGTAATAATAATGTTAAAATAACAATTTAATTTATTATGAATAACATCAATTAAAAAAATATATAAAAATTATATATATTTTTTGGATGTGTTTAGAACTTATTGATTATAATAAATAGTAAGTTGATATATTTTTATTTCTAAATTAAAAATATTGTTTATGTAACATTAGTTTGTTTGATGTTTGTTTAAATAAAAACATTGATACTTTTTTACATAAAAATAGAATACAATACATATCAATAAATTAAATATCCATAAAAAAAAAAAAAACACTCAAATTTTTCTATAATAAAATATAATATGAAAATAAAAATATTATTTATATACATAATAAGAATTTTTGCTTTTACAACTTAATTATAAAATCAATTCTCCAACAATATGATAATTTAATTACAATACTTTGATAATAAAATTGTAACTCTCCCATAAAAAAAATATAATAAAAATAATGTATAACTTAATATAAATTATAATAAATTGCGAATAAAAATTTGAATTAAATTTAAATATTTCTATGCATAATAAAATAATTTTTATATATTACAAATAAAAAAAATCATCAAACCCTATAGTAACCACGTACATTTATCTTTTTTTTTTTTCTTCTTCCCGTTTCTTCCTTTTTACTCTGCATGCTACAACCAGTTGTGAAAGCAAATTACTATGAGAACAAAGTAAATACAAAATTGCAAATCACTATGAAAACAAATTAAATACAAAATAAAAGAAAAACACACCAAAAAAAACAAAGAAAAATCTAAAAAATTTATACTATATATATAAGAAACTATAATCAATAAAAAAAAAAGTATCAGAATATTTCTAAAAAATTGAGAAAAAAAATATGAAAAAAAAATAAGAAAAAATATTTAAAAAATAGAAAGAAAATTTACAAAAAAATAAAAAATAAAAAATGCGATTACGCTCAATTAAAAACTCATTTAAAACCATACTTTAAGAAAATGGTCAAATCACCTCATTTATAAAAATTAAATATACTATTGAAACAGATATACAAATTAATACATAAATAAATATATTTAATTTTAATTTCATTAAAAAAATTAATTATATATCATAAAAATAGTTAATTATAAAACTAATTTGTGAAAATAATAATAAATTGTATCTTTACTTTAAAAAAAAAAATTAAATAAAAAATAAATAAATATAACAAAAATATAAAGTGAAAATTGAAAAAAAAAATCTAAATAAAGAAAGTTAAATATAATAAAAATATAAAGTAAAAAATAGCAAAAAATAAAATCGAGCGAATAATCTCAAAAAAAAAAAAATCTAAATCCAAAAAATTAAATATAATAAAAAAAAAAAGTAGAAAAGTATAAGTATTGTTAAACTATGAAAAAAAATAACACATATTTAAAATTAAAAGAAAAAAAAATTAAGTACACATAATATTCTTATTTCTTCCATTGTCATCTTCTGCATATCATCTTTTGCATATGCTCCTCTTTATCCCATTTTCTTCTTCATCTTATATATATTTTAATAATGAGCAATAAAAACTGTATCATCCCACCTCTACTGTCCATTTTTTTTTAATCGTCACCCCTCTATCACTTATATTAAATAATAAAAACTGTAATTCTGTGTAATTCTGCATAGTTCTGTAAAATTGTAAAAAAATTAAAATAAAAAAACCCAAAAAATTTTAAAATTCTAAGATTGCAAAATTGCATAAATTTACAAAATGTGGAGTACACCTTTTGAGCTGTTTTATATATATATATATATGATATGATATGATATGATATGATATGATATGATGAGTATATATTTTATAGTTGTGTATAATTAGTATATATTTTATAGTTGTATTATGTAATAAGTTGTCCCGTAAGAGATACCACGAGGTAATGGGTTCAAACCCTACATTGGGTATAAATTAGTATCAATTATTAATTGCGATGATTTATTTTTTGGATATTGATTTAAATTTTTTTATGTAATATTTTAACTTAATATTATATAAAAATAAATAATATATTTTTATTAAAAACTGTCCTGACAAATTATATTGATCTTGATTTAAAATATATATATATAAACTCTATTTTGGAGATAGTTTTAGGTTATGATATTTTAACTATAAAACAAGTGTAAAAGGATTGGTTGGCTGAAAAAGACACGTTAGTCCTCGTCTATCGGATAGTGTTATATGGCTATCGACACATACGACTTGCATAATTAAATTATTATAAGTATAAGACAAGTGTTTGATTTAATATACACTATGAATTTTTTATTTTTATTATTATTATTATTATTTTAAATTAATACAAATATTATGCTAATACATATTCATGTCCATGTCGGCACTGTTCTTTTATATTTAATAGTTTTAAATTCATAAATAAAATGTGTTTGTATTTGCTTTTTCATTTTTGGTTATTTTTAAATTTTGTGTCTATCACATTACATTTAAATAAATATTTTAAATCAAAGAATATACTTTTTAATTTAAAATATTTCAAAGTAATATAATAAAAAAAAAAAAACCCAGACAAAACACCCTTTTTTAGATCCAATTTACTCTTAAATGGATAAACCAATCATTAAGGACAATGAAGATATGATAACACACAAAATGAATTTACAAAACTACCCCCACCATCCACCGCACACGCTTGGGGGCACATCCGTCAATTCACATCGTACAGTCTTCTCCTACAGTTGCATAAATGTTCTCTGATCCCCTAATTCAGGACTTTTTCTTCATCTTCCTCCTCTGTCCTTTTCCCGAATTCAACTCAGAGACGAAATCATCTTCTCACAGAAGCTACGGAGAGCGAAAATGCTGGCGTTTCTTCACAAATCGGTGGCGAAAACTCCCGAGGCATTGCTGCAGAACCCGCAGGCTGACTCGTCGGTTTCTGCTCTCAAGGATCGATCCTTGATCGGTCATTTCTCGTCCGTTCGCCCTGGCGCTGTGACGATCGACCTCGCTTCTGCTGGCTTCATTGCGTACACTTCTGACAAGCAGAATCCTCTTCTTCCTAGGTATTCGCGATCCTCTTTTTTGTTGTTTTTGTTCGTGGTTTTGTTTTTAGGTTTTTTTTTCATTTTGTGGAGATTTGTTTGGCTTGATCTGATCGGTTATTTGTTTTTTGGATTCTTGAATCGGCGGTAAATTCGTTTCTGTCTGTGCTTTTTTTTTTTTTTTAATTGCTTCATTGACTTTTGAATTGTGTAGCTTTGGATCTTTCGTTTCTTGAAACAGAGGAAATTTAAAAGTTCGATTGTAGTGTTTGCACGTGGATGAAGACCTTTTCTTATTGTTCCTCCTTTAGGTGTAATTTTACGCAATCGAGAACTGATATTTCTTTTTTTTGCATATACGGTTTATTCGTTGAGTTAATTATTGGTTATTTTTGTACGGAATCGCTGTTCAAGGATTGTGTGATTCACCAACATCTGGTTTAAGTTATTTTAAATTAAAAAATTGTTTGGTTTATTCTATTGTTACTAATATTGTAATGCTCTCTTTTGTCCTAATCTGATTGTCTTGTGTTCTTGGGAATGGAAAATGATATCATGTCTCGAACTGTCTTAGGTAGGTTCTAAGTCTATTCAAGTTTTTGAAGTAATTGCATTATGTGTCTTTGTTTGGTCTCGATTTGAGTTTGGGATTTTGATCTAAGTTTTTTGTTTAAATAGTATTTTGATATCATTTTTTGTGAAAAGGAAACAATTTATTTTTATTGGAAACCGTAAGGGCTAAAATAGTATTGACTATTGAGCAAACCCGCGCCTTTGTATTTCTTCAGCTAATCTTTGATAACGATTGAACGACAATTAATTGGGAACATGTGATTCTGATGATAATTAGTTGGGAACATGTGATTCTTGAACATATGTTAGAATATGTCTCTGGTGTATGTTTTCGTTATGGTAAAACCAGAGGCAAACAAATCGGCATTGCTTGTAGGCATACCCTGATAGCATACCTCGTTGTAAATAATTGATGTAGGCATTTTATTCCCAAGGTCTGTGTTCTTCTGTCCATGTTTTGGTTCGAAATATTTATTCTTTATCTTGGAAAGGGCTACTATTAATTTGTTGACCTAGTGCACTATTTTCTGTTTCCATATGCCTCAGTTTTTCCGTAATGATATGTTGGGTGACTGTTACATTTTTCTCCTATGTTTTATTAATCTAATTTTCGATTTTCCCGATCCCTCCCTCGAACCAGGCTTTTTGCAGTCGTTGATGACATATTCTGCCTATTTGAAGGCCACATTGAAAACGTTGCACATCTTAAGCAACAGTATGGCCTAAACAAGACAGCAAATGAGGTGATTATTGTTATTGAGGCTTATAGGACTTTAAGGGACAGAGGTCCTTATCCTGCTGAACAAGTTGTGAGGGACATTCAAGGGAAGTTTGCATTCATCCTGTATGATGGTACTTCAAAAGCCGTGTTTCTTGCATCTGTGAGTATTCATTATTTCCCACTCAGTTCTTCTTGTATCTTATTCTAGCTTGTCATTATAATTAAGAACTTAGAACTAATGCACATTGATATTGGTAAAAAAGGATGCCGATGCAAGCGTGCCTTTGTTTTGGGGAGCTAATGCCGAAGGTCACCTTGTTGTTTCCGATGACAGCGAACTTGTGAAGCAAGGTTGCAGCAAGTCTTTTGCTCAATTCCCTAAAGGTATGTCTTCTTTGTTTTTGTGAAGCTTATATGACGCCATTCTCTTGTTAGGCTTGCCTTCTTTCTTCTTATAAAATTTTATACTCTTTCCGTCTAGAATCAATCTATCTATTTTGTTATTTTGATCATTTACTAATCCTGACGAATATTGAAAAGATATCCAGTACCTATTAGTACAACAATGCCATCAACATAATTTATCTACCATAATGATTATGGTGCTGACGGGGCCAAATTAGTACTATTGATTTTCTCAATCAAAATATATAAAATGATGAGATAGCACATGCTTATGTTTTTATTTAATACAACACATATTGTCTTAAATAAAAGCATATAAGTGTGCTATATTAATATACTTTTTGTTTTGTTGAAATTAATTGTAGTATGTGTTGTGTGATTATATCATGTGCGGTCAATTTATATATTATATTGCTTTTGTTATATATTAATATAATTCATATGTTGTTGTCTGTCTCTATATTTATGTGTTGTCAGTTATTTGATACATTTCACTATAAGAAAATTACATTTTTTTAAACCAATTTTTTTTGTCTCTAATAAATTCAATTTTTTCATTACTAAGGACATTAGGGACGGAATTAAAGACACATACGTCCCTAAATTCCGTTACAAATCTATTGGTTTTTTTTTTTTTTTTTTTTTGTAGTGTTTGTTTTATATTAATGTAATTCATGTATATGTTTGTTCTTGTATTGTGTTCCTTCAAGAATATACCGAATTCTATACCTCAGTACAATAACCGCCACCTTTAACTACATTACATTATAAAGCATTCCTAGGGTAAAATTGCACATAATTTATCCTTTGGTTGTACTAGGTCGGTATAATAATAAATTTATGATATTTTAAAATCTATGGCATGATGAATGATCGTAGTTAATTTATGATTATGTTGTTGCCATTCATTACGAGTAGAATCCACAATAATTTTTCGCCCAATCTTTCATAGTTTTCAGAAGTCATCTGCAGTGGTTTCGGGAAAAACTTCTCTTTCTCCACTGTAACCGAGATATTAGAGGAATAAATGTTACTAGGCGACATTAAAGTATGTTTTTATTTTATTTTTCTTCAGGATGCTTCTTCACATCCTCTGGAGGTCTGCGAAGCTACGAGCATCCAGTGAATGAGCTGAAGGCCGTCCCGAGAGTGGACAGCTCCGGGGAGGTCTGCGGCTTGACATTCAAAGTGGATCAAGATTCTCGGAAAGACAAAACCGGGATGCCAAGAGTCGGGAGTGATGCGAATTGGTCTCAGCACTACTGAAGCTAAAATCGAAGGCTCGACTTTTATCAGGTAACAAAGCTTGCATTTGTTCGTTCTGTTTGGGTCGAGCTTTTATTTAAAATATCATCATCAATCGTGTTCTTGCTGGGTTGGTTTTCTTGATCTTGATCTTGTTCTTGGCTGCATTGTTACCGAGTTTTATGTATCTATCTATGGCTTTCTTTTTTTTGTTTTTATATGCCTGTAAACAAGAAAGATGATCTTTCATGTTTATGTGTCCTAACATATGAACCAATTATTGCAATGGGGCTTGACTTATTTTACCTGGAAATAACAACCTGGATTATCGAACATTTTGGTAGTAACTTTATGTCATTACCATTATCCTTTATTTATTTTTGTTCTTCTAAATTTTTTAATAATGCGGGAATTTAATTTTTTTAGTACGCTCTAAATAAACTTAATAATACTGTTTCAATCTAATGTACCAACTTATTTTTAGTAGATTAAAAGATAATACTGCATCGGTCAGCCTCTAGGGTCTCGTATATTTTTGGCGTATGAAAAATGTTGTGCAAATCAAGAGAAAAAGCAAAATTATTGTTTTATAATACTATTATAACGATATTTGTGCATAAAATTGTATAGTATAAGTATGCAAAAGAGCAGGAAAAGATAATTTAATTATTAATGATTGAGATTAATTTCAGTATGGCTGAATTTGAATTTTAGTTTTGATATTTTTGTCTTTATATTTTGAAAAATGTATGAATAGATTTTGGATAAATTAAATGTGACTGTTAACATATTTTTGTGTCAGTGAAATAGTAAAGAATATAAATTAAGAAATATGTATATATATATATATATATATTTTTGCTATAAATAAAAATCACATATAAAAAATAACATAAATTTTGAAGACGAAATAAATATTTTCTTGGAAAAAATATAGAACCGTTTTATTTATTGCATGTTTGCATGAAAAATTATGTAAACAAATGACAATTAAAAACCATACACTACAGATAATCATTTATGGAAATAAGCATAAATAGATTTCTAATATAACTTTTTATGAGTAAAATAAATAAAAATAGATAAGATTGACAGCTTCATTTTTTAATTATCTATGAATATCATGTAAAATTTATTATACAAATCCCGAAAAAAATAAAAAAATTATTCTTGTGATCTACCGATTTGAGATCCCTAATAATAATAATAATAATATGATAATTCCTATATATATTAATTTTATGTTTATCCGATAATCACTACAAAAAAAAATAGTATATTTGTAACGGAACGTAATTTTATCCCCAATTTCGTCACTTGCAGTGAATTGTTAATTATCTCATATTTTTCTTCTCAAATCTTATCCAACCAAATTTATTTTTGTCAAATTCTAACAAACTAAATCTATCTATTTACCCTCAAATAAATTCATAATCAAACCTACAACCCCATTTTATAAATAGCCTCCAATGAAAGTTTGGTAAATATTCATAAGAAAAAGGAGAAGAAAGAAACAAGAAAGGGTAGGAAAAAATTCAAGATTCAAAATCAACTCGACGGGAGAACTGATGGGATAAAAAAATATTCGCGAAATATAACTCATCATAAAAAGTAGGTGGATATAGAAATTTAGATCAATTTATGCATGCGTCGTATAATTCATATACTTATATTTTGTGCGTCGAATTAGGCATAACAATCCGAATCCGGATAAAATCCATTCAATTGTTTGCGAAACTTTGATCACTCTTGATTATTTGTGACTACTAATTAATTGATTATAATAATATATACAAAAAAAGAAAGAAAGTATTAATTGTAAAATATGCGTAGCTTAAAAATATTATTTTGAATATCATGTTACATGATATTGTTAATGTTTCTATCGTTCAACTACTCGATACATTGCAGTCCTAAATAGTTTTTGTTTAAGTGTTTAGACATAGTCATCTGAGGACGAAACCTCTTCTAATGATAACAATGTGCGCACTTTCGGATAACGGCTACGGTTCCCACCACGTCATTAAAAAAAATTGTGAGATTCTTAATAATAATAATTACTTCCTATAAAAAAAAAATTATATTTTATCTGATGATTGTTAGTTATTTCATTATTTATAAAATTTTATTCAATTAAATCTATTTTTTTGAAATCCTAACCAACTAAATTTATCCATTTGCCTCAAAATCACATTAAATTCATAACCAAACTCACAACTTACTTTATAAATAGCCTCGAATGAACATTTGATAAATATTCCTAGTAATAATAATTATAAAAAAAAAAAAAAAAAAAAAAAAAAAAACAAGAAGGGGCAGAGAAAATCCAAGATTAACTCGATAGGAGACCTAAGGGAATAATAATATATTTGCGAAATACTTCAACAAGGTACAACATTTGCTTTTAGCACGGATTTTTAGGTGGATAGTATTAAATAGGATAATTTAAAAATCAGGTGATGTGATGGAGAGAGATATATTTTATTTTTTTATTTGGATGACGTGAGGGAATAAAGTGTTTTGGAAATATTGTAGGGTGTTTTGGAAATATTGTAGGGTGTTTTGAACATAGCAAAAAAAAATGTTGCAAGGTGTTTGAAATAGAGGGAATACTATTTATAATAAGGGCAGATGAATATAGAAATATTATCTCAAAATATTAATTGAAATAAAATAATATTCAATTTTCGATAATCTATTAAGATATTAATAGATTTGAATGCGATAAAATTTTAAGTCAAATTTAGATTTGGAGTATAAGCTGAAGTAAAGAGACACACCACAACTTCTATCTCCTCTGATTTTTCTCCACGCAATTGCAATTTTATTTCCTTTTATTTTATTTACTTGCTTTCTTGTTTTGTTTCTTTACTTTTCTTTCTAGTTTTCTTTAATCCTCTGCTTATTTCTCTTACTTTCTTAAATTTTATTGTCATCTTCTTTCTACTTCCTTATTTTCTTTCCATTTTTTCTCCTTTCTTAATTGATTATTTTTGCGAACACGATTTCGGATCCTTTATGGAGAAAGCTGAAAAATCCACCCGATTTTTGGTTAGCTCGTTCAGATGGGTTGTCCAAAAATATTTTAAATGAAACAAAGAGATTAGATCAATTTATAATTTCGTGACATGTTTGGTATAATAATTTATGTTAGTACGTAGATAAAAAAAATTATATGAGTATAAATCAATTTATGCATGCGACATGATTAGTAATTATATCTTATGCGTTGAATTAAGCAAAAGAATTCATGATAGAAAAGAGAAATATGGCTAAAAATCATTCAATTATTTGCAAAACTTTGATGCATACGTGATTATTTGTGGCTACGAATTAATTGATTGTAAGAATATATGCAAAGAAATTTTCATAATATGTGCAAAGTATGTGTAGCTTATTTCAAGAACATGTTACATTTCTATTGTTCACCTACTAGGCACATTATGCTCATTAATAATTTCTGCATGATTGTTTAGATTTAGTTACACAAGACTGGAATATCGAAATTTGGGAATGGTAAATGTTAAGACTAGTAAGTAATTCACTGTTATTATTGTCGTACTTTGGATAGATATTAAACAATAAAAAGATCAAATATTTATTTTTACTTATTAATCAAGAATGAAGATGTGAATGTTAATTTTAGTCTTTTGGTACAAGATATATCTTCAATATATTAAAACAAGAATGTTGGCATTTTATTGCCGTATTGATCTTGCAGAAAGGTTGAGGCGTGACAACTCACCAACCAAATAAGAATGTTTTCATGTTTCAGTAACCCTAAGAGGTTAACCTCAGAGTATAACCTCCTAAGCTCATTGTATTTTTCGTCGTAAAATGCCATAAACTCAAGTGTACCAATAGGATGTTATACTCCGAGATTCACCTTTTAGGGCATTGAAATATGAAAATATTGTTCGGGTGAACCACAAGCGTTACGTGTATCCCACATTGGAAAAATGTTAGAAATTTGTTTTGTTTTTTTTGTAAGGGTGAATGATAATTTTCTTTTATTTTTATCCACACACGCACATACACTCACGCACTGTTGATATTGTCGTACTTTGAATAGATATTAAACAGTAAAAAGATCAAATATTTGTTTTTAGTTATTGATCAAGAATGAAGAGGTTCATGTTAATTATAATCTTTTGGTACACGATATCTTCAATATATTAAAATAAGAATTTTAGCATTTTATTGCCGTACTGAGCTTGCAAAAAGGTCGAGGCGTAACAACTCACCAGCCAAATGACAATGTTTTCATGTTTCAGTGACCTTAAGAGATTAACCTCAGAGTATAACCTCTCAAACTCATTGCATTTTTCTTCGTTGCCATAAACTCAAGTGTACCAATGAGATGTTATACTCGGAGGTTCACCTTTTAGGGCATTGAAATATGAAAATATTGTTCGGGTGAACAATAAGCGTTAAGTGTATCCCACATTAAAAAAATGTTATGAAACTTTTTTTTTTTTTTTTGTAAGAGTGAATGATAATTTTCTTTTATTTTTACCCACACGCTCACGCACTGTTGATATTGTTGTACTTTGGATAGATATTAAATAATAAAATGATCAAATATTTATTTATTTTGGCATTTTATTGCCGTATTGAGTTTGCAAAAAAGTCAAGGCGTGACAACTCACCAGTCACCAGCCAAATGACAATGTTTTCATGCTCAGTGACCCTAAGAGGTTAACCTCAGAGTATAACCTCCCAAACTTATTGTTTTTTTCGTCGTAAAATGTCATAAACTCAAGTGTACCAATGAGACGATATACTCCGAGGTTCACCTTTTAGGGCATTAAAATATGAAAGTATTATTCGGTGAACCACAAGCGTTAAGTGTAACATTGAAAAATGTTAGGAATTTTTTTTTTTTTTTTAAGAGTGAATGACAATTTTCTTTTATTTTTACCCACGTACGCACATACACTCACACACCCTCGACTTTCAATTTCAAGAACGCCAAAAGAGAGCTCAATTGCTTGAGCTACACACCATCAGCAAGAACAACTTATTGTCAATTGATTTTGATATGAATCTCTTAATTCTTTCTTTACATTGTATACAACTAATGATGAATATAATGAAAAGAAAGCTTTATTATTCTTAGTGAATTTGATTTTATGTTTTAGTTGTATATTGTTTTAAATGTGGTATTTTATATATATATATATATATAAAAGAAATCACAATAAAAAAATTCAAAAGAATAGAACTATAGGACAGGTTGTATTTGTTTGGAATTTTTGTAGGGATTTTTTATATTCATGCAATATAATTTTTTAATATTGATATTTATTTTTATTTTTTAATATTATGCTCACTCTTTTAACCATTAGTGTATATCTGAAGCTTGAAGGCACTCGTAACTTTAAAGTCACACAAGTTCACTTCCACACTGACCATCCATCCCATAATACTTATTGAAAACTCTTCTATTTCTATATTTCAATAAAAATATTTTTTTATCTTTATTTAAAATATTCAAAAAAAAATTGTAAAATCATTTTATACTAATTATAAATAAATATATTTTATTGATATATGATTTTTAAAATATTTAAATAAATTTTCAATTTTAATAGTTATATATACATTAATTTTTATTTTAAAAACAAACACCATTCAAATAATAAAAGAATTTTATAATTCATTATCATTAATTTACCAAACTGTATTATCAATAAAAAAAAATTGTACAATATAATAAAAATAGTATATTTATGAACTTAAATGTAAATACAATACAAAGCATGAGTTATGAATATTAGAATTTTAAATTATAATAATAATTTGATATAACATGAAATATTATTAATCAAATAATTTTGATATCATAATTTAATTAAATATTATTATGATATAAAAAATATTTAATTTAATATTTTATAAAAGAATTAATAAATACTTCCTCGTCCACCATAACTATATCACTTCTTTGTAAATAATTTATAAGAAAAAGTGATATAAAAGCAGTTTTTATTTTTATTTTTAAATTTTTAAATAGGTTTTCAAACAAACACAATCTTACCATTTCTGTATTCCTACTAACTATTTGTTATTATTACTCTTTATTTTTAATAAATATATATATATATATAGTAATTTCAGTTATAAATATTATTGATTTTGTTTGTTTATTTTATATTTTAAATTTAAAACTCTATTATTTAATCCATAACACTAAATACAATATTTCATTCGTCCCGTCACAAATGACTCAATTTTGTTTTTTTTCGTACGTCCCATAAAAGATGATCCTTTTCCATTTTTGGTAAGTTTATCAATTTTAGACCTATTTAACAAATATAAATCAATTTAATTAAACTTCTGACATCTTGCAGACCACTCAAAACTCCTTTATTTCTATCTCTCTCTTTAATTAACAAATATTTTTATCTACCTTTAAAACTCCTCATTTTTTATAAAACTAATTTATGATAATGATAAATAAATAAATAAATATTTTTTATTCATTTGTATTATATAAAATTTTATTGTCTACGAAATGATATCCATATTGCATATATTTTATTGAGATATATTTTTAAAAATATTTAAAATACCAATAATATTATATATATAAAATAATAAAATATTATATTAACTTATTATTAATAACTTAATAACCTATATTACCTAAAATACTGTATCTTTAACAAAAGACTTCATCTTCTGCGGGATGGTGGGAGTATAATTTTTTTAATAAAATATTAAATCTAAATAGTATTTAAATAAAAAATTTAGAACAAAAATCGGAGAGTATTTGGTATAAGAAATTTGTTTAGAAAAACGAAGATAAACTTATTTTCTTGTTTGTTTGTTTTTGGGGAATTGAAATTATTAAATAATTTATTTATTTTTTATTTTTATCAGAAGAAATAGGGAAAAAATTAATTTTGGTATAATATAACCAAAATTTATCAATTTTGATCTCAATATAAAAAACTCATCAGTTTTAGTTTCAATATAAACAATTTCAATCAATTTTGGTCCAATTATAAACAATTTCAATCAATTTTGGTCATACTGTTAAAAAATTAACGTAAATTGCTGACGTGGACCTAACGGAGGTGACGTGACAGCTGACCTGGAAACTATACAGCCATGTACAATTATACACGGCCATGTTGTTACATGATCATGTATATTTCAATGTATAATTATACATGGTCATGTTGTTACACGACCCTATACAATTATACATTTCTATTTTAGTTTAAAATTTTATTTTTTTGTTATATATTTTTTTTAAAAAATTATTTTGAATTTAAAATAGTTGATATAGTTAAAATAGACTAATCAATAGTAATTATAATATAATTGAAATTTATCAATTTTAATTCAAATATAAAAATTTATAAGATATATTTTTTTGAAAGATTTTGTCTAAAATTTTATTATTCATAACAAAAATTTTCTCATACAAACATCCAATTACACAACTATTTTTTAATTTTGTATATTATAGTAGTATTAAAAATTAATTTATTATTTCAATACAGTAATTGAATGTTTGTAAGAGAATTTTTTTGCTAAATAATAGAATTTTAGACAAAATCTTTCAAAAGAACATACTCGATAAATATTTATACTCTCTCCGTCCCGCAACAAGGGTGGCATTTGTTTTTTGGACGTAAATTTTTTAATATTAGTATTATATTGGATTGTAGTAAAAAAGACAAAAATACCCCTATTAGTATGGTGTCATATAAAAGTAATGACATTTGTGTAATATATTGTAAATTGAAAGGGTATTTTTATGTGAAGTATGTAGTACAATTACTAAATTAGGAAATAGTAATCTTGTTTTGGGACAGACGAAAATGGAAAATGGTAACCTTTCAATGGAACGAATTGAGTATTTGAACTAAAATTGATACATTTTAATCATATTATGATTATTATTGATTTTTTTTTTTCATTTTAACTATATCAACTATTTTAAAATTAAAAAATATAACAAAAAAATAAAATTTTAGACAGAAACAAAAAGGTACACGGTCGTGTAGAATTATACATGACCGTATAACAACATGGTCATGTATAATTATACAATGAAATATACATGGTCATGTAACAACATGACTGTGTATAATTGTACATGGCCGTGTAACAACATGATCATGTATAATTATACACTGAAATATATATGACCATGTAACAACATGACCGTGTATAATTGTACATGGCCGTGTACTTTCCAGGTCAACTGCTACGTCACCTCCGTCATGTCCACGTCAGAAATTTCCGTTAGTTTTTTAACGGTGAGACCAAAATTGATTGAAATTGTTTATAATAGAACCAAAATTAATTGAAATTGTTTATATTGAGACTAAAATTAATGAGTTTTTTTATATTGTGACCAAAATTGATAAATTTTGATTTTATTAGGACCAAAATTGATTTTTTCCCGAAGAAATATTAAGGTGCCGAATTTGAAAAATCTCAAGTAAAATACAGAAACAATATATATTTTTATTATATACAGAACGTATATACTGTTTGTTCATAGCTAAAATCAAGTATTGTATGTGTGCTGTTTACAGTAACATTGTGTCACAATGTGCTATTCAGCAGTATTAAATTTTATATTTAGTAGCCACTCTCCCACATATTTAAGATAAGTAAAGAGTATTGTATTTGTTGGAAATAAATTCCAATTTATCCACAAAAGGTTTTATTCTAAGAAATATCGAATTTTAATATATTTTTTATATTAAAATTTTTAATTTTATAAATGAATAGTATATATATATTTATAATATTTATGAACATAATGAACATTTTTTTACTTCTTCCATCCTTTACCAAAAAACTTATTTTTTTTATTTTGATTCGTGCTCATGTCAAAGTATTATTTTTTTTTAGTGATTTTATTATCTACTACTAATATTACAAATACTATTTTAATTTATAATATATTAATTTTAATTTTTTATTTTTATTTCTATTACATTTCACCATAATATTAATATTTTAAAAATTTTGTGTAAAAATCAAATTGAGATATAGATATAAGAAGAAATGAGTATTTTTTTTTTATATAAATAAATAGTAATTGAATTTATTACATTTCTTCAAATCGAATTTATTATTTTATCCTACATAATAATCATTTTATCTTTATGCCCAAACGTAAAAAAAGAAAATTAAATACTAATATCTATCTCTAGTAAAAAACCCAACAAAATATTTATTAAAAAATTTCATTTTTAGCCCTAAACCACCGGTACAGGCGCCGCCTCGTACTTTTTTCTCTTTCATTTTTTTCTTCCCTTCTCCCTCAATTTCCTCGAGAATCTAGCTAGGGTTTCTCTTCTCTTTCATGGCCGCTCACCTTTCCGCTCCGCAGCAACAGTAGCCTGATTGCAGGCAGATTGCAGAAACTGTATATCTCACTGCTCTAATTGTTTGTTGTATCTGTACTATCTCGATTTCACATGTTTGTGTAATTAATTTCTGTATTTTATTTTACTTTGAATTCCGAGCAATCGTGAGTGCTTTCCTTTACTTTCTGCAACGGTGAATTGTGTTCGAAGAAATGCTGAGCGAGGAAGAGAAGAACGAAGCCTCGAATTCCAAAGAGCAAGAGAAGCCCGAAAGATCGGGCGAATTGGGGGTTTTTGAGAAGAGCTGCGACGATAAAAATTTAAATATAAACTCCGTCATTGATGTTTCCGGCAAAAGATTGGATTTTCCTCTGATTTTAAGCGACGACAGCGGAGAGGTTGAAGTTGAGGAGGTTTATATGTATAAGAATGAGTTGAATTTGATCCCGACTGGTGTGGGGAGGCTAAAGAGCTTGAAAACACTCAAGTTTTTTGCGAACGAAGTGAATTTGTTTCCTGGAGAGTTTAAGAATTTGGTAGGGTTGCAATGCTTGCAAGTGAAAATTACAGAGCCAGGAGTTAGTGCATTAGAATTGAGTAAATTGGGGGATTTGAAGGAGCTAGAACTGAGTAGAGCGCCACCAAGGCCTTCTTCTTTTTCGATTTTGAGTGAGATTGGTGGACTGAAGTGCTTGACTAGGCTTTCTGTTTGCCACTTCTCAATAAGGTAGCTGTTCAATTTTGTTTTTGGAAAAATAAGTTACAATTTAATTTCTTTCTAAGCTCTGTTATGTGTAGAAATGCTTATTTGAAGGTATTGTTTTGTATAACTATATTGATCTTGATGACAATGAAGCTGAGAGGTGCTCATCATCTTGTTAGATATATGCTTATCTAGAAATCCAATTTGTTATGAATTTTATATGACGTGATTAGTATATTGTCTAGGTTTGTTATACATAACTATATTTCATTGTAAATATGCATGTTTTTTTTTTTTATTATTATGTATTATGAAATTATGAGAGGGTCGGTTTGGTTGGGGGTTTGGATTTTGAATAATAAAAATTTTGAATTGAAATAGTTGTATTATGTGATATAAATAAGTATTTATTTGATGTTTTAAATGTTGAATAAATTTTTAGTGAAATATAAAAAATAAGAAATAGGGGTTTGATTCATATGTTTTTTTAGGGGAAAATTTTTTGGTGAAGAGCAAAAATCTTTAAAAGTCCTTCAACCATACACAACGATGAGGGTTCAATGTGCCTATTCTTTTGTTGCAGTATTATGTGTGCTTTTTTGAAGCTCCACTTTTGTGAATGATGAAGCCGTGTGTGGTTAATCATCAATATATCTGCTCAATCTCGATCTGTCTATTGTAAGGTCATTTTAGTTAAGTTTATGAACTGCATTTTGACCCTAGCTCTAGTAAATGGTGAATTTGCAGTTCGCTGGAAGTCATTTTTGTCCCCCTTGAGAAAGTGTTGTTTTAGTGTCCTGTCTGTGAAATTTTCATGTTTTGTTTGTTTCAGAAATACTAATTGGAAGATATATATGCAAATGTATTTCCTTCTAGCTTTTTATTTGAACTCAAAAACATCTTATTAACATATGTAATTGAATTCAATATAAGTGATGCTCAATATGGATTAGGTTAGGATTAAGAGTTATTGAATGTAGGGCTGTGTTGCTTAGTTAGTTCCAACAAAGTAGTGACATTATGGTTCCATTCCTGTCCTGCAGATATCTACCTCCAGAAATTGGCTGCCTAAGCAATTTGGAGTACTTGGATCTTTCATTTAACAAGATGAGGAATTTGCCTGGAGAAATTGCTTCATTAAATTCTTTGACATCTCTGAAAATTGCGAATAATAAATTGGTTGAGCTACCTTTGGGACTTTCCAATTTGCAAAGACTGGAGAATATGGACCTGTCAAATAATCGACTGACTTCCTTAGGGTGTTTAGAACTTGAATCAATGTATAACCTCCACTCTCTAAATCTTCAGGTATGTGTGTGTATACCCACTGTGTTGTTATTTACATAAGTTAAGAGGTAGACAGATTGATGCTGGCCTTATTGTAATCTGGATCTGTCCTTTGCTACATATTAATATTTATCCCTCTAAATACCTTCTTATTTTTATCAAGTCAGTCTGATATAAATTTCTTTGCTTTTGTCTTGCTATGATTTTGAAGCATAATCGACTGCGTGGTTGTCATATACCGTCATGGATATGCTGCAATTTGGAAGGCAATTATATTAATTTTTCAAATGAAGAGTCGTCTGAGATGGATGTGTATGAAGGTCCAATTGAGGAAATTCAGTGTAGTCCTTGTAATGAACTGGCCCCTCTCTCACTCACTCACACACACACACACACACACACAAACACATCACACATGAATGAATATCTATGTGCAGCTAAATATGTACCTTCGTACATTCCATCTATATGTATTTTGTTTGCATGCAGATTCATACCAAATTTACCAGTTGGAAATGATGCAGGCTCTCCTCTTGTGCCATCAAGTCATTTAAACGGAACAGTGCCTAATAATAGATGTTTAGCTGCACGAAAGGCCAAAGGATGGAAACGCCAGCATAATTTGAAAACAAAATCTCGGCAGGAGCGAGTAAATGGCTACAAGAAGTGGAAAGTTGATTCTACTAGCCTAAGCTCCTTGGGAAAAAGCAAGACATGCAGAGTTTGTGTGGATAGTGATGCTGAACCGTCAGGAAGTGTATCTGTTGTTTCGGATGAAGAACTCGACAACAAAGACATATTTCTAGAAGGAGATCTGGATGAAATCTCTGTTATTGATCCTGGAAATAAGGATATTGATAGAAAGAAAGGATCTGCAGGTGGTTGTTCTTGTCCACGAATCGATTCTGATGGTTGTCAGGCCAACAAAATTTCAGAATCTCCTTCTGTTAGAGTGTTTGATGAAGCTTCATCTTCTGAGCATCCCAATTGTTTGATAAAGTCCAAACGACATTCAGATGGAAATCTTGATAATCCGAAACCCACCAAATCTCGGAGACCGACCAATAATCCCTCTTTCCTGTCGAGCCAATATAGTGAATCATCATTTTGTGGGGTTGAGGATTTTCTACCTGATGGCTTCTATGATGCAGGACGGGATCGGCCCTTTATGTCTCTGGCAAGTTATGATGAAAATGCGCATGTTAATTCACGGGAAGTAATTGTTCTTGACCGGTAAGTCCATTTTGATTTGGCAATTCAATCATATGGCATACATAAATATCAATTCACTGGTATGTTTGGTGGGTAGCCATGATCATTCTAAACTTTGATGCGTCTAACAGGGAAAGGGATGAAGCATTGGATATCATTTTGTTGCGTGCCCGAGCACTTGTTTCACAGTTTAGGCAAATGAACAGTTTCATTAACAGACATAAAGGTTTTGCAGCTGAGAATTTGCAGATTGCATCATTGCTTGCACTCTTTGTATCAGATCATTTTGGAGGAAGTGATAAAAGTGCAATTATTTGGAGGACAAGAAAATCTGTTTCTGGTTCGAACTTTAATAAGCCTTTTGTCTGTACTTGTGCTACTGGGAACAGTAGCAACACAGACAATAACAATAAGGGGATTGCTGATACCTCGGAAGATATTGTTTTTTGGGACATCTGTGAAAAGTCTCTCCAATCTATAAAAACTAGAAACAATTCAATTATAGTTCCTATAGGTGGCCTGCAGTTTGGTATTTGCCGGCACAGAGCACTGCTGATGAAGGTACTGTATTTTACTAATTTTCTTTGTCAATTCCTTCTATTCGAATCAATGCCTTTGCTGAGATGAAGACAAGTCTGTAATGGTTATGTAGTACCTATGTGACCGCATGGAGCCTCGAATCCCCTGCGAGCTTGTCCGGGGCTACTTGGACTTCTCACCTCATGCCTGGAATGTGATCATTGTAAAAAGGGGGGATTCATCAGTTCGTATGATCGTTGATGCATGTCATCCTCATGACATCAGGAAGGAGAGTGATCCGGAATACTTTCGCAGGTTAGAATCATGGGTTTATTTCAATGCTTCAGTTATATTATGAATAATTATATTATTTATCTTGCAATTCATGCGTGGATTTTCGTTTAACTTGTGAGTGGCTTGGAAAGATAAATCAATATTTGATGATATGGATTTGGCTCAATCTTAATAGACCTCCTATTAATAATTTAGGTTTCATGTTCAGGATGCACCCTGCTATATGTTAAGTTTATTTGTAATATTTGTCTGTAATGGTCTGTGGTGTTAAAACTTATTCAGAGCGATGATGATTGCATGCACCATATTATCGGCAGTATATAATAATCAAATACTAGTTTATACTATTTATACTTTTATAAAACAAATTATGCAGTTTAAAAAGATGAAACAAAAATTTGGATTATGCTTGTACAAGAAAATCCAAACAACAAACTACTGTTGTTATAAATCTACCTAAAATTGTAGAAACTAATAAAAAAATAGAAATGACCCTTCTATAAGGAAGGAAGAAGATAGACATTGATTAGAATGGTAGTGAATTTTTGCTCTTGTTGAACCGTTGAAAGTACTGACAACAGATGTCAAAATATGCTGGTATGGATATTCTCTTAAAGCTAATTCTTGCATCATGCCACTTATTGGTCGTTTATAGTATTTTTATGTCTTGTTTGCTGTCATGTTTCTATGTGATTTTATGGAATCTTTGTTTGGTGTTACATGTGCAGCATGTGCTATACTATAAAAGAAATTGATCTAATGTTTAGCTTCTATTTGTCTGATGGATGTGATTTTCATTGTAGATACACCCCCTTAAGCCGGGCAAACACTCTTGTGGCGGATCATGATATAAGTCCTAATGGTGCATTTCCATCTTTCTCTGAATGTGATAAATTTGAGAAATTTCAGTCTACCTCTCTGATGTGCTGTAAGGTTGGATCAATTGAGGCTGCCTTGAAGGTATGTATCGAATGGGTAGTTTTTCTAAAAACAAAAGTTTAAAGAGACATCGAAGAACAAAATGTGATTTTGTCTATTTGTCCTATAACCATGGGTGAATATTAAATGAACTACATGTAATTTAATCATATAAACAGATTAAATAAATTGATGTGGGACTGGTTTGCCAAATTGAGGATATTCTATGATATATCAAACCGTATCTCGTCATATTAACAGAAACAATTTCAGTCCATTTATGGTGTGTTTGTTTGGGGGTTTGGATTTTAAGTTGGGATTTGAATAGTAAAAATTTTGACTTTGAATAGTTATATGATGTGATATAAATAGGTGTTGATGTGATGTTTCGAATGTAAAATTGATTTTTAGTATAATATAAAAAATAAAAAATAGGTGTGTGATTTGATGTTTTGAAGGGGGGGGGGGGGAATGGGATGAATAATACATTTAAAATCCAATCCTCCAAACAAACACACCCTCTTACTCCATGCATAAACAATTTCATTCCAATATCACTGTATGAACAGCCGTCCAGGCTATTTCTCTATGATTGTCATGCATTATTGTTGGTGGTTCATTTACATTACCGAAATTTTAAGTTGTATTTTATTTAATATTTTGCGACATTAGTACCTTGGCATGTGTGAATGGGATCAATTTTTTTTTTTTTTTCCAAATATTATTATCTTCCCTGTAGTTCCTAAATGCCGGAGCTTGATTTTGTGAGAAATTGACCAATGGCTGTGGCACTATGCAGGTGAGGACCATTGATGTAAACGGGGCATCTTCCGATGATATCAGGAACTTTGAGTTATCTTGCTTAGGAGAAATCAGGATCCTATCTGTACTGAAGAACCCTTGTATTGTAGAATTTTATGGTCATCAGATATCGTCCCAATGGACTAAGACTCCAGATGGTGAACTGGGAGGTCGGAAACTGCAGTCTGCTATACTGATGGAGTACATTAAGGGGGGCTCTTTAAAGGTAAAACGTTTTTGTTCAGTTGTGTACATTTGGTTGACAGCTTTGAGCAGACTCGTGCCATGAAGTAATGATGATTATTTCAATTTGACAGAGCTATTTAGAGAAACTGTCAACAGATGGTGAGAAGCATATCGCTTTGGAATTGGCATTATCTATTGCTAGAGATGTGGCGTTTGCGTTGACTGAAATACATGCTAAACTCATTATTCATCGCGACATAAAAAGTGAGAACATTTTGATTGATCTTGGGCATAAGCGGCAGGATGGGTCACCTGTTGTGAAGATTTGTGATTTTGATATGGCAGTACCGGTTCATTCTCATATGCACACTTGCTGTATTGCACATGTTGGGATACCTCCACCTAATATTTGTGTCGGGACTCCTAGATGGATGGCGCCTGAAGTTTTTGGTGCTATGCATAAGCCAAACACATATGGTTTGGTAAGTTCCTTTCCATCTCTGATATGTGCATTTATTTGTACAGTGGACAAGATCTACTGTATTGAGTCTAGTTTTAGTCGTTATCATTGCTTGGTGAAATACAGTTGCTTTGAGACGCGGATATGTGAATTTGAGTCGTAGTTTAGTTCGTGTTCGGGCTTTGACTAAGTGGACATGAAAATTCTAAGGTTGTGTTTGTTTGGGGGGTTTTTTGGGATTTTGAGCTTGGGATTTGAATAGTAAAAATTTTGAAGTAAAATAGTTGTATAATATGATATAAATAGATAGTGATGTTATGTTTTGAATGGAAAATTGATTTTTAGTATTGTATAAAAAATAAAAAATAGTGTTTGATTTAATATTTTTTGTATGAAAAAATTTGATGAATTGTAAAATTTTGATAAAATCCTCTAAACGTACAGACCCTAGTTTTCGGGATTGCACCAATTTCTATATCTAGCTGATCAGGCGATGAACGAACAAATACAATTATTATATGTGTTATAGCCGCATTTTCATGTATTGGCTTACAAGGTTTGATTTATTCATAATGTCATAGGAAATTGATATTTGGTCATTCGGCTGCTTGCTTGTGGAATTGTTGACACTGAGAGTACCTTTTTCCGGATTGCAAGAATCTGAAATCCACAATCTTCTACAGGTTCGGTATTTTTACTAATCTAATTATTTTGATGAAAAGTCACGGCTAACATTTGCACACTATGCAGAGAGGAGAGCGGCCTAACCTGACTGACGAACTAGATGCTTTAGCCCAATCAGGTGGGGATATTGAAACTGAATCTGATAACCTTACATTTCTCGCTAAACTGTATCATCTATGTACGGAAAAGAAACCTTCTGATCGGCCATCGGCAGATTACATCTATAAATTGTTGCACGCCCGCACAACCTCAAGCAACACATCGAGTGCTACCTCTGATAAGGAATAGGTTTGCCTTTCTGCCATTGTTTCACTTATTACCAGAGATAATATTTTTTTGTAGCCGCCGAGATTGAGCACCTATGTGCCTCCTTAAAAAATTTGAAGAAAAAAAATTAAAAAACCGGAGCCATAACTATGATCTTGAGATGGATTAGATTCAGATTCACATGATTGTCATTTTCAGTGTTGTATTGGATCACTTGTTAATGTATTTGATTGTTTACATATACATACATCTCTCTCTCTCTCTTTCTCTCTCTCTCTCTCTCTCTCCCCCCCATTTCTCTCTCTCTTATTTACACCATGCCTGCTGGACCAGATCAAAAAAGGGCTTGGAGGATTAAACATAAGGTACTGTGGCATTAATCTTTATCTCTTACCTAATGATTCTCAATTTCTCATCACATACTGTTCGATAAATGGTGTCATCTATATTTATTCATATCTGCTAATGAACTATGGTCAATTTGTCATTTTTCAGCTTCCAATAAAAATTGGCAGCAGAAGGGGTCCATACTACCCCATCAAATGGCTCTACCCCCCTATTGCAAATTTGAACATTTGAAATCCGAAAGTCTTCAGACCAAAAGAAAAAAAGACAGACATGGATGGAATCAATGGAATAGTCCTCAAATGGGCTTCCCATGTTAAAAAAGCAAGGTGCAGAAAAGATAAGGGGTTAAATATATATATATATATGTTTTATATAAATTTTTCAGGGGTAGGGGAAAGTTAATTAAAATTGTGGGGTGGGGGGTGTGGGGAGTGTAGCTGCTGTCTTATTCTGATCATAAATTAGATACTGTCATCTGGTCTGGCCTGGTCTGCTGTGCTGTGTATTTCCAGATGGATATCAAATGTTTATTCATTTGGGGGTGTTTCAGAAAAAAGAAAAGAAAAGATGGTTTGGGAGAGGGTGTGGGGTGGGGGGGTCTCAGAGGACCACTCTAGTCTACTAGTACAAGTGCAGTGGTGCAGCAGCAGTAGGCTATACTAGAACCCCCTTTCTTCTTTTTTTTTTTTTTTTTTCTGACTCTAAAAAAACTGTTGTGATCACAATGGCCATAGTTGATAATGAGTGAGTGTGAGTGATTCTTGGGAGGGAGGGAGCTTATGGGGCCCACTGCACATTGGGTTGTGTGTCTGTCTATCTGTGTGTCTGTGTATTATTAATTTATTATTATTATTATTAATAATATTAATATTATTATTAGGGTTTAGGGTTTGTTGGGATGTGACTTGTGAAGGGACACACAAACACACAAATGTTCACTCATGTTTATGTTGTCTTTGTGACATAAAACAGATAGATAGATGGATTCTGGTATTCACACAGGGTGTGTTTGTTCGGGTTTAGATTTTTAGTTGGGATTTAAATAGTAAAAAATTTGAATTTGAATAGTTTATATGATATAAATGGATTTTGATTTGATGTTTTAAATATAAAATTAATTTTTACTATAATATAAAATATAAAAGATAGGGGTTTGATTTGATGTATTTTAAGAAATTTTTTTTGAATGAATGTATTTAGGGAAAAATTCCCCAAACAAACATACCCCATGGGAGCATGCTTGATTGATGCTAAAAGATACTTATAATGACTTTTTGTGTTATTTATTTATATTTTTGTTGAAAGGGCAGAACCTAAATGGTGTTTGGGAGGTGGTAGCCGAATTCAATACCCTGTAAACGAGGTAAAATATATTAGGCGAAGTATGTGTGACAGATGGACTTGCAGATGTCGAGATTTGAACCTTTGACCTCTCGGTCACAAATTCATCCCCACAACGGCCATCCTTTGCGGCTTCGAAATTGGGTATGTATGTCATAGTCAAGATGTATTTTTTTTTTTACTTACAAAAATAAAACAAGGTGTTTTTTTTCCAAAAAAAAAATTTATGACAGGACAAAAAAGTAAAATAAGTATTTATTTATTTATTTATTTTGTGAAATAGGTAGTAATTGTTTTGATTTTTTTTTTTTAGCTTTTCAAGAAATTTTAATGGGCTTGTTTAGATGATCATTTTGAAAAAATTTGAGAAATTTTCATTAGTAAAAAATTTTGATAGAGATCTTAAAAAAAAAAAAAAAATTATTGTTACGAGTACTAAAATTTTTAGGAGACAGGTCTATTTCTCCCATATTCATGTAAATTAAAAATATATATATATATTAGTATTAATATGTGATAGGTAATTTATAAGAGTTTTGAAATAAATTATAAAATAAGACAAGGATAATATATTGGTATTTTAAATGAAATGTAAGGATATTGCATCATTTATATAAAGATAATATATATAATTTAGAAAGTTGATATATTAATCATAAATATATATACACACCTGGATGCCTTCGATTATGTTCTCGTTGAAATAAAACAACACAATATGATGATTATCCCAATTAACATATAAAAATATTATATACATTTTACGTTAATATTTTATACAATATATAATAAGATCAATTTAATTATGTATTATATATACTAGTGTTATATACTATCAATATATTAAAATAAATATTTTACTATTGATTTATGTATTATACGTTGTTGATGTAACACCCATTTGGGAGATTATTAAAAAATTGTTGAATTATATCATTATAAATATGATGAAGTGTAATTAGTTTATTAATTGGTTAGTTGGGGAACTTTACTTATCTTGAAAAAGATTGCTATTAATTAATTAATTAATTAATTAATATATTGATTGGTTGATTAACTAATTAAGGTAGTGTAATTTAAATCGAAATTATTTAATTTGAATAAAAAATGGTGTATAATAAACATGCACACTTTTTTTTTTTCTTAACTAATCCATCCCCAAATTCTAGATTCTATCATTTTTTTTTTATTAATATATTTTTAAAATTTATTCCTTACTTTATTCAATACTATCATGCATTTTAAAATCACAGAGAATATTGTAATTTTAGCTTCGTGAGATTTATATTTATTTTGTGTAAAGAAATATTATATATATTAATATTGATATAGAAAAAATTTATTGAGAAAAATTAAGATGGTATATTTCATTTTGTGAAATAATAGTTGGATGAGATGTTATGTATGTGAAATTAAAAAATATATATATATATTGTCAATTTTTTTATTTTTATTTTTTAAGATCAAGTAGCGAAATACTCTATCCGTCCCAAATAAGGTGCAATATTTGTTTTGAGCACGGATTTTTAGGTAGGTAGTATTAAGTAGGATAATTTAGAAATTAGGTGATGTAATGGAGAGAGAAATGTATATTTTATTTTTTTATTTGGATGATGTGGTGCGATAAAGCGTGGGGTAGAGATTGAATATAATAAATTATTTTCTATTTTGAAAATATTGCAGGGTATTTGGGACATACCAAAAAGGAAATTCTGCACCGTGTTTGGAACAGAGGGAGTATATTTTTTTTTGAAGTCAGGTGCATGTGGATAAAAAAAAAGCACAACACATGGTATATGCATCGGTAATATTTGTTTTCCTTTAGGTTTGTTCATTTTTTACAAACCATTACATACTGTTTTTAATAAAAATATATTATTTTTTTTTCAAAAATATGTAAAATTAATATTTTAAAAATACTTTTATAATTATCAATAAGCAATAACAAAAAAATTTAAATATTAAAAGAACAAAAAAATTGAATATATATATACTAATAAAGAAAATTAATCACCATCACAAGTCACTTTCTTGATTGTTAAAAATGCGTAGCAAGAAAATGAAATGTATGCACATATACGTATTTATATAAGTATATATATTTTTATTTATTTATTTATGTATGGCCAGCTGGCTCCAATCAATTGCATTGAATTTGTGATGTAAATATCCATAAAAATGGCAATAGTTGCTATTGCAACTACACCACAAAGACATGCCCAAATAGTCACAAATTAGTTAGGCCATTTTAGGATGTTTTTGTATTTGATTTGATTTTATTTTATTTTTAAAAAGATTATAATACATCGATTTAATGTGATTATATATATATAATTTATATGTTCAAAATATTAATTTTTTTTAGTAGAAATAAAATCAGTATAAGATTAGTAGTATAGAAATGACCAAAAAACATATAGCAGTGATAAATAAAATCAGATATGAAATTTTATAATTTCATGTAAAAATAAATACAAGGGTTAGATACATTAGGGGAAATAAAAATCATATCATACATACAATTGTATTTAATATATAATTTTGTACTTTTTTGGTGAAAAATTGTATTCAAAGATATATATATACATATAAATCATTTTTCACAAAATCCCAAAAAAATCGCAGAAAAGGTAAGAAAGTCACGGAAAAAAGGCTCGAAAGAATTTCCATAAAATAAATGTATTTATATATCGAGATATGTATCCGTATAATTTGAATTTGATAATGACGTTACGGGTGATACCAAGAAAATAACAAATATAAAAAGCGATGCGGTGCATGACAAAATTTTGTCATATTTCGCCAACATTTTGTTCAAAATTAGTTTCAAAACGAAACAAGAGTTAATGATGACGATGTATGCTTACTATTATTGAACCAATTGTTACAAATGGCTATAAGTTACATCAGGTTCCAAAATATTATGTATATATATATATATATATGTAAGCAATACAAAAATGAGAATCGATTGCAATGTGACACTTTGTAAAATTTTTACGTGAAAAATGAAAACTTAGAAAATATAGCTTACACGCAACCTTCGCCAAAGGAAGTTTTTATTTAAAAGTATATGCACAAATGTCTTTTTTTTTTATCGAACAAAGAATAAGACACTTTTTCGTCTAAATTACCAAATCATATGAATCACAAAATATAGATAACTAAAGTATGTAAAAATACAATACACATATATGTATGTATATATATATATATAAGAAATAATAAATCATAATTTAATTTTTTTGTGGGTACTTGAAATTTAAATCTAGAATATGACCACATCTATGATGTCAAGAACACAAATTTTTACTTTCTAAAAAAGAAAAAAGATGGTAGAAAAAAATAAAAATAAAAAATCAATAGAAATTTTTTATTTTGATTTTATGTATGTATTTGATAATATATCACTCTTCCTCTATAACTTTATACAACTATATTTTAAAATATTGACGCATCTATACTTCGATAATATTTACTTTATAGAATGAAATTATAATCATATATATTTTTATATAGAACAAATTGTAATTCTCAAAATACATATTTTTTTTGACACATTTAACCCTCAATTCGATATTCAGTCGACACGTCTAACCTTCAATTCGAACCTTGAGCCAAAAATTACGGCTCAATAAATATGTTAACCTACGGCTTATATGAAAGAAATGAGAAGGCTACGTCGGTATATGCTTGTTATTTAAGTATGTTTTTTCAATACAAGAAACAAAACTTTTTGCGAAGATTTTGATTTTTTAAAAATCCTTTCATATGTAAACTATATCCTTAGAAAATTTTATAATTCATACATACATGTTTGAGAATTTATTTCGCTAATATAAACACAAAAAAAAAAAAAAATTAAATAAATAAAGTTACATTGAATAGAATTACATATTTATATAGTTAAATATCTACTTGCCATTAATTTTACTTACATATCTTTTCATAACATTCAGAGCAAATATCTTATTTAAATTAGAAAATATATCAATTCAAAACCTAATTTTCATTCAAAATAATAGGTAAAAAAAAAAAAATTAAACATATTCGTTATTCAAAGTATCATATTCAACAATATATTAAACATAATTTTCTATTTAATATTTAAAAATATCATGTAAATTGTAGATATACTTAGCAAGTATTTTGCGTTTGGTTGTTGATTTTCTTAAGATTTTACTATTTTGTTTGATAAAAAAGAAAATTCTCCCGAAAATATAAAATCAAAGTATATATTTTTTTTATTTTTTATATTATACAAAATTTAAATTTTACATTCAAAATCAATTCAGAACTCTAAAATACTTCAAACATATATTTAAATAGAACATTTTTTTTCTTTGGTATGATAATTTATAACATTTACTTATTACTCCCTCCGTCCTACATAATTTGTCTCTATTTTCTATTTCCGTTTGTCCCACGTAATTTGTCCATTCTTTTTTGAAAATATAATTATACACTTTAATCTCATTTTAAACTTTAATTTTATAATTTTTTTAATATTAATTAAACTATTTAGTTATCTTAATTTTAATCTACAATTATTTTTATTATACAATAATTATTTTTACTAATACATTTCTTAATTACTTACTAATCACACTTTACCTAAATTACCGTATCTATAGTGATACACCCATAATATATGAGATGAAGAGAGTATATTGCTAGTAGTCTTAAAAATATTAAAATAAAGAGCAAATATCCAAAAAAATAATTAAATTCCAAAACCGATATATATATATATATATATAGTCTAAATTCAGCTAGATGACAAAATAACAAAACAAAGAAAGCCACACGAAAACCAAGAAAGTTAATACACTAATTAGTGTGTATATATAGTATAGTATATATATATAGGGTTTATTTAATTATAGTATGTATTTTCTCTTGTGCAAATTTATTTTTTTTCAAATATATTTGTATTTATTATTTTTTATAAAAAAAAAACTAATTCAAAATATTTTAAATATCGACACATTTAAATACACTCATATTCATATATGTTGATTGTGGCATTTTTTTTTTAGTTTAATTATACTTTTTTTTTTGGTTAGAAACATTTATGGCTTGATTATTATTACTATAATTCAATCTCTTCAATTTCATTAATAAAATACATCTAATAAGTATTTTAGATATAAAACATTACATTCAATAAGTATTTCTCTAAACAATATTTAAAAAAATAAAAATGCCCCAATTAAACAAACCCTTATATTTCTAATCTCTTTAAGCATAATATATATATAATTGATTATTATTTCATTTTTTATTTTTATAATTTTATAAGTAAAAATAAAAGGTAATCCTACATATTTTTAAGAGAGTTATTATTTTGTTTCACTAGATCAAAACTTATCGAAAATCAGGAACTCACGTCAATAAAAAAAAAAAAAAAAAAAAAAAAAAAAACCCGAGGTAGCAATTGCTCTAAGTTGACAAGGTTATTTGTAATATAATTCCTTTGAGTAGTCGATTTTGCATATTATTAGAAAGTTGCTTTGAAGTTTCTTCAAAGTTATAAAAGTTTGTTCTTTAAGTATTTATTATTTGTCGGAACTTTTGTTATTATTTATTGAAAATTTTGATTTTATTTTAGTGAAGCAATTTTTATTATAATTTTAAAAATATTTTGTAAGAAAATATAATTTTTTTTATTGGAAAATGATATTATATATATATATTTGATCCATTGAAAATGGTGTAAAAATAAAAGAACGAAACCTAAGTACGCAAAAACGGAACATGTCTTTAGGACGAGGATCGAAATCCATCCTCATATTTGCTCCAAAGCCAAATATATGATCATGTGCACAATATTACTAAATTTCAAGTAAAATATTGCGATCTATCTGAAATATATTTTTGCAAAAGTTTAGAACAATTCAAAACCTTTATATTTATGTAGAGGCTAAAACAACATTAGCACAATGATTTTATCAAAACTCTTCATTTAAAAGTTAAGTGAATATTTTTTCAAAAACAAATACTTCTCTTTGTCGAAGAAAAAAATATTTATTTACTTTTTACATAGAGATTAAGAAATATTATAATATAATGTATGGAAGTTAACGTATGTTAAATGGAATGATAAAAATGATCTTATCTCTTTTTTTTAAAATAAAAAATAAAAAAATACTCCATTCGTCCCATTAAAAGGTTATCGTTTTCTATTTTCGTCCGTCCCAAAACAAAATTACTATTTCCTAATTTAGTAATTATACTACCTACCGAACATAATAAATACCCTTTCAACTTACAATATATTACACAAATGTCGTTACTTTTATATTACACCATACTAATAGAGGTATTTTCGTCTTTTTTACTACAATCCAATATAATACTAATATTAAAATATCTACTTACAGAAAATAAACGCAACCCTTCCAACTGGACGGAGGGAGTAATAAAATTATATTAAGTGGTATTACTCCATACATCTGGTATGTATCTATATGTTTATTTTTTGTACGTAGATTATATGTATATGATACAATAAATGGATTATAAGACAAATTCTACCACAAAATTTTAGTAGTATTTTATATTTTTATATGTAAGTTGATGGCATTGTTGTAATAATATGTGCAATGGAATATATATTTTTTTAAAAAAAGAAAAAAAAAGGTTGTGAAAATGGATAGATCAATTTTGACAAATCAAAATGACAAATGAATAAATTGATTCCGAGCATAAGGATTACTATACATATGTTGATGTATATGTGTAATATATTTATAAGATATAAATAAAAAAGAAAAACAAATATATATATATATACATATATTTATGAACTAAATAAAACAAAAAATATACTCCCTCCGTCCCATGTATTACGGGTTTATTACTGTAGATACGAGAATTTAGGTAAAGTGTGATTAGTAAGTAATTAAGAAGTGTATTAGTAAAAATAATTATCGTATAATAAAAATAATTGTGGATTAAGATTAAGATAACTAAATAGTTTAATTAAGATTAAAAAAATTATAAAATTTAAAATTTTAAATGAGATTAAAGTGTATAATTATATTTCCAAAAAAAATAGATAAATTATATGGAACGGACGAAAATAAAAATTAGAGATAAATTATGTGGTACGGACGGAGTACAGTTTTTTTCTCAAACAAGTGAGTGTTCTTCAAGGAAAAGTTGTACGAGTGTGTTTGTGTGTGATATAGAGAGAGAGGGTCCCCTACTCTTGCAACCCTAAAAGTCAATAAATGCTATTACATAATATAGAAAACAATCTCTCTCCTCTTCTCTCTCCTCTTCTCTCTCTATATCTCTCTATCCTCTTCTCTCTCTTCTTCTCTCTCTATCCTCTTCTCTCTCTCATAGAATATTAATCTCATGAGGTGCATGGTGGAGGGTTGTGGCGTGACAATATTCAATTTGCAATCTCTCTCTCTCTCTCTATAACTCATAGGGACCACACCATTTGCTTTTCTTTTGTTGTTATTACTATGTGGCTTTCCATTGCTTTTCAATGCTCCCTTCCTCTTCTCTTCTTTCCCTTCCTTGGAGATATATATATATATATATATACTTTTTTCATTCTATATCTATTTATCTATTTACTTTTTACACGGAGTTTTAGAAATATTAGTATTATATTGAGATGTAGTTGAAATAAAAGTAAAAATACTAAATTAACTTTATTAGTATTGTATGATATAAAAGTAACGGCGCTTGTGTAATATATTATAAATTTGAAGCGTATTTGTAATATTAAGTAAATAATACGATCACTAAAAAAATGATGAAATGAATACTTTGTCATAGAACTGACGAAAATAAAAAAATAAATAGATTGTCAAGGGACGAAAAGAAGAGAAGTGAAAGAGAAGTATATATAACACTATATATATAATCTATTCCTCCCTTATCTTTTGATCCCTCTTAGCTTCTTTAATTTATTATATATATATATATATATCTCTCTATCTCTCTCTCCTCTCTTCGTCCACTCTATTTATACCTCATATTACCATCTCCCTCCTCAAGGCAAAACCTTCTCCAACAACCCTTCTTAATTTCCTTACATATACATACATATTCATCTCTCTCTCTATATATATATATATATGTATGTATATGTCTCTCTCTCTCTCCCCTAAACCACCCCATCTGAGATGAGAAGTGTGAAATAGTTAATCTTTGTAATTAGTTGTTGGAACCGTGCAGTAGCATCTGTTGAAGCTGCCAGCATGATCTAAACTCTCCTCTTTCTTGAGGATGGATCAGATCATGTGGTAGCTTCATCAGATCCAACCTGTGCGACAATATCATTTATTTATTTATTTATTTTTATAAATATAAAGATTTTATTTTTTTTTAAATAAAATTTTACACAGAAACCCTAATTTTTGTAGAACCCTATTTTGAAGCTTGTCTACAACTAGCTAGGGTTTCTGTTCTTGGAGAAATTAAGGTATTTGGGTGCTTTGGATTTGCTGTTCCTCGTTTGTCTTTTGGGATTTCGTGCTGCCTTTTTATCCTTTAAGGAAGATTTTAACATGCTTTGTCTGCAAAGCTTCAATTTTTATTTTTATTTAATTTTCTCAAATGTTTGAATTATTTGCTGTTTTTTTGGGGGATCTTTTTTTTTTTTTTTTTTTTTTTTTCTGCTCAATCTAAACCAGTTATTTTGCTGTTCGAAATTTGCCATTTCACTGAAGAAATTGTGTTAATTAATTTATTTACATACTGTTTCATTTAATTTATTTATTAACTATTGGGTCTTTTTAATTTCACTGCAATTTTGGTAAAATGGTAATTCCCACTAGGGTTGCATCGAACCCCTTTTTACCTTGGGTTGAAAATGAAGGCATTGTAAATAATATTTAAAGATCGATTAAATAGCTGCATTTCAATAATTTTATTTATTTATTTGAATTCTAACTAGCAAGAACCATTTTTTTTAAATTTTTTAAATGTTAAAATCTTGTTATTCCCATTAATCCTGGCTATGTCTTCTCAATACAGTTCTGTTATTCGTGAGAATATAAAAAATAATAATAAAAATTATATTTTAAATTACTGCAGCCTAATGAGTAGTAGCTACATAGATCGATATTCAGCAAGCCTAATTTTTGATACCAGGATTTGTCGATTTGTCTGAACTTTAATTTATTTATTTATTCAATTAGTGCATCGACAACTAAATTCTGCAACGAATCTGAGTGCTGCTGTAATAACAATAGATATATTTATTTTATTTTTTTTTTATTTTTTTTCAGGCAAGACAGCTACCAGTCTATCAAGCTCTCTTCTTATTGTCTTTTTTTTGTATACATGTATATATAATTATGTGTATATTATAGAATATAGATACATAAATATATGTATGTATTAAGTGTACATATATATATATCATATCATCTTCCTCATCAGCTTGTATCTTCTTTTGGCTTCATTGGAATACATACTGTGGCTGCTGCTTCTACAGCATCCACTGTGTTTGTCCCCACCCTGACATTAACCCCCCACCCCACCCCACCCCAAATTCTTTTTTTGTTTTTGGTGTGAACTTGTAGGGTAGGATTTTTTATTTATTTATTTTCAATAATTATATTAATAATGAAAGAGTAATGACAAAAAAAAAAAAAAAAAAGAAGAAGAAAAAAAAATTGTATCTATGGCAATGAACTGTATAATTTGTAATATGGCCTTAATTCAAATGAATGTTTTCCTTAAGCAACAACGGGCTCAAAGTTTATCTAGTGCGTATTCGAAGAATAGCAATCGAGAATTTCTAAGCTATAAAAAAATACTACCTCCGTCCCAATAAAATAGTAACATTTGTTTTTTTTATGTAGATTTTTAAATATTAGTATTATATTATATTATAGTGAAAAAAAAAAGAGACAAAAAAATACCTCTATTATGATTGTGTAATAAAAATATAATAATATTTGTTTAATATATTGAAATTTGTAAAGATATTTATTATGTTAGTATATAATACAATTGCTATATTAAGAAATGATATTCTTGTTTTTTTACAGACAAAAATAGAAAGTAAAACTCTTTTTACGAGATGGAGAGAGTAAAACGATTTTTTTGATGAAAAAAATATAACGGTTTTAGTAATATTAAATGCAGTTACACTAGTAAAACTAAAACATTGTTGTGTTTCTTTTTAATCTGGATTGAGTTTGAGTTTAGGCTTATTATTTAAATAATATTTAATATGATATGATGTGAACAAATATTTTTATTGAAAAATGTAAAATTTAAATAGTAAAAAATTGTATAAAAAAAAAAAAAAAACATTTGTAACTTGAAGTTTGAAATTTTTTTAATGAAAACTATATATATATATATTTTTTTAAGTTGAAAAATATATTCAAACATATAGTGAAATAGAAACACACTTAGAAAGGATTGTCATAATGTTTACTTTTTATAATTCATCCATTAATGTGCTATGAAGTTCAAGTTTGGAGTCAAGAGATATTGTATATCCGATTTTTTTTATTTTTTATTTTTTATCATCTGTACAATATATTGGACCGTATGTTAAAATTTTAACCCACATATCTATATATACTTGAAATAAATTTACATTATAAAATTACTAGTTAAAATATTTGACTTAGACTATCCCGAACGTAGATCATTTCAATTGAACTTAGTTAACAAATCTTTATATTTTTATGTATCTTTTCTTGATTTTCTAATTTCGGAAAAACTTTGTTTTTGTAGTAGTTGGAACAATAGATAAAAATATATATATATGTATATATATATATATAGAGAGAGAGAGAGAGAAATAAGAATATATATTTTAGTGAGATCTTATGGGCAGATATGTATGTTTTTTTTCAGTTAGAATCAAATCCATCCATTGGGGAAGATTCCTACAACTCTTTTGCAATCCATACTCATCATTTTCCATCAAATAACAATAATGCTCTCTCTCTCTCTCTTCCTCTCTCTCTCACACACACACATACAAATATTCATGAGTGTAGGTGTTTTTTTTTTTTTTTTTTTTAACTTTATGTATAAAGTAATTATATATGTAATAGTATATTTATAATTTAAGTAAAAGTTAATGGTATTTTGATATTAGTGTATTATTACTTTTACTAAAATAGAAAAGAGATATTTTGGAGCGAGACGGACGAAAATAATAAAAATGTTACTTTGAGTTGGGATAGATGGAGTGTGTATTTTTTTAGTTACATATTACATATGTATAATAATTTTTTTTTATTAAAAATAATAAATTAAATATATATTTATATCAAGTCAAATAGTTATTATAATTTAAAATTTTTATAATATTTATTATAATCTAAAAAAGCAGCCAAACAAACCCTAGGGTGTGTTTGTTTTGTGAAATAGTTGAAGAGATATTTTTGACGTGAAGTATAGAGAATTGTGTAAAAAATATAAAAATATATTGAATCATGGATGAAGCAGTAATTATGACTATTACTGAAACTACAAAAGATATAACAATAATTGTGATTATCAAAAATAATAATAATACAAAATATTTTATAGAAAATTAAAAAAAAAAAATCAAATACTCATCGTATAAGTAAAAAAGTTATTAAAAAAAATTAAAAAAGTTAAATATTTAACCTAAAATTATACTGACTACCCTCCTGTAATTAAGTATTCATTTATTTTTTGAATGTTTAAACATTAATTATTATATCAAAACATATTATAAATCAAGTAGAAATGATAAAAATACTTCTATTAGTGTCTTATAATACTAATATAATAATATATATACAAGAAATTATACAAATATAAAAATATTTTTAATATTAAATACAATTACGCAAACAGTAAATGAATACTTTTGTTATGAGATGGATATATTTTTTACACAATTTCTCATGCCATAAGTCAAAATTTCTAAAAACATTGGGTGAAATATATATATTAATTATGTATAGCAATAAATTTCTAAAAATTACGTGGCAATGCATTATAGTAATGTATGAATTTTATTTTATTTTTAAGTAGTTTATTTATACATGTTATGCCAAAAAAATATAAAAATGGTGTTTTTGTTTGGGAGATTTTTCCCAAAATATATTATTCCTCAATTTTTTTTTTCAAAAATATTCAATCAAATATCTATTTTTTTATTTTTTATATTATACTAAAAATTAATTTTATATTCAAAATATTACATCAATACCTATTTATATTAAATTATACAACCATTTCAATTTAAAATTTTTATTATTCAAATATCAACTGAAACTCCAAACCCCGAACAAATTTAAACCCTAAGTGTAAAATGACCTAAAAAAAGTTCATAGAAATATGGATATTATGAGAGAAATTGGGCCAAAAAGTGATCCACCAGTTTAAAATGTCAAGCCCATGAAAACTTTCTTCTGATATTCTAAATTTAATGTTTTTTATTTATTTATTTATCTTTTTTAAATTCCACTAACTTTTTGCTCATTTATTTTTGTTGTCAGTTACTCCCTCAGCCCAGATAGAAAAGAAAGTATAAATATTTCTATTTTGGACGTTCAATTACAAAGTAAATATTTTTATTAAAAACCTCATATTTTGTCACAAATATCTTTACTTTACATCACATCGTTACTTTTACATAAAAAAGTAAGGGCAAAAATATCATTGCCCTACTTTTAACTACCTATTATAATTAAAATACTATTACTTTTTAAATACGGCGCCAAAAGTAAATGTTTACTTTATCCGTGGACGGAGGAAGTATTATTTTTTATTTTTTATGACGTGGGAACCCGCAACCGCTACTCAAAAATACATAGTGGATAAATCTCCATCCAAATTTAATACTCTGCAAACTAAGTGAAGATTATGGTGTTGGTCAATAACAAATATATATATATATAATTTAAAAAATATATTTGAATATATATATATAATTAGTAAAATAAATCACAAAGTGTGTATGTATACATAAATGTGATGTATACACACGCTTCATTTAAATGAGAATTGTGTAGAATAGTTTATAATTGAATGTACTATATAATTATGAATATTTTATTTTATTTTATTATATTTAAATAGACACGTGTTGGTTATATTATTTTACAATTTTATAATAATAAGAGACATTGAGTAGAAATATGTCATAAAGATCGACCAATTATGACTCAATAATTAGATATGATGTTCGATGGGAACTTGGAAACGACCATAATAATAATAATAATAATAATAATAATAATAATAATAAGAAAATACTTTATGTTATATTACTTTGATTATAAAGTTAAAAATAATAATATTTTAATAAAAGAAAATTGTAGTTGGATAAGTGACTAAAGCAATGACAAACTGATTATTATTTTTTAAATAAAAATAATATAATTATAGGTGAATACAAATTTTTTATTATAGATAAATTATGTATAAATTTAACAAATATTAAAAAAATAATATAATTATCCCAAACAAAAAAATAAAATAAAATATTGAAAAAGAATCATTGAAAAGAGCCATTGAAGTTTATGTGTTGAATTTAGATTTGACCAATCAGCCGTAAGCATAAAATTTGAAGTTTATATCATAATAAGATATAATCCAAATTAAATAGTACAGTAGTTCTTTCCTCACAGATTTTTTTTTTTTTTTTTTTTTTTTTTTTTTTTTTTTATACGACGTGAGAATTTGCAACCGTTACCCGAAAGTACGCACATAGTAAACTCCCGGCCGAATCTAATATCTTGCAAATTAAGTTTGACAAATCAAGTCACACTAGACGAACCACATATAACAGGTGGACCTGGAATGATCAAGGTTTGGTTTGAACCCGTGACCTAAACTTTTCTTTATTTTTTTTAAAAAAATTAATATGTTACACATATTTATTATTTTTATATTTACTTACCAAATTCTTTCAGTTTGCTCACATAACATTAAACTTTTCTTTATTTTTTCAAAAAATAATTAATATATTACACATATTTATTATTTTTATAATTTTTTACCAAATTCTCAGTTTGTTCACATAACATTTTTCAATTGAACAATTTTTCATAAATATTATTAAAAAAAATATAAATATATACACATTAATATAATATATATTATTCATTCATAAAAAACCAGCAATTTAACACAAAATATTATTATTTATATTACCAATACAATTTTCCATATCACACAAAAAAAATTAATTTATTTGAAAATAACAAGTCAAATATCTCATATATATAAAAAAAGATATTATTTCAAACTATTTAAGAAAGCAAACTCACCCTCAAAATAACAATTCAATAAAAAATAAAAACTTAAAAATCCAACACTATTTTTTTTAGTATTATAAAAATAGTTTTTTTATATCTGAAATTAAAATACTAAATAAACACATTTATTTCTTTAATATTATAGTTTATAAATAAAATAATATATTTTC